CAGATTTTAAAGTAAGAGAACTACGACAAACATCTTCATCGACAAACTCGACTTGTCGTGGTTTCGATCCCGAGATGTAAGGCACACTGTAGGCAAGGCGAGCAGACGGTAGCTAAATTTGAAGGTACGATAAAGTCTAAAGCGCTTTGATTGACTTTCATTTTTACCTCAAAGACAAAAAGATCTCCCGACGTCGATATCGTGTACAATGTTTTCTCGTTTTGATCCACAGTCATCGAGCAGAGATAGGCGTAACTGCTGAAAATGAAATTGTGCAAAAAAAAGGTGATCTGTAATTTGTTTGAGACTTTTTCAGCAATGATATGTCCACCAGACCACAAGAATTTCCATGTTTGTTTTTAACGCATGGTCAACAAGTACAGAAGTTTTGCTTGATCATATCTCTTTAAACCAACCCAAACGAGAAAGGAAGTCTTGATAAAATTGTGGTCATCGTGCTCTGCGTTTTAGCAACTCGAATCGCTTCAACGTGCGGCGGTCCATCAACGAGGCGAAAAGTGCTTAAACCGGCAATCGGTTTTGCGTCCGCTTTCTGTAAATTAATGGTAAATAGCGAGAATTGGTCCTTGTGACTCTTACGCTCACCACTTTACATTTATTCCAATAACACCCCAAATTTGAATAGAATGCGCTTCTTACTTAAGCTAGCCTCTCGATTCAAATATTATTAGATATTAGATTCAAATCTCGATGTGATAATTTTGAAGGGAAAAAGAATTTTCTCAAAATCTCTTCCCATTTCCGAGAGCAGCTTTGAAGCTTTTATAAGCCATAGATTCTTGGCTGTCCGCTTTAATCGACTTGGTCAAAGTGCCATTAGATTCTCACTAAATTTTCTAATTGTTCTATTACTGAAATAAAATCTTTCTTTTTATAAACAACAAAAGTTTATTCTATGCAAATCCTATGCATTCTTTGCAAACCATATTGGGACCATATTGTTGACCGTATCCGAACCATATTGGAACCATATTTGAACCGTATCCGAACCATTTTGGAACCATATTTGAACCGTATCCGAACCATATTGAAATAAATGTAAAGTAGTGGGCGTAAGAGTCACAAGTATCCAAGAATTCAATAACACCAATAACTAATAAACCTTATAATGTGTCGATACAAGTATCAAATTGCAGGATTGCAAAAAGTAGAACGATCCACAAAGGCCAACATTGAGATTTAGTGAGCACACTTTAAAGTAGCCGCTCAATTTCCTGAAAAAGAGTGTTTACTCTTCAAAACAAACAAACAAACAAAAAAACATACCCTATTTTGTAAATTGAAAAGTTTCCGTTATATTGTAGAACGTATAAATGATCGTAGAATTTGTTTGGATCATCGGAACTCGAGGCGATTGCCACCGTTTGCAGACAACAAACAGCTCCCATTAAATCGAAATTGTTCTCATTACATTCCTAGAGATTAAAAACATAAATTTGTTACAAAAAGATCAAAAGACATACCAAGGGAATCGTGTAACAAAGGTATCCATAACAATCAAAGACATCAATGAAACAATTGCTTCTTGTTGCCAACAATAATAGCGATGAATTCGTGAAGTGAAGCATGCAATAGGACGCAAAATCATCATCAGGTACTAAAATGAGAGGATTTTAACGGGTAACTCTATCAAAAACCACTTTCAATCTCGGATTCCGCATAGGGAACGTGATTATCGAAGCTGTAAAGTTCCAATTTTCGATCCGGCGAATGGCTCAACAAAGCGAAACGATTTGCTTCTCTAAAAAAAAAGCAAATAATGAAAGTTTACACGTTTATCTCCCCTACTTGGAAACCGCAAATTTCGCAAAAGGCAACGACTCTATGAAAGTGGCGATTTGTGGTGGAATGAAAAGATTCGGCGTCTTGATCTCCACTGACGATTTCCATCTTAGTACCTCGTTTCTAAAATTTAAGAGTTTAATTTAAGTTTAAGAAGAAGTACGTTTAAAGTTTTCACTTTTCAAAAGCTTATAACAATTTTTGATACTAAGGTAGTTGGGAGTCGACTTTTTTTTGTCTTCAAAACCACTCTTTCTGGGGTTTCTGGGGTAATTTCATGCGTAGATTCCGCTATCGACTATTGGAGCACTTTTCAAGGTCAAAACTAGAGCCGAAACTATTTTTAACCACTTAAATATTCATTTTCTAACTTAAATTGACTGATAGAGGCAAAAGAAAATAAATGGTTTTGGTAAATAAAAAATGAGCCCCTCCCCCGTCAAAGCCAATAGTACCCAAAATTTTGATACTTTGGTGGTTGGGAGGGTCCACTTTTCGCTTGCTTAGTCGAATCTAGTGTTTTGAGCGGCATTTATCGAAGATGAAAGAAATCTATGCTGAAGCGATTGGCGCTAATTTTAAAGTGTTTCCAAAATGTTTGCAAGTTATTATTGCAGCTTTTCAAGTGTAATCAGCTTTGAGAAAACGTTCGATGGCTATGCTGAAGTAAAGCCGGCTAGGAAACAGAGCAAATCATCGAATAGGATTATCAGCAGCCTAAACTAGCACCAATCGCTTCAGCATCGATCTCTCTCTTCAGAAGTCGACATAAAGCGCCAAAAAACACTAGATTCGACTAAGCAAATGCAAAAGTGACCCCTTCCACCCAAGAAAGTATCCAAATTTTAAATGTTAGCACGCTGTATGAAAGAGCTAGCCATTAAAAACTAATTCTTGAAAACATTGCGCTATTTTGGTTTACCCAAGCACAAAAATCCCAGGTTCATAAAAACGAAAAAAAAGTTGGGGGATGGTCGCATGACCTGACCCGAACTTTTTTCCAATCGAACCAAACGGCGTTTGTGATTAATATTTTTGCCTACGAACCCGAAAATCAGGCTTTTGATCGTAAGAATATCGCCTAGCGATGACGTAAAAAAAAGCTCAGGCTCAAAAGGACACAAACAGAGTGTGCTTGGGATAAATTTTCACAGGTCACAGCTAACAGGTCACAGCTAACAGGTCACAGCTAACAGGTCACAGCTCACAGGTAACAGGTAAGATTTTGATTGCGTAAATCTACTTTAAACCATAAAACCCATTTAATTGTTACCTTTCTCTGATCAAAATCCTTGAGTTCTCATCGTGATTCTTTGTGCAATCGATCTCCGAATCGAGTCGACTTCGTCGTCTCATCACTAAAAACAAAAAAAAATATATTTAGACCTCAAAAATAAAGGCTCATTGAATCATATCAAAATCTGGCTGATTGGAGGAAAACTAATGGTTTAACTACGATAGTTTTCTCAAATAGATCCATTTTAGAAACACAAGAGGAACATTATTCAAGAGGAACTCTAATTCTGAATAGTTTTGGATGAAACGTTTTATTCTGAATAGTTTTGGATGAAACGTAATTTAAGCTCAGCTCTCTCGAAACCAGTTAATACCAAATAAACATCAAATATCAAGCCTTATCAATCAAAAAGTTTCTTATTTGGTTTCTTTGGCAAAAACGAATAGTTAACCAAGATATTAGGTTAGAAAAGAGTGGGAGTGGAGAAGAAGAAGCAGAAGACGAAGAAGAGGTGCTTGCTCTTGGCTTCAAACCAAGACCAAGATTTTTTAAAACAAGACTAAGATTGTTGCTTGGTTTCAATACCAAGCAACAATTGGTTCAAACAATCATTCCCCGAGATTAAGAAGACAGTTTTTGAGCTTCAGTTCAAGAGATTAACAATTGGGAATTTGAAACAAAGCGAGAATTTTAATCAACTTCAAACCAGAAATGGAAAAGAATATAAGGAAAAGAGAAGAAGAAGAAGAAGAAGAAGAAGAAGAAGAAGAAGAAGAGGAAGAAGAAGAGGAAGAAGAAGAGGAAGAAGAAGAGGAAGAAGAAGATGATGAAGAAGATGATGATGAAGAGGAAGAAGACGAAGACGAAGAGGAAGAAGACGAAGAGGAAAAAGAGGAAGAACAATTTTACAAATTTCTGCACACTTTCTCCATTTACACATTGCATAATGACTTAAACTACTTAAACTAAAGTATGAGATCTAAATTTTTCGAGTTTTTTTGAATTCATAAGTCAAATTACTAAAGTTAATAACAAAACTTCGATTAATGCGCACATTTACATCTAAATGTTAAAAATTTCATTGAGTTGATCACCTTTTATTTGACACAACACCAAATACGAGACACACCTCTAGACGGCTACTCGAGGAATCTTTTACAAACCATCTTAACAAGTACACTTCCGAATTTTAAGACAAAGACAGATTTGAAGACAAATCTAGAAGTGACCTATATAAAGAAATTAGCCTTACAACCCATCCACCACCAACTTTAAACCTTTCTAACTTCCTTTAACTTCCTTTTCTTTCTAACGCACTTCTCGAGAGATTAACTTGTTTTGGTATAACAACAATAACAAAAACAATAAAAACGATTTTGTATCAGAAAAATAATTTATTGTGGTATCTATAAAAAAGCCGAAAAAAACCAACATCGACAAAGTGTGAAAACCCGTCAAAATAACACCAAAAAGCGACAAATCCAACTTATTATAAGCGAGAGAGTATGTGTGTGTTGTGTCTGTTCCGCTGTTTTTAGAAAAAACGGCTGAACTAGTCGATCTGAAAGTTGTTTGACATTACAAATCTAACTTTTTACATAGTTTCCAAAAATCTAATAATATTTGACACATAATTTGACCGTTTTCCCTAAAAAGCTAAATTAAAGACTACATGCTACCGCGTGGCCGAGTGGTAGTGCATCCCAACCTTCGATTTGCCAAGTTGAGCAACCTTGGGCTTGGTTAGTCTCGGGTTCGATCCCGGCCATTTTGCTTTTTGTTTTCTTTGTTTTTACACTTTTTGATTAAGGTCACGGGTTCAATTCCTCTAGGGGTAAAGAAAATAAAATCCGTCTGCACGAAGCCAGAAAAACGATAAAACGGAGAAGCTATTGATGGACAAATTGAAATAAGACATTTTAGCAATATTAAAAGATAAGCAAAAGAGAAATGGAGATCAATGATGAATGGAGAACGATAAAGCAGCAAGACAACGAAGAAGTGAAGAAGTACGACGAGATTTCTCGGAGGTAAAGACTTCTAGCGAATTCGAGACATTCAGTGCGGGATGAGAGGCCGATTGAATCTAGAAAAGTTCATCAAATTTAAAACTTTAGCCTAAACTCACAAAAGCATCAGTCCTATTTTGCATCTCCATTTTCTCGAAAGCATCAGTGAGCGCCTAAAATGAATATAATTGATTAAGAAACAGAAAATCTCTCAATAAAAATCTCTATAAATCTCTCAATTAGATATGTTTGTGAATGGATTTTATAAAAAGCCACAAATAAAATGACCAACCTCAGTCAATTGATGATCAAAACATAAATAAGTGAGCGAATCGAATGCATCGAGCACGTGTTGGGTGGAAATGTTCTGAAAAATGTGGCTTTCGTTTTGTTTAGAGACTTAAAAGCTTAAAGCTCATAGCCTTCTACAGCAAAAAAACATTCAGATCTCAGATCTCAGCTCTCAGCTCACCTCAGCAGCCACTTGATATTGCTCAAGTCTATAGTCGGCAAGGGTGATGAGTTGAGCGATGAGTGCAGCCAGTGTGTGCATTCCAATTGAAGTGAGACAAACTCGCATCCGATACCACATCTAAAAAGAGAAATTGGTTGAAAATGGAAATCATTTCAAAATTCAAACTCACCAAATCATTCAGCAACACCTCAGGAAATGGTTGCATCATTTGATTGTCCGTGCATGCACACAATGTCTCCATGTACAGCACCAATGCCTCATCGGTTTCACCTTTTGCTGAAAAGAGTTTTTGCTGTTTTTTTTCATCTTTATATACAGGGTTGAGCAAAAATTACCCAGTTAAGAAACTTGTTTGAATGTTATTCGTCAATCGTTCCATAAAACTCCTATAATTCTTTTTCTATAAACTCTTAATTATCTTCGAAAAAAAGTAGTCACACTTTTCTAGGCTTAATGTTGTTTTTTCTCGAGTTTTTCAGAAACCAAAAAGCGCTGAAAAGAAGGAAAACGAAGCTCCGTGCCAGGATCAATTTTACCCGATGCTTTGTGGATCGAAAAAAAGCCGACCAACGGATCTTTCTTATTAGTAATTTCCCAATAGGTTATCGAATGAATAAATCTATACTATGGAGAAAATTAAACGGTTAAGTTGGTTGGCTGTAAAGTTCCAATGAAGAACTCTTGTCCGGATAATTTTGCCTAACCCTGTAGTTCAATTAAAACTTACTGTAACGATAGTCAGCAAGACTCCTCAACCAAAAAGCATTCATCGGATTGAGACGAAGACCAGTTGTGAGAGCCGCCAAAAGAGATGAATCGATAAAGTCCTCGTGAGCGTTCAGCATTCTAAAAAAAAGGATTGTTTTAAAGAATACAGATTAAATAAGGATAAATCTCACTCAAGATTATTGTTCCACAGTTCTTTATATTGAAATTCGAGTGCAAGCGTCGGTCGATTCGTCGTGAAGAGATGACGATTGTAGAGATGGCACAAATGAGAGATCAATAGGGAGAGCTGCTCTTGTTCCTGGATAAAGACTAATTTATAAGACTGTCAAAGCTGCACTCACCGTCAACAATTTGATGAAAGCCAACAAATCGCCTCGTTCTTTTTCCAATCTTCTTCTCATCGCTTCATTTTCTTTTCTAAAAACGATTGCTTTGAAAATGATTGTTTTAAAAAATGTAATTCAAATTTACCCAGAGGCCGACAAAAAGATTCCATTCATATCGATGAAATGAGCAAAGCTATTCGTGAAGTCGACTTTTGTTGCATGCGGCTTTGTGAGTACCTAGAAATTGAGGGTTTATAGTGCTCGTTTTATTCTATTTTACGGTTCTACTGGACTTGCTTGTCATCATAGCATTTCCAAATCCAAACCTTTAAATGAAATGGGGTACCATTGAAAATGTGTATCAATATATTTTTCAGCTCTTAAAAGTCAAATATGATTTCGTGCACGCTGCAAAAAAAGTTTACTATACAAAAAAGTTCCGCCTGAAGCGCTTCGTCTCCGAGGTTGCTGGAAGTCGATGACCGGTATGGACCCTTACATTCACGATTCGCTTGGCGCCCAAGGAGGAACTCCAAGGATCAACTAGATGGAACCCCTGGGCGCCCAAAAACGAACTCAAAGACCGATTGGACGAGATGAATGAAAAGGCTTAAGCAGAAAGTTGATGCAAAAAATTTTTGCTAACATTTATGTTGTTATTACATTGGTGTTCGTTTTAATTGTTGATTAGTGTTAAAGTGGCAAGATGTTAGTTCACTCGTTGTGTGATTCGAGTGTACGTTTTTTAGTCTCTGCTACCCGATAAATCAATTCCTTTTTACAATGTGCACCAAATGTTAATTTGTGCGTTCGAGCAGTGAAAAGCGTAATGTAATAATGGTTTTCGTAGTGAGGCACAAAAGCAAATCTAACTCGAATCTTTAGCAAACTAGGCGGCAGCGAATCTTTAGCGTTAGCAGCACTAGTTGTTTCCCTAAATCATCAAAAACTCCAAAAATTCTCTACCTGAATCCAGGCAGCCAACAATTTCGCCAACATCAAATATGGAGCATCAGCGGCAGCGGTTTGTCTAAAAAAATTTTTTTGGAAAATTGTACAAATAAAACCCACGGTATATCGTTAAGCACCGAGTCTCCCTCATCGACATTCAAGAGGAAAGCGACGCACTAAAGTTGAAAAAATTAACTGTATTTGTTTATGCTTATGCTACTCACCTCAACCATGAATTCGGAGCTGCGTTTCTCATTGTGTTTAATGATTTTTTTCACCAGAATTACCTGTTCTCGAATTGCTGTTTCTAAAATTCGATTGGTTTATTGGATTCCAACAGAATGGTCAGTTTCTCACGTTCAATTGCACAATGTGCATATTGTAGTTGTCGATTCAGGGCTCGAGTTTGCACGATAATTGCCTAAAAATGCGATCATTATTTTCGACTCTTCTGCTCAGATATGCCTCTTTAAAGACGCAGTCTTGATGTGCCAAAATCGGGATTTGTTGGACGACACCATTCAGAAATTCTCTCCACTTTGGGATATTCTAAAAGCGTTTACTTGAAAAGGTTTTCTTTCAAAAGCTTACCTGTAACCTTGCCAATTGTTCAAGTTTTCCCAATAACAAAGCATGGAATTTCTGTGGATTCTGATGACTCAACACTTTGTCGGCTAGCATTTCCGGATATTTGTACTGAAATTCAATTAGAACTTACTAAATAGAATAAAAACTTACCAAAATCGGCAAATTGATTCTACTATCGAGTTGTAGCAATTGATGCAAGATATTCTTGAGAGAATTCACATCAAACGACGTTACCAAATTCCAATAGAGACTCTCCGAGGCGAGAAGGCCTAAAAGTTAAAGGATTTCCCGATCGTTCGTCTTTCCTTTGATCGCCTTTCAAAAGCCTTCAAAAGCCCTCCAAAACCAACCCGAAATGATGGATGCCGATGGTGGGGATCGATTCGGTAGTTGACTACTCATCGTCACCATGTTTCTCAACTCAGTCAACGTGAATCTGTTTTTCTGAAAAAATCTAGTGATCAAGTGAAGCTGCTTCAATTAAACCTCAGCACTTTCGGTGAATCTCGGCACACTCATCGATATGTAGTAGAGGAGAGATCGATGCAATGAGACATTACGTAAACGAGGCCACAATCGGGTGATCGCCTAAAAAAAGGTATAATTAAAAGGTACAACATAGATTTAAAAAAAAAAATGCTATCACTGGTTGCTCTTAGAAAAACGTTCAGAACACACTTGTAGATATCGAGTAATTTGTGGTGGTTGAAAGTCACGAAAAGCAGTCGACGGATAGACGGGTAGTCCATCGATTGTGTCCCTAGCCAGATTTTCGACCTAAACATGTATGTTATCTATTAGATTTGATCGTTGATTAACCTTTAAAATTTGTATCCTTGATTGTTCTCTTGTTTGTGTCTCTGTGTGTTCCCGAGTGATCCAGAAGCGTCGGCTAAGCGAATTGTCCTCGGTGAATGTCTGAAAAATGGAAAAATGGAAAAATGGAAATCTTATAAGCTTAAGGATTAACTCTTTACCATTTCTTCCACTTTCAAGTCCGCTTTTTGAGCAACATACGCGAGTTGGGGTAATCCGACAGCGATCAAGTATCTGAAATGATTGAGTTTTTCTCATGTCCACGATATTTTTCTTTACTTTCTATTCAATTCACTAACCCATTCAACTCTTCACGATTGATGAAACAAATCGAAATTTTCTCTAATTCTTTCGGCAAATGACTCGTCAACTAAAAATAAACATAAAACTAATCTAAATAACTTCTCAACATACATCTCCAAAATATTTCCGCGCATCGTCGAACTTGAGCAATTGAAAGTAGTAGCAGGCAAGCTCGTAGCGAAGCTAAAATAAAAAAAAAAAACAATAGAATACACAAATTCTAAAGACTTTCCCCGAGTCTAAGAGCAACTCACCACATTCAGCAGCTCATTTTCGGGTATTTGTTGATGAACGATCTCAAAATCGGGCATCGGTACACCGTCAAGTGTCAAATCTTTGCCTATCAGTGCCACCGACAAATAGTTGTCTCGATACTAAACGAAATTAATGTTTAACAATGGCATTTCACACAATTTAACAATGGCATTTCACACAATTTAACACTCCGCAGCAATCATCAACCTGTAGAAATGGTCCCAAAAACGTGTCAATCGTCGGCACCTCGACTCTTCTCGTTTTCGCCTCTAGCACCATTTTCTCGAGCTCCGTCGCCGCATCTTTGCAAAATTCTCGAATCTGTAATTTTTCGACAATTAAACAAGATCATAAAGCAAAAATCAACCTCAGCAATGGCTTTTCGATGACTCATCGCCACAATGATTCCCCGATCTTCTTGAGCATTTCTAAAAGTGAAGCATAGCTACATTTTAACGCCAAATAACAAACGGATTATTCGTTTGTGGTTTCCCGGCTGGCGGTGGAATGCGCATCTTCTTGTTGATATGAAGACAGAAACGAGCGTAGAGAAGTTGGGAGAAATTGACGAGATGCTGAAAATGGTGAAATACTAGGTTGACTAAAGGACTAAAGTCTTGCATCATATATTTCATTATCTAAATGAACGAGCCTTAAACTATCAAAATACCAAAAGATTTCTTTCATGTTAAAAGTTTATCGTTTACTTTTTGCCATTTTTAAATAATTTTTTAGTATTTTCAATCTTTTGAACATTTTAAATTTAAAATTAATTAAAAATTAATAATCTACGAGAATAAGAAGTGGTATTTTTAAAAATATTGAACAAATGAGCACATAAAGAAAACCACTAAACGGATTATTCTGAAATTTCGGTTGTAAACCTAACTTTTTGTGCTCTATCTTTTTCATTATGTCATCAAAATAGGTTTCATTGAAAGAAACAATCCAAATCGCATCATCAGACCTTGTCGTTTTTGAACATATCACTTAGCTTCTTACTAATGTAAAACCTTTAAAAATAAAGCTTTTCAGAAACTTTCAAAAATCATTTGCAAGAGAAATGAGCAATAGAGAGAATTGAGCAGAGTCTCATTTACAAGAGAATTGGGCTATCTAATGAAAGAAATCGTACCTTATTTGTTAGCCTTAGATTTATTGAATTAAAAATGAATTTGGGTGCAAGACTTAGTACTTGTAACGTAATCCAAATTTTTATAAGCCAAAAAATTTGTACCTCCTTTTTCGACGCAATGATGCACTCATTCGTTTTCTCAATTAAGTAGCGCACAAGGTGAGCGTTTTGTCTAAAATTTTAGTTAATACAAAGAAGAAAAACGACGTTTAAATCGATTAAATACCGTTTTTCATCCAAAATCTTCTCAAAAGCCCAATCGATCGCAGCAAAGCAGGCCATTGTGCACAGCCAAGTGAGACTTTTCTTGTACTGTAGATATTGAACATCGGTTTCCACTAAAAATCAAGTTTTACAGTTAAAGCTAAAAATAAAGCTTATCTTTAAAGGAGTCCTCCTCCGGTCTCAAAAGTGATTTTCTAGAACTACGACTATTTGTATACCAATCGAGTTTCATTCATTTCAATCATTTCAGTCTCCTCTACAATGATTGCATAAAGAAAAGCCTTGAAAACACTAAAAATTCCGGAAAAACTATGAAAAACTGTCAAAAAAAATGCGTTTGGGAGTCTCAAATTCAATGTGACAGAACCTTTATATATATATATATATATATCAGAATTAATTCTACCATAGCTTTCGTCTAATCTACGGTAACAATTTCTCGCCCTATAAAAACCAGCAAAAGACCGTTCAAGATATTCAGCTATATAGACGCATTTTTTGAAAGTACGGGCGCTTTTAAAAAATAAAATACTAAAAAACTTTTGCGACTGTATGAGAGAAGTGGGTTATTATTACAGCATTAACGGCAACTATAACGAATTTGAAATTCTAAAACGTACCCAAAATTTCTGTATAGCTGCCACAGCTAAATGCAATCACTGGCCATCCAGGGCAGCTATGCAGAAACTTTGAGCCACCTTTTAGCTTTGTTATATCAAAGTTTTCGATCCCGAGTTATATTGAAGTTCGACTGTAATTATGAAAATCCCTCACTTTCCATTCGTTCAGATGGTTCCGTCAATGCGAGAGTTCTTTTCCGCAAAGAGGCCAAATCTTTCTCCAAAGCTATCGTCTGCTCCACATATTGTAGGGTCAACGCGGCGATAGTGTCTAAAATCGAAGGCGTATTTGTTTTTTCTAAAATCTTTTAAATCTTGAATCAAATCTAAACTCACCCTGATTCTCTCTAGTTTCTCTTAAAAGTGACGACAATTCATTTGGTCGCAAGAAGTAGTCGATCCATGAACGCGACGGCATATCCCAAGCCTAGAAAATCAAGAAATTTTACAGTTTACATTTTTAAGAAGAAAGAAGAATCTTTAGAGAATCTCGGTGTTTACAATTTATCCTACCTGACACAACTCCGAGAACGGAGGAGGTGCAGGCGGTTTCCCCATCAATGACATCTTTGTGAGCGTTGTGTCGATGAAGAGAAAACTTTCTGTAGAGCAGTCTCACACCATTAAACAACCGATTCAACTATGAAACACAAAAATGACTAGCAAAATTTGCAAGACTATTGTTTGTGTTTTTAATCAAACATTCATCTTTTAATCAAACAATCATTGGGATCCCCAAATCTTCGCTTTTCTTTTCATAATCTACAAATTATGTATTTCATTCGATCAGGAACCCAAAAACCTGTCTAAATCTTAATCAAAAAAGCTCTCAAAAAAGCTGTAATCATATTCTTTATTCCGAAAAAATATGTATCTGAGCGAATCAATGAAAAAGCTTTCAAAAAGAGACTCACAAATGTATGCGTAATTGATTTCACAAGAGAAAATCTCAATGATGAGAGAGAACTTCACGGAATGACACGGTAAAGATCGGTAAGTAAAGAAGTAAGCTGAAAAGAGTAAAAGAGTCAACTACAAAGAATACTAAACGTAAAAGCTAGAAGTAACTAGAAGTGCTACAAAAGAAGAAAGACTAGTGACAGACATATTAGCACAAAAGCGAGAGAAAAAAGAAGCAGAAAATGCACTTGGAAGGCGAAAAAAATGCGTATTTCATGAAAACTCCCTTAGCATTCATCGACAAGGGCTTGTTCAGTGTTTGTGATGAAGCTTCCCGATTGAGTCTCGTGCAATTGTTTCATCAATTTGGGTACATTCATTGTTGGAACTGAAAATGAACAAGTTAAGCAACTCTTTGCAAACTAAAGACATTCATCAATGTTTCCTGTAATCAATGTTTTCTGTAATCATAAAATCGTCTAAAGCTTGACAATTACGTACGAAATTACGATAACAAGATAAAACCCACAATATCCCAGTCCTTGCAAGAAGAGCATGAGCGCCTCAGTCACAGCTTCCGGTCTATCGTCGAGCACCAATCCACACGAGTCCGAGATCTAAAAAATGCTATTAGCAGCGCTGAATGCTATCATATGGCAGCGCAGAATTACAAACCTTAACCCAATCACTTTTTGCCGGATCCAAACGAGCGTTCACCTCAACGGTCTCATTAATGAAAGCAGAGCCTAAAAAGCATTTACTCATCGCCTAGTAAAAAAAACTATACCCGCTCCAACAATCTGTAGTGTTGGGACTTTAATTTGTGGTCCAGCAGCACCGCCTTCTCGTGAAATATTGATCGGTGTGCGACTAAAAGAAATCTTTTAAACAAGAAATGTTTAAACAAGAAATGTTTAAACAAGAAATCTTTTAACAAGAAAGCCTACTTGATATAACTTTCGATCAACATAGCCAAATTGGTTGGATTGGGAAGATGTTGAAAGTAGACCCGGTATTGTCTAAATGCAAAACGATTTAGACAAAACGTTTTGCATAATCAATATGCAAAAAAGGCTTTAACTCTTTTACCGAAGAATATCCGATGTACATTCGTCTAAACGGCGTCCAAAGTGATGCCACATCAAGTAATCAGCCACAAATGAAGTCATTCCATAAGCACGTAAATGGCGCATGTTCATCTAAATCAATTTTCAGCAAACAATTTAGCAGTGCAAAGTCCTTGGGTAAACCTTGGACAAATTTTCAGTAATAGCCTTAATCTCAATCCAGTAAGCCTTAATCTCAATCTAGTAAGCCTTAGTCTTAATCTAGTAAGCCTTAATCTCAATCTAGTAAGCCTTAATCTTAATCCAGTAAGCCTTAATCTTAATCCAGTAAGCCTTAATCTCAATTCAGTAAGCCTTAATCTCAATCTCGTAAGCCTTAATCTACCTTTTCGTATCCCCATTCGATCCACCCACATTTTGTGTGTACGCAATTCACCAAAATCAGCGCGTCCAGTTTGTTCGGATTCAGAAGCTAAAAGCTTTATCGTTTTTTTTTTCCTTATCGTTGGTAAAAAGCTCACTCATAAATTTTATAAAAAAAACCTACCGCATAGCGCACAAAAACATTGGCACCAAGGCCGACACCAAAGCCGAAAAAACTCTTCAATCTAAAATATTCGTTTTTAGAGTTTAAGTTTTGACACACTTACTTGAAATGATCGGCTACCGTCTCGACGATTTTCGCTAGACCTTCCATTGATGGGTATTGATAACTAAATATATCGTAATAACATTTATTGTCATAATCACATTTAACTAACTCACTTCTCAGGTAGAGGACTTGCATCCATTTCTTGTCCAGGAGCATTGATGTTGTAGACGCAAAATTTGTCGGTGAATTCGGCAATCGAAGCAAATTGGAAGAAGTTTTGAAAGTTGCTTTCTGCTGTAAAAGGAAAAGATCACAAAAGATTGATGAAGAAAACAAACAATCGAGTCCCAAATCGTGAAAAGTGATCATTGCTTTTTTCGCTCGATCTCCGTAGATAGAAACCTTCACATTGCCAAACGCAGTGCCAACTCTTTCCTAAAGATAAAAAGGTTAAACTTTTTGTAAACTGTTAAAAGTCGGAAAGACTTTGTGCTAATATCCTGTAGATTTGATTAAAGTTAAACTTTTGGCAATTACCGCTTTATTTTAACATCTTCAAAAGAAAAGAAGCAAAAAACCATTTTCAATCAATTAATTAGATTCAACTTTTCAAAAGTTCCTACCTCAGTTAGATCAGCTCCATGTGTTGGTTCGCAATTCGTCGAATAGTGATCATCTTTTGCGAATGGATACGTCTCCAGCTCGATTCCAGCCATTTCTAGAAAAGGAATAGTTTAAAAATGAGTATTCTTAAGGATGAAAGACATAAGAGAAGGCCTTAAAGCTTAAGGAAATGATTTAAATTCGTTTTCACTATAAATGCAAAATTCTCGCTATCAAATTAGAGCTGTCAGATTAACGATCTCTCATAAAATCATATGGGCGGAAGCTCTCGTTTCTCGGTGAATCGAGTACGGTAGAAAGGGCATCAAATAGGCGCCTAGATGGAATACCCAGCTGAGAAATTTGATCAAAGGCTTTGTTATTAGTCTAAGGTCAAATGCTATTAAACAAACTTACCCAAACCATTTTCTTTCACATATTAAAAATAATATTAAATAATGGTCAGTGATCGCTCATGTAATATCACTTTCAAATTCAAATATATAGATTTCGAATGAAGGGATTTACTTGATCGATATCTAATCACAATAAAATGAGATCAAACAAAAACACGATGAAACGATAGTGAAAAAAGAATTCTATGATAAACGACGAGAAAAGATCAAGAAAATATGATGAAACGGTGCAATGGTGTAAGAATCATAGGAGAAAACAACGAGAAAAGAGTCACATGACAAAAGAATCAATCACAAGACAATAAAATATTAAAGATGATATAAAAGAAAACATTATATCAAGCGAGATCCATCATTTCGTTTCCGATTGGCAATTGCTTTGTGCCTTCTTCACTGATCGTTTCATCTTTGATCATCGATTCAATATTCTCCTTCCTCTCCAGCAACATGAGCTAAATACAAAGATAAAGATGAAAAAAAAAATAGATACTCACAATGTTATCACCATTCTTCACTGCAAGACTTCTTTTCTGAGTGGCATCTTTTTTGTTGACGATGTCGAGATTCCTTTGAGAAATCAATGCATCATTGTGAATAGATCTAAATTGTAAAATAGCATCGAACAGTTTCATTAGTCAATCAAATAAAAAAAGTTACTTGTTGAATAGTTCGATAAGTCCATTGCGTTGTTGATTCATTCGCTCTTGTTTCTCTTTGCATTCGTTAATGGCCGTCTTGAGAGCTTGAATTTTCTCGTCTCTAGCTTTCTTGTTCTATAAAGAATCAAGTTCTTATGATAATTCAGTCGGCATTAAATACCTCTTCAGTGCGTGTCTTGAGATTATTGCTTTTCTCACGTTCTTCCTTGACTTTTCTGTCCAATTCGGTCATCTTCTCTTTGAGGAGTCGTTTATTGTTTGCCTGATCGAGACGGGCTTTCCTAAAAAAAAAAGAATACATTTTAAAAAGCTGAATGTTTAAGTATTAGGCTGACCCGTAGAATTTTTTATTAACTTTTAAAGTATAATTTCTCAAAAATCCTATCATCAATCTTTCTAAAAATTTTATAGTAACTTTTAGTAAAGGTTTTTTAGGTTTTTTGCCAAAAAATGAGATTTCCTTTTCCGTATCACTTTTTATAAAAGTTGAAAAAAAGTGATTTTCAATAGTAAGTTAAAATCATTTCTTTTTCAGCATAAAAACTACATTATCAAATAAGTCGGTCACCACAAAAGCATGTGAGAATTTTATTATGATTACCACATAAAGCCACATAGATAAATATAGATAAAGAATAGATAAATAGCCAATAGATAAATATAGATAAAGAAGTCAAAGAAGATAAAGTCCATTTAAAGATTTTGTTTGTTTTTTTTGAGTTTTCCATTTTTACACTGACAATTCGAAAGAAAGGTGTGCTTTTTTTTAATTAAAGCTTTATATGAAAAACGGTTTCACCAGAAAAAAATTTCCCGTTTTATTCACTTCATTTTATTTTTGGGTTCATTTTTTTTATCTAGAAACTAGAAATCTGGAAAGTTCCCCTCAAAAGGCGTCAGAAACCAATGAACTAATGAACAAATGAACAAATGAAATCTAATGGATTCAAAATCAATCAACTAATGGAACTAACTAACAGGAACCAATCAACCAAAACTAGTGGTCCGATTGCTCTCATATTTTGGCAAAAACTTTTTCAACGATAGCTTTATTTGTTGCAAAAATTGATGATGGGGTTTTAAAGGAATTACACTTTAAAAGTTGAAAAAAATTAATTCTCCAAACTTATTGACCAGCCAAATAATTTTAATTTTGATTCTATTCCCAGAAAAACAAACAAAACAACCTATCCAATCTCTATAAACGTTAAAAATCCAAATTCTCACCTGATACTAGCGACTCCTTCGGTGCTCAAAACACGACATCTTTCTTCGATCAATTTCTCGAGTGAATCCTTTTGATCGATTTTCTCTTGAAATTTGCCCAGCAACATACGCAAGAAATCGAGTTGCTCCGAGCTAGTGGCCATATCTAAAAATTTGAATATTATTTGTCAGTAAGGAAAAGATATATATAAAAAAAAACAGATAACAAAATGATGATAAAAGACAATTCAGCAACAACAAACAAGAAAAGCTGCGTTTTTCTAAAGCCTTTTATATCAAAAGCTAAAGGCTAAGCTTGTTTTATATCAAAAAAAAATATAAACGCTTGTCTACAATAATAAGGTCAGCTTATAGAAAACTAAAACTTTTCGCTTTCTCCACTAACTTTCGCCGCCGACTGAATACTTTCTCTTTTCTCGTTTGGCTCTTCTTTTTCAAATGAGGTTACGGTAGAAAGCGCACAGAATAAGCCTTTTGCGCAAAACCTCGGATAATTTTTCATCTTTTCATCTTCCATATTCCATCTTTTCATCTTCCACCTTTCTTCTTCCTTCTTTCTTCTTCCATCTTCCTTCTTTTCATCTTCCATCTACCATCTTCCATCTTTTCATCTTCCATCTACCATCTCCCACCTTTCTTCTTCCATCTTTCTTCTTCCATCTTTCTTCTTCCACCTTTCTTCTTCCATCTTTCTTCTTTCTTCTTCCATCTTCCATCTTCCATCTCCCTTCTTCCATCTTCCTTCTTCCATCTTCCTTCTTCCATCTTTTCATCTTCCATCTACCATCTTCCACCTTTCTTCTTCCTTCTTCCATCTTCCATCTTCCTTCTTTTCATCTTCCATCTACCATCTTTCTTCTTCCATCTTTCTTCTTCCTTCTTCCACCTTTCTTCTTCCATCTTCCATCTTCCATCTTCCTTCTTCCATCTTCCTTCTTTTCATCTTCCATCTACCATCTTCCATCTTTTCATCTTCCATCTTCCACCTTTCTTCTTCCATCTTTCTTCATCCATCTTTCTTCTTCCACCTTTCTTCTTCCATCTTTCTTCTTTCTTCTTCCATCTTCCATCTCCCTTCTTCCATCTTCCTTCTTCCATCTTCCATCTTCCATCTCCCTTCTTCCATCTTCCTTCTTCCATCTTCCTTCTTCCATCTTTTCATCTTTCATCTTCCATCTTCCATCTACCATCTTCCACCTTTCTTCTTCCTTCTTCCATCTTCCTTCTTCCACCTTTCTTCTTCCTTCTTCCACCTTTCTTCTTCCATCTTCCATCTTCCATCTTCCTTCTTTTCATCTTCCATCTACCATCTTTCTTCTTCCATCTTTCTTCTTCCTTCTTCCATCTTTCTTCTTCCATCTTTCTTCTTTCATCTTCCATCTTCCATCTCCCATCTTCTTTCTTCCATCTTTCATCAAAACCATTTTTCAATTTGCATATATTTAAAATTTCTATTTAACTTGATGATTTCAGCTTTTCCTTCACGATGAAGCTCATTTTTCTATTTTCTTCACTACAAAATCGGCATGAACACAGCTTACTACGAAGATTCAAAGATGTTAAACGTAATTTTTTTCAATTTTCCAAACTTTCTCTTGCATTTTAGGCAATATTTCCGGGCAATAATGCGATCGAATCAGCACAAAGAAGCATTCCGACGTATTCTATTGTAAGTTTTCGAGATTTTTTTGATGAAAATCATTTTTAAAACCCTTTGAATCTTGATAAAAGTTTGTTTGTTTAACTTTTTTTGTCATTTTTATTTTAGTTTGGGATCGACACTCATACAGCAATCAATCAAGAAGACCAACAATTTCTCGACGAGTTGATCGATCGCCTGATGAGAGCTCCATTGACGGGGAGGGCGGAGAAATCGCTGATCTTCCCACTTAGTCGAATCATCAGCTCGCGAAACAATTCAACTGCGCCTCTCGTCAACGTCTTCGTCACGCCAAATGAGGTGAAGTTAGCTGATTAAAGAGGTGAAGCTTTGATCCACGTAGTTCCTCTCTTCTTTTGTCGGTTAATCGTTCATTTCTAGATCCGTCGTCTCACTCATCTCTGCATCGAATCCTTCAAAGCACAGCCAATGCTACTACGGCTCAATCCGTATCCTCAACCATCAAAAACGCACTACATTCCTCTTGTTTAGAGCGCCTAGATTGCACATCTTCGGCGATTTGCACGGTCAACTGCGAGATTTGAGAACACAAATCAACGAAATTGGACTCCCAATCGATCAATCGGACAGTCTGCAATACCTCTTCTTAGGTGACTATGTTGATCGAGGCGTGCAGGTGAGAGTTTCTTCGCTTTAATTAACTTTATTATCATTTCTAGAGTGTTGAGACGTTTGTATTGTTGGCGGCGTTGAAGTGCCGTTATCCGAGAGCCGTTTACATGTTAAGGTAAACATATTTGATCTCTGGGATCATCGTAATTTCATGCTAGGGGCAACCACGAAGATCACAACACAGCAATCACATATGGTTTTTACGATGAGATTATGTCCAAATATGCGAATACAGTCAATCCGTCGAATAAAGGAAAAGGTGAGGCTAAACCAGTGTATTTTCATCGTTGACGCCTTTTAGGTGAACGAATATGGCTCCATTTTGTGTCAATCTTCAATTGGATGCCCGTGGCGGCTCTTATTGGAGAGAAGATTCTCGCAATGCACGGTGGACTCTCTCCACATCTCACCAATCTTCAACAAATCAATCAAGTGAGTTGTTTGGCATCCATTCAATTCTTTCTCATTTAGATACCCCGTCCCACGCTGACCCCTTCGTATGGTTTAATGTGTGACCTGTTATGGTCAGACCCCGAGCCATTGGTGAGCTTGTATACTGTAAATACTTCAATAGAAGCCCTCCTATAGGAGCATCGCGTAGTCTAAAGTTTACCCTCAAACAAACGCTCATATCTCGACACCAGTATGTTTGTTTCTGCGCGCTTAGGTATCAAATTAAAGTCGAGAAGATGGGTAATATTTTAAGATATAACAAATATTTTTTAGCATTAACCAGCGCTTGGAAAAAGCGTTTGAAAAGTGGTAAAAGAGTCGATTTTTCATCATTTTTCAATCATTTTGTTCTAAGCGCTGGTTAATGTTAAAAATCGATGCTATATCTCAAAAAATTACCCATCTTCTTTACTTTAATTTAATACCTAAGCGCGTCGAAATAAATATCTGGGCGCCGAGATATGAGCATTTCTTTGTTTGTAAACTTTGACTACACGACGTTTTTATAGGAGGCCTTCTATTAGAGCATTTACGGTAGATCAATCTCAAATACTTGCCTTCTTTACAGAGTGATCCAACGGCTAGCTGGGCAATGTCGTCTCGTGGAATCTCGTTCACTTTCGATGAGCGAACCGTCATCTCGTTTTGCCATCGACATCACATCGAGCTCATCGTGCGCGCCCATCAGATCAACACCGAGGTACGTCTTTGAGTGTTCTGTTCGAAATTTGCGTATTTTTAGATGTTACAACACGGGCACAAATGGTTTGGTCAAAATGGCCGTTTGGTGACACTCTTCTCCGCGCCCAATTACCTCAACATGGGCAATGCTGGTGGAGTTCTCGTCGTTGAGCCATCTACGACTACAGCGAACGCTTACCGAGTACGAGTTCATTGAGAATCAAAGTTAAACTTTAAAAATTTTCGTTATCCGTCCGCGTGCTCGCCTTTCGTCCAACAGTCTCAAGGAAGAAGAAAAAGAAAGCCGTCAAGAAATCGGCACGAAGCAAGAAATGATAGAAATGCTTAAATTTATTGTCAATAAATATCTTAACCACTTACATAAATAAAAATATCAATTAAGTGAAGAAATAGAAAAAAAGACAGAGATCTGTAAACCCATAAAAACAAAAGAAATTTTCGAAAAAATGTACATTGAAATCACAAATCGTTCAATTCTGAGTGGAGTGTTTATTTTGAAGGAGACGCTCGGTGTTTCTCGTTGCTGCAATCAATGGCCCACGCATTTGAGTGATCTAAAATTTCAGCTAATTGTGCTAATTCAGCTAATTGTGATAATTCAGCTAATTGTGATAATTCAGCTAATTTTATTAGCTTCTAAAATCTATCATTAAAAATCGAAGTTTATATTGAAATAAAATAAAAAAAAGAGACAGAGATCTGTAAACCCATAAAATAAAATGAAATGCTCAAACTCTTTCACAAACCTCTATCTGTTGAATGTTATCCATTTGAGCACTCTTGTAGGTTGACTAAAAAACAAGTTGATCATTATCATATCGTGCGCAAAAGAAAAACAAACAAACTTGTTTCAAAAATTTCAGCGTTGATGAGCGTATTTTCGCCTCACGTTTATCCCAAAGATCTTGAATGAGAGTTTTTACCTGTAAAATAAAAATCAACAAATTTTAGCTAAATCAGCTAATCAACTTTTAGCTAAATCAAGGCAAACAAACTTGATCTCCATCTTGTAAATCCTCTTTAAAATCTCGGACAACAATGTGAGCTATTTCGAAGAAATGCAAAGATGGAAGCTAAACAAAAACATAGGGTTTTCCTCAAGATTCAACTTTAAAAGCCTTTAAAAACTTCAAAAATCATGAAACTTATGATTTTTCATCATTTACATCCTCTACATCATTTCTTCATCATTTCTTCTTAAACAAAAAAAAACTAAAATCAACTCACTTGCAAAAGACTGTTACTTTCGTTCTCTAATGTGATCAAATCCTTTAAACAATCAATGAGCAACCAATTTGGAACCTAAACAAAAAGTGAAACTTTGAGAAAAGTCATCAAAAAAACGATTACTTTAAGTACACATTTCATTCGTTTCCTCAAATTGATCCCAATCCAAAGTGGGACTTCGACGGGAAGACCGGCTTCAAATGGGCCTAAAATTCACTTTTGTTTTGCAAAACAAATGCGAAAGAACAACAAAGAACATACCCATATCACCGCCAATCAATTGAATCGATCCACTTGTAAAATTGGGAATCACCTAAAGAAAGAAAGAAAGAATGGATTTTAAAAAGAAAAGTTTTTTTTTGTTGTTTTTGTTTTATTTTATCCTTCAAAAAAATTTTTCTGGCTAGCTATTTGACAAACTTTTTTTACTGTAATCGCATCGTTTAGCCTTGACGTTTTAGCACAAATCTATAGCTTATCAGTCAAACAAATGTTTGACAAACAAACAAACCAACAAACAAACTTTTGAATACACAAAACACTACTTTATATCCTGACTCCCAGTTATCAGATCGACTTGAGCTTGGTTTTAAAATGATCCTCATGAAGTTTGGTGAAAAGGAAAAATTTGGTCGAAACTTATAAGTCAAATAAATGTTTGACAAACACAAACAAGCCAACAACTCCAACAAATCTTATCAATATTAAACAACTTGTCTTTTACAGTGATCAAAAAAAAGTCTTCACCAATTACCTCGCAAATATATTAAAAGAGGATTTTTTTTTAGAAAAAATGACCATTTCAGAAAAATCCAATAAGAAACACTTTTTTTGCAAATAATTTAACCAATGTGCTCTAGTTTCCGGATTAAGCAGCTATTTTCCTGGGTGCTAATCAAAACAGCACCGTGTACAAACAGCATCGTGCACAAACAGCGCCACGGCAAAAATCTCTCCTCCACGGCTAAGTTTCTGTGTTTCTTATTGGATGTAGAATAAAATTATCTACATTTTGCATACTTTGTGACCATTTAAAAACAGTCTTGGTGCCGAGAAAAGCTCAGTTAACCTCTTTTTGATGCCTTTTTCATTTTTTGGCATTTTCTCATCCGAAATTTGTTCTAAACGGTTCCAAAAAATTCAGCAAATAGCTAATTCTTTCCTAGATTCAATGAAAAAAAGAAATACAAATAAATTTAATCGCTAGCTCATTATTTTGGCCTATTTCGCGAGCGCTGTTTTGCAATTTTCACCTATAAAATGACTCATTTTTCAAGAGTTCTCTTATTTGAAGGTATTTTTCTCCGTAGTCGTTGAGTTTTAATTCAAAGTGTTATCTCTAAAATTGAATCATTGTCTACTAAAAAAAACTTTCTAGCTCTCCAAATTATAGGATCTCCCGGCTTACGATATTTCGGAGCTGCAAGGTCAAGAAACCCCATTTTTCCATCTAAAATGGATTTTCAGATCTCGAAAACTAAAAGAGCTCGATAAAAACGCTTTTCAAATTCGAATTCAGCATGGTCGAGTAATAGGTCAAGACTTTTTTTGGCCACTCTATATGAAAAATCAAAAATCAACCTCAATCAGCTCATCGCCAGCCAAAAAGTCGCAAATTTCCGAGTCCATAAGCACTAAATAAATGTTAGCTAACAAAAAGTTTAGCTTAAATTCCAATCAAAAAATCATTTGTGTTCGCAATAAAACCACCAATTTTCCTCTTCAAATAAATGAAACAATTTATCTAAACACATAAAAATATAACTTAAAAGCGAAGAAACGATAGAGAGAAAAGTTGGATGAAGGGAGAAGAGAAACGAAATCGATCGTTCAATCGTTTTTAATCAGTCACACATCACAGAAACGGTAAAATATCAAAAAAAATACAAAGCAAAAAAGAGGACAGATCAAACGCAATCAATGGATGTCCATGCTTTCGACAATCTCGTACTTGATTTCTTTGCGCTTGAGGACGGCCGTCGATCCGGGCTAAAATAGCAAAAATTTAGTGATTAATCTTATACTGGGAAATATCTCGTAACAAAAATTCATTAAATTTCCAATTTCTAAGATAATTTCTTTAAAATCTACCTTAAATTTATATTCGAGATCGATGGGCTCCGGCTTCTTGCAAAAATCCGGCACGATTGGTCCCTCAAAGATGGTTTTCTCAGGACGGATGATCACAAGATCTAAAATATCAATATGCATAAATAGCGGCCAATATGACTTATTACTTTAAAACATAATTAAATATCTTATTCTTATTTTTATTCTGTTTTATTTCCACAAAAATTCTCTTTACTGTCTTCGAAAAGTTGAAAATTTCGATAACATGCTTTCTCCCAGGGACTATTTTTACCATAGATACCCTTAATATTGAGAAAATACGATAGACAACAAATTTTTAAAAAAAATCTATTATCTAATGATTATGATTTAAATCACTTACTCAATGAGTTTCCACTAGCATTATCTCCACTCATACCAGCGTGAAGAGCCCGTTGCACAAGAGCCTAAACAAAAGAAAATTTTTTAAAGTATTGCTTTAGACGACTTTCGATTCTTCCAACGTTTGCAGTTAAACGTTGACAGAACATTAAACTTTTGGACCTACTTACCTTAGCTTGTGCCTCATCCATGCCAACCTTGAAGTCACGTTCGAGCACCGAGATTGCGGCGTAGCTTCCAGAACCCTAAAATATTGGTCAAATCTGATATTAAACTTGTAATCAAATTAGTTGTTTGTTCTCTTAAGGATATACAGATATTAGCCATCCATACCCCGGGCATGCACAATGCCAATATTCTTTCATCCAATCCCCACCTGAGCAGCAAACTCCTTATGCATGGTGGTTCCATTGGCAGTGCATTCGTAAAGATGTGGGCCAGTTGGGTCAACTCCACCGATCAACAAGTAGGCTCCGATGTAGCCCTAAAAGATGAATTTGGTGCAATTATTCTATTCTATTCTTTTACCTGATAATCAAATAGATGTTGTTTTGCTTGTCGCATCGCGGTGATCACGCGCGCCTTCTTTCCGGTGTTCAACTCCATGAGACGGAGATTTGATGAAAGCATCTTCGTGACCTAAATACAAGAATTAGTCTATCAGGTTGGCCGGAAAGCGTTGACTGCTTTTTTAAAGGTTACTTTTTGAAATGAATAATAAACCAATCAATCTATGGTTTGTTTTATCAGAAATCCCTATTATTTATTTACAAATTGCCCTTTAAGAAATGTAGAAAAATTCGCGTTAGTTAATTTTTTAAAGGTGTGAAGTCGAGCCGCCAAAAAAACGATGAAGCTCGAAGTTTTTGATTTGATTTAAGCACTTTTTGTCAAATTTGAGCACGATTTGAGCACCTTTTGTCACAGAAACCTATTTTGGTGTCAAAAGACAAAAGATAGAGAATAAGAAGTTAGGCAGATAGACAAATTTTCGTAGCATTTCACCAATCCATTTTTATTCTATGTCCATTGTAAGGATTTTAGGAAAAACAAGGATTTCTGTTCGGATTTGCTTCAAAGCAGACTAAAATTTGCCTAAAAAATTAGCTAAATGAAATAGTTAAAGATTTTTTATTTAAAGCAAATCACACGTTTATCGGCTAATTATTCATTTATAAACGAAAATTTCAAAAAAGCGGACAAGACTTTCCGGCCAAACCAATCGTAACAATACGTAGATTTTAACTATATTGTGACAAACAGCTGCGGCAAATATTTTTAAAACCTTTCAAAATGTCAGAAGACTATACTAGAGTAATTTTTAAGCCCACTCATTGCTCACCTGATCAAGATCGGCGGCCGTTCCGGCTCCGCACGCGTAAATGCTCTCGGTGAGTTTGTGCACTTTCTCGCAATGCTTGTCAGCGATGATATTCCCAGCGGTGGCCCTCGAGTCGGCTCCCATCACAAGACCTCCGTTGTATGACGCAGCCACAATTGTTGTACCTAGAAGTGAAGAAATATTGGTACTTCGGTGATTGGGGGCACCTATATTTTTGATTTTTCCACTTCTCTAGGGGTAATCGTGCGCTGAGCACGAATTTGACAGTTTTAGCATAGGTTTTCAATCGAGAAACCGACATTTCACGTTGAAAATCGCAAATGACACGGTTATTTCGCTAGCTTTCAACGTTTTCGACCTTCTGTTTCTTGTTTTTGTGTTATCTGTATTCTTTTAGACGCGTAGACTAAATTCCACAGTCATCCAACCACTAACCCAATCCGAAATTTATCTAGATAGAACGTTGGGTTGGGAGTTGGTTAATTGTGATGAATCATGACATTGTATGCACTTGCTGCCAAAAGTTGAAGAATGAATCGCGGCGGAACTCCTGGCTCCACATGAGTTCTTGAAGAAAGTCGGAATACCGATCATTGGGAGTGAAAAAACAAGAATCAGGATGTTTAAACAAGAACCAGAATGTTTAAACAAGAACCAGGATGTTGAAATCTAGCGAAATAACCGTCTGACTTGCATTTAAAGTGCAAAAAAAGTGTAATTTTCATAAGAACTTATGGCGTAACAATAGCAATAGCAACTGTTAACAATAGGAATTGTAAATTTTACGATTGCTATTGTTAACAACGATCACCGTTAACGAAAGGTTAATGGGTGTTAACATTAATCATTGTTAACAATAGCAACATCAACGTTAACGAACGATATTCACAACCCTGAAAGTCCTTAACCCGTAAATATCAAAATCGAGTTAGACTACGAGAAATGTTTCAAATTGTGAATTAAAACTAGAATGTACATTCCTGTAGTGACTTACAACCCCATAAATAGCTCTAATTAAAACAAAACCCACCAGTTGATGTCAATCGCGGTGGGGCGGCTCCCATTCGACACATGGCCATGTTGCGGAAGCAATTGTCAAACGAGAAGGCTCCTCCCTTGTCCAATTCCATCTTCAACACTCCTTGTTGGGACTCGGTGGCGGTCATCGTTGCCTGAAAAGAGGAAAGATCATAAAAACAATTTGTAAGCTGAGAAAAGATAGAGAAAACAGAACAGAACGGAACAGAATGGAACAAAACAGAAAAGAAAATAATCTAAGGCTGCATTATTGTAAATCTTTAGCTAAAGCTGCATTGCTGTAAATTTTTAGCATGCTTAAACAAGGATTGATAAAAGCTTCAGAAGGATTGATAAAAGCTTTAAAAGCTTCAAAATATAACCTTAGTCATAGAAAAACAGTTTTTCAGCAATTCTCACGGAAAATGTTGGAAATTTGCTACAAAAAAATTAGCTAAATGAGCTGATTTTTTGTAGCCAGGGGTTTTTGACTATGCTGAATCGATTGGTGATGGTTTCACACAACATTTCACAACTTTTAACAACATTTAAGACTACTTACAAGACTAGTTTCTTTCCATCTACCTTCAATACTACTACTTCGTTGGTAACTCGTTGGCATTGTTGTTATTTTTGTTGCTATTTATTATAAACGTTGTTAAAAGTTGCGAAATCTTGTGTAAAACCATCAACAATCGATTCAGCATAGTCAAAAACCCCTGGCTACAAAAAATTAGCTCATTTAGCGAAAAAAATTTTCCCCCCACAATTTGTAGCAAATTTCCAACATTTTCCGTGAGAATTGCTGAAAAGCTGTTTTTTTTAGGTCTAGGGTTATATTTTGAGGCTTTTGAAGCTTCTGAAGCTTTTATCAATCAATTTTACGGGGGTGGGACAAATGCCCTTTTTTTGCGCACCTTTTTTTGCTGGAAAAGGTCGTAGAGCTTCAAAAATGTTTTCTTAGAGGGAATCGTATCGTAGATTCAGAATTTCGACAAATCAGACCTCGCTGACACGTCAAATTTGGGCTAAAAGGCAAAAACTGCGGAAAAGCGTTAAGTTGCGTAGTTTTTGCCTTTTGCCCGAATTTACGTGTCGCGAGGTCTGATTTGTCGAATTCGAATCTACGCTACATTCCCTTAAAGAAAAGAATCGAAGCTCTACGGCCTTGCCTAAGGCCTTTTCCAGCAAAAAAGGTGCGGAAAAAAAGGTCGCATTTCCCACCCCCAATTTTACCTTATTTAAGCATGCTAAAAGTTTAGCTTTAGCTGCAGCTAAGATTTACAAGAATGCAGCCTTAGATTATTTTCTTTTCAAAGAAACGCCTGGGTGCAAAAAACATCAGCTCATTTAAGAGCGAAAAAATCTCTCATTTTGCTCATTTTGTTTCCCTCACCTCCCCCAAGCACCGAAATTGCTTGCATAAGCTCAATAGTTCTTTAAATTAATCTAATTTCATCAAGTAATAAAAGATTTTAAAAATTCTAGCAAAACAAAACATAGAACAGCAAAACAATCGAAAAGACTGGCAAGATGACATTAGAGAAAAATTTGGTGGTTTTGTTCAAACGCGAAGGATACGGTGGAAAGAGCACGCTTTAGGGAATCAATTATTGCCTTGTTGTTGGATAAACGACGATAGCCACTGTTTTTTTTTTCGTTATTGATGTGATGAAATTTTAGAAAACTTAGAAATCGATTGTTTTTCTAGGGTTTATCAACTTCAAAACCACATTTTAAAATGGGCTTTAAATCACTCCACGCAGAGTAATCCATCAGATTGAGATCCGGTGGTGAACGTGACCATTGATTGACACAAAGCTCGCAGAAGCTCCGGTCATTGACACAAAGCTCGCAGAAGCTCCGGTCATTGACACAAAGCTCGCAGAAGCTCCGGTCATTGACACAAAGCTCGCGAAAGCTCCGGCCACTCTTGAACAGTTTTTGCTTTATGAGCCGGTACTTTATGAGCTTTATGAGCCTGCTGAAAGCACCAAATTCTGTTTTCAAAATGATTTTGTGTCCATGGTTGACCAAAATCAATCCTCGTTCTTCAAAATAACCAAACAATTCTGTGCATTAACTTTTATCCCTTTTGACACAAAGATTTGCCTTTCCATCTGCTGTTATGCCTGCTAAAAACATTAATGACTTTGTAATTAATGACAATTGACAATTGACGTAATGACGGTATCCAGAGCGAGCCACTGTCAAATGTCGATTTCTCTTGCCGTATTATTTTGATGATTCACGAATTGCTCGACTGTAAAAACCTTCTCATCCGTAAAAAGAATGTTACGATAGTCAATTCGATTGAATCGCTGCTCAAGCTGAATTCTGTTGAACTGCTGCTGGTACACAGCAAATTTCAAGCTAACTTTTTATCTCTCTCAGCATAAACAACCTTTACACTCATTTCTTATGAAGTACAAAAGCTGATTAAAGCTTACTAAAGCCTCCTAAAGCTTCCTAAAGCTTCTTAAAGCTTCTTAAAGCTTCCTAAAGCTTCTTAAAGCTTCTTAAAGCTTCCTAAAGCTTCTTAAAGCTTCTTAAAGCTTCCTAAAGCTTCTTAAAGCTTCTTAAAGCTTCCTAAAGCTTCTTAAAGCTTCTTAAAGCTTCCCTAAAGCTTCTTAAAGCTTCTTAAAGCTTCCTAAAGCTTCTTAAAGCTTCTTAAAGCTTCCTAAAGCTTCTTAAAGCTTCTTAAAGCTTCCTAAAGCTTCCTAAAGCTTCTTAAAGCTTCCTAAAGCTTCTTAAAGCTTACTAAAGCTTCTTAAAGCTTCCTAAAGCTTCTTAAAGCTTCCTAAAGCTTCTTAAAGCTTCTTAAAGCTTCTTAAAGCTTCTCAAAGCTTCTTAAAGCTTCTTAAAGCTTCTCAAAGCTTCTTAAAGCTTCTTAAAGCTTACTAAAGCTTCTTAAAGCTTCCTAAAGCTTCTCAAAGCTTACTAAAGCTTCTTAAAGCTTCACAAAGCTCATAATACAGCACTGACCATTTACGAGTCTGATAATGATTTATGACATCAATAAATGGTTGTTTATATCTCGAGCTGGTCATTCTCTTCTCTTTTTCCGTTCTCCAGAGTGGCTTATCGATTCTTGAGGGGCAATGTGAAAGAAAGAGGAAAGGGACACATGCACCCCACAAACCATTCATTAGTTTGATCCCCGATATCCCAAAAAAAAAAAATTCTTAATCAACCCAAAAGGATTTTTAGGCTTTAAAGCTGCAATCCTTCTTTGATCTCTCTTTCTCTTTCTCTTTCTTTCTCTCTTTCTTTCTCTTTCTCTCTCTAGATCTCTAGATCAATCCAATAATTATTTGAACTCTTTTTCGACTCTCAAATCCATTCACGTGTCAAACACGTTCACTAAATCACAAAAATTTTTTTTTCCTGTTTCCTTCATGACCTTGCCTAAAATGTTTAGGAAAGAAAATTTTTTATCAAATCTGGCTAGCTTTTTCTGCCCTTCTTCTTCCCTCCCCCCCCTCCCCCGCTTGCCTTTTCCGCCATTGCATCATTAATCATATTTTCTATCTTTTGAGTTGGTTTTGAATCTTTTAAACGCTTTGCATCCATTCTATTAACATCTATTAACAAAGAATTATAAACGTACCCTATTTTTTTTGCTAGTTTTGAAGCGCGCCATAAGTGTTAGCCCAGTGAAAAGTGCCCAGTGCCCAGTTTTTTTCTGGTTTCTTTAACGTAAAAACCCATCCCATACAAAATTTCAAGTCATTTCACTCATCCAAAGTAAAGGGTGGCGCACAATTACCCGCACTCATTCACATTTTCAACTTTAAATTCACATTTTCAACTTTGATCTCTAATCGAAATTCATTGTTTTCTAGTAAAAATGAGTGAGAATTTGGAAAGAATAAGTAAAAAGGGGTAAATGAAGCTGGTTTTCTTTGATTTTGAGACATTGAAACTAGTAAAACCAGAAAATCGCGACTCCGCTGCAGGAAAAGCGTGTCATAACTTTGCAACTCTCGTATCCCCATACCTGGAGAACGAGAGAGAGAGAACGCACAGAGGTAGACCAATAATTAGGTAGACCAATAGCTAGGTAGGCTAATAACTAGGTAGGCTAATAACTAGGTAGACCAATAACTAGGTAGACCAATAGCTAGGTAGACCAATAGCTAGGTAGGCTAATAACTAGGTAGGCCAATAACTAGGTAGACCAATAACTAGGTAGACCAATAGCTAGGTAGACCAATAGCTAGGTAGGCTAATAACTAGGTAGGCTAATAACTAGGTAGACCAATAACTAGGTAGACCAATAGCTAGGTAGACCAATAGCTAGGTAGGCTAATAACTAGGTAGGCTAATAACTAGGTAGACCAATAACTAGGTAGACCAATAGCTAGGTAGACCAATAGCTAGGTAGGCTAATAACTAGGTAGGCTAATAACTAGGTAGACCAATAACTAGGTAGACCAATAGCTAGGTAGACTAATAGCTAGGTAGGCCAATAGCTAGGTAGGCCAATAGCTAGGTAGGCCAATAGCTAGGTAGACTAATAGCTAGGTAGGCCAATAGCTAGGTAGACTAATAGCTAGGTAGGCCAATAGCTAGGTAGACTAATAGCTAGGTAGGCCAATAGCTAGGTAGGCCAATAGCTAGGTAGACTAATAGCTAGGTAGACTAATAACTAGGTAGGCTAATAACTAGGTAGACCAATAGCTAGGTAGGCTAATAACTAGGTAGACCAATAACTAGGTAGACTAATAGCTAGGTAGACCAATAGCTAGGTAGGCCAATAGCTAGGTAGACTAATAGCTAGGTAGACCATTACCTAGATAGACCATTACCTAGCTAGACCATTACCTCAGTACCCCACCCCCCTCGTACAGTCGCGTAGTCGCAAAAGTTTTTGTTTTTTCAAAGCGCCCGTACTTTCAAAAAATGTGCGCTTTGGTATCAAAAAATAGCCCTGAATTTCAGCTATTTTTTGATACCTAAGCGCGCATTGTAGCATAAACCAGTGTCGAGAAAAGAGCGTCCAAAGCTAGACTACGCAACGCTCCGCATCGTCATTATGGGGCTGGGGTTACAGTATTTACGATCGTCGGTAGGTCAATTGATTGACTCATCGCTGGTCGATTGATTGACTCATGGATTGATTGACAGCTGGAGAAGCTGCGGATAAATGTGCGCCACCCTTTATACAACAAAAAAAACTCTGCTTTGCCTCGGCGCTGTTTTTTGGGATAGATCCTTTTTTGAACCTAAAAAGAACCTAGAGAGAACCTAGAAACGTACTCTATACCATTCCGTACTTTGATTAGTTGAAATGATGCGATTTTTTTTCTATTTATTATTTTTTAGAGATAAAAAACTAAAAAAAAACACTTTCAAACATAATAGCTGCAATGGCGCGCTTAAAACTAGCAAAAACTGTAATGGCGCGCTTAAAACTAACAAAAACTGCAATGGCGCACTTAAAACTAACAAAAACTGCAATGGCGCGCTTAAAACTAGCAAAAAACAAGGTGCATCTATAATTCTTTCATAGAATGACACCCCAACTCCTCCCATTCACGTGTTCCATTCATTCCCAATGTTTTCCATTGCTTTCCATTGCTTTCCATTGCTTTCCTTCTTTTCGAGAGCTTGTTCTCTTTTCACAGCTTTCCCCTCTCCAGATTTTTGTGTAAAATTCAACAAAATCTTTTCCATTCCCTTGCTTGTGTTTTTTCCTGGTAAAGCCTTGTGTTCAGCTCATTCGTTCCCAATTTTTTTTTTTGCTGGTCTTTTTGCTGGACTTTTTTTTTGATGAATCCTATCGATTTTGGCTAAACTTTCCAGGAAAACATCTAAAAAGTTTACCTTTTGAGAGATCATAAGTCAAATTTCTTTGTTTTCGGTAGTTGTTTTCAAAAATTCGACCTTTTCCTAAAGCTAAATGCAGTAGAAACTTTTGCTGAAGCTAAATCCAAAGCTCTACCGCCTAAATCTAAAGCTCTACGCTCTATTTTTGTAAAAATCACCCTAGCTTCGTGTTATTAAGCTTATCTTCCTTATCCATCGTCTTCTTAAGCTTATCTTCCTTATCCATCATCTTCTTAAGCTTATCTTCCTTATCCATCATCTTCTTAAGCTTATCTTCCTTATCCATCATCTTCTTAAGCTTATCTTCCTTATCCATCATCTTCTTAAGCTTATCTTCCTTATCCATCATCTTCTTAAGCTTATCTTCCTTATCCATCATCTTCTTAAGCTTATCTTCCTTATCCATCATCTTCTTAAGCTTATCTTCCTTATCCATCATCTTCTTAAGCTTATCTTCCTTATCCATCATCTTCTTAAGCTTATCTTCCTTATCCATCATCTTCTTAAGCTTATCTTCCTTATCCATCATGCTTCTAAGCTTCTTTTCCTTATCCATCATGTTATTAAGCTTATTTTCCTTACCATTAACTCTTTCTAATTCCCTAAAAAGTGTTCTTTTTTATATTTTATGTGAAGTACTTTATTAATTTTATGTAATTATTCATATTTTCAGTTTTATGCGCTAAATCGAGCCATCAACTTGCTGGGTAAACAAGAATGTTTCGGAGTAAAGCCGTGAAAATCGGAGGGTTGCTATTGGGAGGTAGATTTTTTATATTAAACTATAGAGACTTTTGGGCACGATCGTGAACTTGTTTTTAAGTTCGTGAGCGTTCGTGAACCGGATTCGTGAACCGGACACTTTTTTGTCAAAGTTTGCATGAAATTTTGCAAATTTTACAATAAAATCTGCTTATCTGGATGTCACACAGAAAGAATTTGAAAGAAAACAAACTCCTAACCACACTTTCAAAGTTTGCTTTAAACATCTCAATTCTTTAGGAGTTTTATTAGGTTGGCAACAATGAAATGTCGGTTTTGGATCAAAATTCTATCGAAAAAATCGTGTGATTTGCACTTTTGAAGCAAGATTGAGCAAATGTTAAGCAAACGTGGGATTTTATGACTTTGACGATTGACTATTGACTTTGACTATTGACTATTGACTTTGATCAGTTGGCCAGGCTTTGATCAGTTGGTCAAGCTTTGATCAGTTGGCCAGGCTTTGATCAATTGGTCAAGCTTTGATCAGTTCATAAGGAACCCATTTTACAACGCGGCTCTTTTTCCTTTTTTAGGTACCTCATACAATTGAATTGAACGACAATTGAAAATGATTTGCATCAACTTTGGAAAAAGAGCCGCGTTGAAATATGGGTCTCTCATGAACTGATCAAAGTCAATAGTCAAAGTCATAAAATGACACGTTTGCTTGACACTTGCTCAATCTTGCTTTAAAAGTGCAAATTCTGCAGATTCTGCAGATTCTGCTAGCTCACGAACAGTTAGTGTTAGATCGTCCTCAATTTGAAGCAGATAGTTTGAAGCTTTATTCTATTCGTTGAGCACTTTTGACGGGGACCTTTTAGTCTTTTAGCCATCTTTTAGCTCATCGTGCAGGCTTTTATCACCATGTTGAGAACGTTCAAACCATCTCTAACCAACGTTTAAGCCATCTCTGCCCGATGTTCAAACCATCTCTGACCAACGTTTAAGCCATCTCTAACATTGATGCGCACTATCGTATTCAAAAACATAATGATGCGATTTTCCATCGATCGATAATGAATCAGCCACTGATTTTCCTTGTTTAGAATCGTAGAATAAAGCAGCTCGAATAGAATAAAGCGGATCTAAATGTTGTTTATGTAAAAGTAGTTTATATTTATGAAAAAAGCGAGAAAGTATTGCAAAAGTAACTTGTTACGAGTTACGTGTCCAAGTTACGAGAAAGTAACTTGGAAAATGCAAAAAATAGTAAACCGACATTTCATTATTGCCAGCCTAATATTTTTTTTTTAGCCAGATATTTTTGCCAGCCGGATATTTTTGCAAAAACCGTGCTTCCTGGATGTCACACTGTAAAAATTAGCACTTTTTAGAAATGTGCAACTGATTTGGTGTTTTGTAGCTTTAGGGTAACGGTAAACTCTTACTTTTAGCACTTTTACTTTTAGCAACTTTTAGCAACAGCCTCTTCTACCGTATTTTCTCTAATAGTAGTGCACCGGGAGCGTCGCCTGGATTCCTCGAAATCTCGAGAACCGCTTATCAGAACCTGTCGATGTGGGGTCGGAAAATATAGCTGACGATGAGATCTAGTGGGGGATTAGAGTGTTGAGCTTCTGCAAAAGCTTGGAAACTGTAAAATAGGCATCAACTCGGCTCGCTAGAGAGCACTACCATTAGAGAAAAGAGGGTAATTCGTTTCCTAAACCTTTTTTACTAATAAATCCTATTTCTAGCCTTTTTTACTAATAAATCCTATTTCTAGCCTTTTTTACTAATAAATCCTATTTCTAGGCTCAGCAGCAACACTTTGGGCGATCGATTTAACGAATGAGAAACGCTTCAAGACGCAATGTGTTCGTTTTTAAAGTTTTAAAAATTTTAAAGGATAGATTAGTTCTGATATTGGATATTTAATCTTAAAACCTTAAAATCTTAAAACTTTTATCTAAAATGCAAATTTAGCAATCCTATTTCCGGACGGCGCACGCAGATCGCCTCACAGAGCTGAACAAACGACCATCGGGTGGACTGCCGACACGTGAGGATCTTGTGAATGGGCTGAAAAAAGAGGTACTGGATATATTTGATATTTGATATATTAGATAGAAATTTTGGCTCGTGCTTAGTTTCTGGGTATTTTGAGCGGGTCGTCACCCTTTGAAAGCCGATAACTTTGTCCAGTGACAATATTTTTGTTAACTTTTGATTTCATTGTACAGAGGACATTTCAGGCTTTCGAATGATACCAAATGGAGATTTATTGGATAAACCAGTTCAAGAAAATCAGAGCCAACTCTGAGCAAATGAGGCCTATCCGACTCGGGTGTCGTGTAGCCTGGTTTGCTTGGGAATGAAAAATCCAGTCAAGCCCTATTTAGTATCATTTGAAAGCCTGAAATGTCCTCTGTACAATGAAATCAAAAGTTGACAAAAATATTGTCTCTGGACAAAGTTACAGGCCTTCAAAGGGTGACGACCAGTTCAAAATACCCGGATCCTTTCAAAATACTCAGAAACTACCCAAGAGCCGAATTAATCAATTAATAAATTAATCCTACTATTGTAAAAAAACCTACAATTTTCCCTCAGGAATTCGACATTCTTGTGATCGGCGGCGGTGCGTCGGGAGCCGGTGTCGCGCTTGACGCACAAACGAGAGGTTTGTCAGTGGCCAGATCTTGGCCAATTTCACTTCAACCTTTTTGTCTTTGTTTTCAATCGATAGAGAATAAAATTCTGCGTCAACTAATATCAAAATTAAAAAGATTGAAGTGAAATTGACCAAGATATGCCATTTTGGGTACCTATGTATTGGGTTGGTGGAAAAATCCTTTCCGATTTTTTGGGAGAGTACCTTAAATTTGTCCAATTTTGACGTTTTATAGCTGTCAAAACAGGTGTCGCTGGTGCTCCTCCGATTCGGTACAATCGAGGACATTTTAAAAAAAGAAACAACAAGAAAACATTATTATCTATGTTATTGCCAGGAAAACATAATCTATTTGCAGGCCTAAAAACGGCTCTCGTTGAATACGACGATTTCTCGTCAGGTACCTCGTCGCGGAGCACGAAATTGATCCATGGTGGAGTACGGTATCTACAGGTTAGTTGATCGATTCGATAAAAGGCATCCACCGTATCCCTTAGCTACGATAGCTTACAATGATCCAATAGTTTACGGGGAATGAGAGAAGAATAGAAGAATTGGAAGATTAGAATTAGAAGATTAGAATTAGAAGAATTAGAAGATCTATCAGAAGAATTAGAAGATTAAAATTAGAATTAGAAGATCTATTAGAAGAATTACGGTAACCATCCCGGGATACGGTAACTTTTCGATACAATTACGGGCTACGGTAGAACTGATGACTTTTACCGGCAAGAAATCGCAAGAAACAACCTCTACAAACACGAATTGATTCAGCCAATCACTTTCTTTTTAGGCTGCAATTTTCGGCTTCGATTTGGAGCAATACCGAATGGTGAAAGAGGCGCTGTTTGAGAGGGCAAATTTGCTGGAAATTGCTCCACATCTCTCATGTCCTTTACCGATCATGTTGCCCGTTTATAAGCAAGTTTTAGACTGTAAGTAGAATCATGAAGAGCTTGGGCTTTGAGCTCTAAAAAGGGTTAGAAACGCAGCCTCCTGGCGCACTTTCAGACTATATGAGCGGATTTTCAGCTGGTGGCAAGTTCCATATTATTGGGTGGGCATAAAAGCCTACGATTTTGTGTCCGGGAAAAGAGTGCTGAAGAACTCCTTCTACATCAATAAAGAGAAAGCAATGGAGAGGTAGGGGGGATTTGTAAACGCAACTTTTGGTGCACTGAAGATTGGTTTAAGATTCCCAATGCTGAAGAAAGACAATCTCCGGGGTGCTTTAATCTATTATGATGGGCAGCACAACGATGCGAGAATGAATTTGGCGATCATTTTGACGGCCATTCGACAAGGAGCAAGATGTGCAAATCATACAAAGGTAGAGAATTGAATTGAAACCCAATTACAGTACGTTAGTATTCCAATTACAGTACGTTAGTATTCCAATTACAGTACCCTAGTCTCCCAGCTAGCTCACAGTATCCAGAATTTCCCTATATTGTGACTTTGTTCAGGTCGAGCGTTTACTAAAAGACGAAAATGGGAAAGTGATTGGTGCGCGAGTAAGAGATCAAGTGAAAGGAGACGAATACGATATTAAGGTAAAGCTAATTGAATAATTCTAAAGTCGTCTACTAAGTACTGCTAAGTACTGCTAAGTACTAAGTAAAGTACTGTACTCTCTATCTCTCTAAATCCAGGCAAAAGCTGTGGTGAATGCGACTGGCCCATTCACGGATACGATTCGTTTGATGGCCGATCCGGAAACGGAACCGATTTGTGCTCCGTCGGCCGGTGTGCATATTGTGTTGCCTGGGTATTACAGGTATTTGTGAACTGGCTTATAGTACTAGTTATAGTTATAGTAGCCTGGAGACCAGGCTACTGTAGCTGGACCCGGCTTCTGTGGCTGGATCCGGCTTCTCTGTAGCCAACTACAGTACCCCGTCAATCATTGAATACCATTTAGTCCCTCAAACACTGGCCTCCTCGATCCAGCCACTTCTGACGGCCGTGTGATCTTCTTTTTGCCATGGGAAAGGATGACAATTGCTGGTGAGGCTTGATTAGATCTTGATCTTGATCTGGATTTGGGTCTGGATTTGGATCTTGGTCTGGATCTTGATATCAAGCCTTGAATCTCTACAGTCTCTACAGCCTCTACAGTAATCCCAAAGCTAACTAGGGAGCTATTTCAACATACCATTTTCGATTGGCTAGAATTCTAAGAATTGTAGAATGAATCCCTGTAGAATTCCCTGTAAAAGAAACACCTATTTTTTCTATTGCCATCTTTTGCCATTTCCAAGAGCCCGATTTAGCTTCTTACCGTTTATTACTTTAAAATATCTAAAAATTGGTTCTAGTGGTTTAACGAAAAAGTAACCAAGTGTAGTGAGGGGATTCGAACCAGGGATTGGCGGAGCAAGGTGCCAGCGCACTATCCACTGCACCATCCGGTCGCGCCATCTGTCGCTTGGTGCAGGGAAGTAATTCTCGTAGCTCTTTGTACTGGCTGTACTAGCTCTTTTTCATTTCCCAACTTTCCGCAAGCGCGACCTTTAAGAGGGCGTCTCGCCAGTCTGGGAACGAGAGCAGCGGTGGCCTAGGGGATAGTGAGCTGGACTGCAAAACCAGAGGCAGGCAACCCTCGTGGGTTCAATTCCCCATGCCGCTAAATCTTTTGCTTTTTTGTTATAAATATAAAAAGTATTAAGATGGCCTAGACCTACCAGTATTAGCCTTGAAGTGCACAGGATAAGTACTAGTAAATGGGGTATACAATACCAAACATTTCAGGTACAACCGATGCCCGTTCCGAGCTCACCCACTCGCCAGCGCCAAAAGATCAAGATATCGAGTTTATCCTCAATGAGATTAGAGGATATTTGAGCAAAGATGTCACAGTGAGACGGTGAGTTAGAGATTTGAATTGCAAAACCCCTTTAAGAGTATTCTTATCATCGCTTTTTCAGTGGTGACGTGATGTCAGCTTGGGCAGGCCTTCGTCCACTTGTCAAAGATCCAAACAAAAAGGATACAGCGAGTTTAGCGAGAAATCACATCATTGAGGTGAGTATATTGGAGTTGTTTGTTAATTTGGACTTTTTGACAGGGTTTAGATGATAGATTACAGTACCCAGATTTGTAATAGGTAGATAAATACGGTGAAGTTTTGATTTTAGATATGAAACCCTGATCTAGGCCCTAAACTTAAACTTAAAGAGCCTTAAACTCAATTCAGATCTAAAGCCTGAACTGTCTACAGCGATGTAGGATCTAGTGACAACTTTTAAAAAACAATTAGATCTCTAAATCGGGCCTGGTTACGATTGCTGGCGGGAAATGGACAACCTATCGTCATATGGCTGAAGAGACAGTCGATGCGGCGATCAAGGCGCACAATTTGAAGGTAAAGGGAAAAATGTTTTTGAGATGAGCTTTTGTAAAAGATTTACTGTACTGTACTGTATTGAATTGTACTGTACTGTACTGTACTGTATTGTACTGTATTGTACTGTACTGTACCTAGCTTTAGAAAGCTTTTTTGTCTCAAATCCTTTCCATTCCATTTAGCCAACAAGCGGCTGTTGCACGCCGGGTCTCCGTCTTGAGGGTGCACACAATTGGGATCCCCTTCTCTACATTCATCTTGTGCAAGATTACGGAATGGAAGTTGATGTAAGGCTTTGTTAAATCCCGAAAACAGGACGACTCGTTTATATGCTTATTTAGGCGTTTCTTTCTAAATTCAATAACTGTATGCCAAATTCTGGATGTCATTTGAGCTATTGGCTGGCAAATGAGCCCAAAAAAATAGCATTTCTGAACGAATGACTGGGGTAAGGGTCACCTTACCAGCCCTGTTCTTCAAGAAACGTTGCCCGATCAGCGATGCAAATGAATCCGGTGGCCTTTCCTGGAAATCACAACAGATAATGAGCCTGGTTTTCTTGGGGAAATATCATTTTTGTGGACGGGGCTGCAGGGGTGACTCGCCTCCGTCTACCCCAACTCCCCTAGAAGCCATTAGCCACTTTGCTTTTCCCCTTTTTGTCTCTCCTGGAAAGCACCAGCCCCATTTTTGTACTTTTTCATGTACTTTTCATGTACTTTTCAGGTAGCTCAACACCTCTCAAACACCTATGGAGATCGAGCTTTCGTCGTGGCTCGAATGTGTAAAATGACCGGGAAACGGTGGCCAATTGTGGGCAAGAAGTTGCACGAAGAGTTTCCATATCTGGATGCTGAGGTGAGAAACTGAGCGGACCTAGTTAAAATCAATTTGATATTAGTAAAAGTAAAAGCCAAAAGATTATGGTGCCATTTCCAGATCCGATACGCTTGCCGTGAGTACGCAGCAACGGCGATTGACGTGATTGCACGAAGACTTAGATTGGCATTTTTGAATACATATGCAGCACATGAAGTGCTACCAGAGGTAAGGAATTGATAAAGAAGCTAGCTGAGTAGGATCCAGGAGTACGGGTAGAATCCAGGAGCACGAGCTTTTCTACTTAGGAAAGCCAGGCTACTTTAACTTTCTTCTAAACGCGTTTTTTAGAAAACCCTCATTTTTAGGTTGTTCGCATTATGGCTGAAGAATTGGGCTGGAATTCGTCAGAACAACGGCGACAACTCGAAATGGCCAGAACTTTCATTGACAAAGAAATGGGACAAGAAGCCAGGGCACAGGTGGACAATATCTTTTCACTGAATATCTTTTCACTTTTTTCTTGCTAGGCTGTTTCGAATGTGCCGCTAAACTTGACAAAAGAGGAGATGCAACAAGCAAAAGAGCGCTTCAATCAATTGGATAAGGATCGAAAAGGCCACATTACTGTCAATGATTTGAGGAGACATTTCAGGGTACTGTAGATTGATTCGGTTTAAATATGAATTTCAATTTTCAGGAAAGAAATCAGAAAATCGATGAGCGTCTTTTGCACGAGCTTCTCAATGAGGTCGATTTGAATAAGAATGGAGAATTGGAGATCGCCGAGTTCTTCCAGGTTAGTACAGGAGTTACATAAAGGAGTTGGCAAAGGCCCAGTACAAGAACCAAGTTTTGATCAAAGCCACTGCTAAAACCTGACTTAATCAGAATCACTACTAAAGCTAGGGGTACTTTTAGGGTAGCTGAGGATCTTAGAAAAAAAATTAGCTGAAGGGAATCTTTTTCGTTCATTTTTCACTTGATTTTGCTTGATTTTCTTTTTTACTTTTTTTTAGCTTTCACTTAGCTCTCAAGCATCGCAAGCAGCTCAAGCAGCTTTCAAGCATCTCAATCAGCTCTCAAGCAATATGCGTCAAGTTCTCGTTGTGTGTGGACGGGATCGACGATGTTTGTTGTGTGGTTGATCCAGTTGAAATAAGATCAGAACCGAGGGCTATCCATCAGAAATGATCCACCAGGGTCCCAGGAGCAATGCACTTCTCGATATTTCGAATCAAAGTAGCAGCTGATCGGTTGGCAACGAGCACAAAAAGCTTATCATTTGATTCCCAGATTCGAATTGAATCAGAAAACACCGCCAAAACACCAATTCTCATCAACCATTCGTCCAGCATGCTCACCAGCTTTTCGGCTTTTCGAAAAGTGATTCGTCGATCTGTACATTCGATCTCAACAGTACATTCGATCTCAACAGTACATTCGGGGCCTCCAATTGCATGGGTTTTTTCGGTTCACAAAGCTCCGAGCACACATTTGACACAAGTCAAAGTTTTCCTGAAGCTAATTTTTTTTGTTTTTCTTAGATGAAGTCAAGCTAAGTCTAGCTGGGGATTCAAGATCAGTCCAAGACAAGACAAGGCCAATTCGGTCCACCTAATCGATAGAACATAATGTAAGCGTATCTATTAAAGGTGACCGGGCCGACGGTAATGTGCTCAAAATTCTTTTTCCCAATTTTCAGCTCTACTCCGGTCTAAAGGGTGGTCAAGTCGTTCAAAATCGTCTCGTTCGCTATCTCGACGAGGCGAATCTCGACGTTTCCGTGCAAAGATCCGGTGGAGGATTGTAAGAAATCGCAAAAAGTCGAGTTTATTCTCCGGATTTAGTTTAGATATTGTGATTCCATTGTTTCAGTATTTTTTCTTTTTTTGTTTCTTTGCTCACCCTTCATTTTTTGCCCCCAAAAACTGCTTGGATCTCTTTAAAAAAACGCTATTTCTTTTCTCTATTTTGAATTTTCAAGGGATCTAATAATCAAAAAAAGAGAGATAATAATAGTTTATTTGCTTTTAGATTTACTTTTTATAAAGATTATAAAGATTATAAAGATTACAAAGATTACAAAGCCACCATGACACTGAGAGCTCTTTTTAGGGTACTGTACATAGACTGTAGGCGTCGTAAAAGTACGTTAAGGGTACTGTAGAACAAGATTCATCTACAGGACCAATTGCAAAGTAAAAGCACCTGGCATAATGTGGTTGAAATGCAAAGTTTCAATGCTTAAACAATTCGAAATGTGATTCGATCCATGTGTGGTCGAAGAAATGTTTCCGATGGAAGAAGATCGAAATCGAGTGACACACAAATCGGCAATTCATAGGAAAGAAGCTCGCGACGAGATTCCCGCAAACGATTCTCCACTTCCTGAAAGATCGCGAACATACAGTAAGCTATAGTAATCTTTTTGAAGCGACAGGAGTCTCTTTAGACGATTCGGCCACGCTCCACCCCATGATTTTTCGAAAATCGTATAACAAACACACACACACACCCTCTCTTGCTTTTTAGTAAGTAGAATAGTAGTATTTCAGGCTTACGTTGACTTGAACTACACTATCCGATCTAAAGTACCCGAAAAACCCCTCACCCCGACCACATCTCGAATCTTCATCCTCCCCACATCCGTCACTTTCACCGCCACAATCAGACACGCGCCAGCAACGAGTTTTCGATTGAATTTCGAGATTAGACCCTGAAAAACAGATAGATAGAGTTGATTGAATATCAATTTCCACCTTGAAAACGATCCTCTCAAAGTAGACAAGAGCTGTGGCAAGGGTTGACGCATCGAGCTCACAAGTGAAAGCAAGGGAAACGAGTTCGCGTTTGATACTGAAAAGGGAGAATCGGTTGGGGTTGGGGTTGGGTAAATGAACGAAAAGGGAGACTGAGGCTGATCTCGTTGCCTCTGAAACTTCGGCAAACCTCTTGAACTTCGTGAAAGTTAAGTGAATGTGCGGGAATTGGAGTCGAAATCGCTCGTTTAGCTCGCGTTTCGCCTCGTCTTGAGCCCGAAAATGGGAGAACGAGCTCTGAAAGTGCTCGATTTCTATACTTTGCGCTCGTGGCTAAACACAAGCTTTCCTCGCGGCACTGACTCTCGATTTTGCGTAGAAAGGTTTCATTTACCGGGAAAGCACAAAGTACACGCCGTACACTTAAACGTACTCAAACGTACTCAAACGTGTCCTCCCTAGCACATTGAATTCATCTGCATTTCTCAAGGGATCTCAACGGGATACGAAACTTTCAATGTGCCATAGATTGTGCGTTTACCCGTTGAGCATAAAGTGCACAAATATTACCGTATACCCAGCGCTTCCACCATGCATTTGTTGACCAGATTCAAACTAGAAACTCTCTAAATTACGTTTGAATCTCTAAAAGAAAACCTTTTCAAAGATTTCCGCCGAATACGGAATCTCCTCAATGTGCTCATCAGCTTCCATTTCACAAATTTCTCGAATTTTTGCGATTTCTGTAAAAAATACTGTAGTATTGAGTAGAAAAAGTAGAAAAAGTACAAAAAGTACAAAAAGTACAAAAAGTACAAAAACTACTGTAGTACTGAGGGGTACTGTAGCTCTTTTTCTATTACCTGGCTCACAGCTACTCGCCCGTGACACTCCAGATGGATGATTGATCGAATCGACGCCGAGAAGTGAGCCAATTGCCGAACTCTGAACAGAGATTGTTAGATGATGAAATGAAGATTCCCAATCGATTCGCTAACCCCACAAAAGCTCGGGGACAACTCTTTTGGTTGATAACTCAACTGTAAGACGCTCAGAAGAAGCCAGGCCTTGGACAGGGATTCACTTCTACTCCTATTCAAAGCTGCACACCGTACTCAAACCCAAAGTACAGCTACAGTAACCCCGCCATAATTATAGTGATCCTACAAGTCGGTACGATACAATACGATAGCCGTACGATAGCCGAGCCCATCGGAGTGTGGTAGTCGGAGTACGGTAGGCGCTGATTAAGGCTAGGAGGTTTCAATTCTAGACTGCATCTGAGTACCGTAATCAGCTTGGGACAAAGTATGGTCGTTGTGGCTTCTTCTGCTTTACCCGATTTCACAAAAGCTCTCGATCCACCAAAAGAAGCCCTAGTCTTGGCTAAGCTTTGAACAAGTTTGATCCGGGTACCTGGCCAACTAGAAGCCAGGCTTTGGACAAGGACTAGAAGCCAGGCTTTGGACAGGGACTAGAAGCCAGGCCTTACCAGGGACTAGAAGCCAGGCCTAAACCTCATCCTACTACCGTACAGACTTATCGAATCACTATGAACATCTTAAAGCTACTGTAACTAAACTTATCACCAAACTAAACGTACCCTTCTTTGCACTCTCGGCGATTTCTCGACTCCGTCCATTGTTTGGGTGCGTTGGCGTTGAAAGCCACCGATGAGGCTTGAAAAGTTGAACTCGTGCTGAAATCAAAAGAGTTTACTGTAGTTTACTGTACTTTAATGACTCTTTAGATAACGATCTATCTTCAAAAGCCAAATTCTACAATGGCCATTCTCCAGTAGCTCTAGCGGCTCCAGTAGCTCTAGCAGCTCTAGCAGCTCCAGTAGCTACAGTAGCTCTAGTAGCTCTAGTAGCTCTAGTAGCTCCAGTAGCTTCAGTAGCTCTAGTATCCAAATCCATTCTCTTTACCTCATCATCCTTGAAGTCAAAAGGCCGTAACTCGTTTCCAAATTGTCCACTTGCGTGTCGCATTCGTTCACAACTAAAAGACGATCATCATTTACGTAAATTTCGTCTATTCGTCAGCTTTTTAATAAAGCTATTATTATCAAACTACTAGGTTGATGCATAAGTCTTTTTGTTCCTTTTCGTCTGCCGTTTCAAGCCAACAAATGCACCAATTAAACTACGGTTGATTTCATTAGAAAAAGCAATTATTTTTGTGCAAAATAACATTAAGTTGTTGATCTAGTTGTTGATCTAGTTCTTCATCTAGTTCATCTAGTTCTTCATCAAATTCTTCATCTAGTTCTCCAGCTAGTTCTTCATCTAGTTCATCTAGTTCATCTAGTTCCTCATCTAGTTCATCTAATAGGTTGATGCATAAGTCTTTTTGCTCCTTTTCGTCTGCCGTTTCAAGCCAACAAATGCACCAATTAAACTACGGTTGATTTCATTAGAAAAACCAATTATTATTTTTCTGCAAAATAACATTAAAACGGGTTTAAAAATATTTAATGCCTGGATTTTCTTGAGAGTATGAAGTCGGGTAGTCAAAAAGGGCTAACTCGATGATGCGGTTTAGACACCTTAGCTAAAGAAAACCTATCTTCGTGTCAATAGATAAAAGATAGAGGAAAAAAACGTTTGATATTTCGCCAAAATTTCAGAGAAATTCATTCAGCCAATTTTTCCGTAGAGTTTTTTAGAGATTTTTACGAAAAAGGCGTTTTTCACTCTCGAATTTGCTTGAAAGTGAACCGAAATTGATTTAAAAAGATGGAAATTGAACAAAAAAAACACTTTTTTTATAGAGCAAACTATAGATTAATTGGTGAATTTGTTACTTTTTAACAGAAGTACGAAAAAAACGAAAAGACTTATGCATCAACCTATTATTATTTTACTCTTCACCCCTCAGCTATTTTACTCTCTATTATTAAAACTCTTTACCTCTCAGCTCTCACAAGCGTATGTTTCAATCGTTTCAAGAAAGTGAAACCCTCTTTTGTTGAAGCTGGACTGCCAGGTCTTTCTAGAAAAAAATTCATATAAAAAAAACAAAATTTTTTCTCAAATTCACCCTCATCTTCTCTCATTCTCATCTCGATTTCCTCGTCTCTTTGCATCATTTCATCAGCAGAAACAATTCTCGAGATTCGTGCAAAAATCGATCGTCTATAAAAACTGTTATTACAGTAAAAGAAAGAAGGAGAAGGAGAAGAAGAAAGGAGAAGGAGAAGGAGAAGGAGTAGGAGAAGGAGAAGAAGAAGGAGAAGAAGAAGGAGAGGAGAAGGAGAAGAAGAAGGAGAAGAAGAAGAAGAAGGAGAAGGAGAAGAAGGAGAAGAAGAAGAAGGGGAGGAGAGGAGGAGAGGAGGGAGGGAGTAGGAGAAGGGAAGGGGAAGGGAGAAGAAGAGGGAGAAGGAGAAGAGAAGGAGAAGGGGAGAAGGAGAAGAAGAAGGAGAAGAGGGAGAAGAGGAGAAGGAGAAGGAGAAGGAGAAGGAGAAGGAGAGGAGAAGGAGAGGGAAGGGGGGAGGGAGGAGGGAGGAGAGGGAAGGAGAAGGGGAGAAGGGAAGGAGGGAAGGGAAGGAGAAGGAGAAGGAGAAGGAGGGAGGGAGGAGAGGGAAGGGAAGGGGAGGGAGGAGGGAGAAGGAGAAGGGAAGGAGGGGAGGAGAGGGGGGAGGGGGGGGAAGGAGGGAGGAGAAGGAGAAGGAGAAGGAGAAGGAGAAGGAGAAGGAGAGAAGGAGAAGGAGAAGGAGAAGGAGAAGGAGAAGGAGAAGGAGAAGGAGAAGGAGAAGGAGAAGGAGAAGGAGAAGGAGAAGGAGAAGGAGAAGGAGAAGGAGAAGGAGAAGGAGAAGGAGAAGGAGAAGGAGAAGAAGAAGATGAAGGAGAAGGAGAAGGAGAAGGAGAAGGAGAAGAAGAAGATGAAGAAGAAGAAGAAGAAGAAGAAGAAAGAAGAAGCTCAATCACTTCTCCTCTCCATTCTTTCAACACCTCTTCTCTCAACTCACTTTGATGTAACATATTGTCCTCTTTTCTTCCCTTTCACCACTTGATTCTCTAAATCGATTAACGGCTCCGTGCTCGTGCTCTAAACGATTTCAAATTTGTATTATTATCAAAAAAAGGTGTCAAAAAGGTATCAAGCTATCAAAAAAGGCTACAACAATACCAAAATCGAAATTTCTTTTTCCTTAACATACCTTTTGACTAAAAATCGATGATTTCGAATTTCTATGAGTGCTTTTCATTGAGAATCGATTAGAAATCACTGATCGAACAGTGTTCGGACAAGATTGAGTGGAATGAGTGATGGAATGAGTGGAATGAGGGAAATTTCTCGAGAAAAACATTTTTTTTCGAAAACACGGCGAAGAAAGGGTGACTGGTTGAATATGAAAAACTTTCGAATTCGAATTCGTTGAAGTGATCGATTTTTCGTCATTCGATCGATCGCTTATCGTCATCGATTCAAGAACAGCAAGTGGGGGTGCATGAAAATGAACAAGACAATGGAGAGGCCAACAAAAACAAACAAAACTCAGGTAATTTGATCTAAACCAGTAAATCTGCGAAATTTGTTCTTTTTACTCATAAACAAATCCTCTCTGGTGCACTTTTTTTCTTCTAGTGATCTAGCTAGAGTATGTCTAGAAAACAGTACTCTTTCTAGTGTCATTCAGTGTGCCAGGTAGGCTGTGTTTAATTGGCTAGAGCTATCGGCTAGAGCTATCGACTAGTGCTATCGGCTAGAGCTATCGGCTAGTGCTATCGGCTAGAGCTATCGAGCTAGAGCTATCGAGCTAGAGCTATCGGCTAGAGCTATCGGCTAGAGCTATCGGCAAGAGCTATCGGCTATCGAGCTATCACATTTTGTACTTGTAGTGTGCGAGTATCGTAATGGAAACCATAGCATGGTATCGCCGTCGCCAGGCATTGTAGAGGTTTGAAGGCACTAACTGTACCTTCGCCAAACGTTTGAAGGCACTAATTGTACTCTAAAAAGCTGTAACAAGGCAAACAAGGCAACACCCTAACGACAAAGTAACAAGAGAAGTAGCCTAATTCAATAAGTCATTGGGTATTTCTTAGCCAATCGCAGGCGAAGACTAATGAATCAATGAAGATCTATTTTCTGGCCTTTTTTCTGGCCTGCATAATACCTCCAATAAATCCTTACGAACTACTCGACTACGGTTAGATTTTCTACGAACAACGAATGTCTCATCAACGCTAACAAATCAACACTTTGACCAGGTCCTCCTATTGAGTTTGCAGGATTTCTAAAAAGATCAAAAGATCAAAAGATCAACACCAATATCACAGAAGCACTGATTCCATTGTACGACGATATTCGTTTGAACTTCTGCATCAATTGCTTATTGTTCTCCATTCCGATCTCAAGCAGCCACAAATAGCTTTCCGATCGTCACCTAGTGTTTCAAAGAATGTATCCCAAGCTATACTTAATAGACACTTTCCCATAAATCAAGTCTTGTAGCAGCAAAAAAATTCCCGTTATTCTAAAAACCAAAAACCATCCTGCTTTTGTCAAATCAATTGAAATTAGGTTTCCTTTGCTTTCCAGCGCTCCTTTTAAAGATGTCAAGATGTAGGAAAGTGTTGTGCAAAAACCTGTTTGAAAATCCTATTTCAATTGTCACCAATCGATTCAGCATAGTCAAAAACCCCAGAGAGTAACCTTTCAACCCTTTTAAACGTTTGCATCTTGCGGCCAACTACTCTACTCAACAAAGGCCAACTACTCAACAAAGAAGTCTCAAATGTCTCTTTCCTCACTGACCTGTTTCTTCACGTCATCCTCCTCATCGAATGCCTCTTTTTCATCAACGATTCGCGGTGTTCTTTTCAACGATGAGAGATAATTCTGAGCGACCAGCAGATGATACGTTCCTTTGTACTTCTTCACCATTGAAGAGCAGGTGGGGAGGCGTCGATCTATGAGAATGACAGCTTTAAAAAGACAGTTAAAAGGTACGACACAAAACAGTAGAACCGCTTAAAGTGGTGCAGTTTCAGGGGTCTTCGGGCTATTCTAGGGGTCTAGGGGGATAGGAATACGTTATTCTGAAATCAAAATCCCAACCAAAAAAGGATGAGTCCTTTTTTCGGAGTTGTCAAGGAAACGGGTGAATCCGAGCTCTATCTAATCTGTTTCAAAAATGGAAAAATTAGATCTTCTACCGTAATCCCTGTAATAGAATGTCTCTTAAGCACAAGTACTACAGTCGCTAAGTATATCAAACTCAACTCCAAATCACTTTTCACAATCAAATCTCTTTGCATTTCAAAAGAATCTCTGTCCTTCTTCGGTTTTTTTTCCACAAAACATTTTCTCTCAAAATTTTATTCCTTTACCTTTAACAAAAACATTTTGCGATAGAAAAGGGAAGAAGAAATCGCTGGGATTTTGGAATGAAAAAATCGGCAACCTGACCAAAGTTGAATCAAATAAAAAATTCGGGTACTTTTGGTACTGATAAAATAAGAATAACAACCAATATAAAGCTTACAAAAAGGTAAAAGAAATACAATTCTTGTAAACATTCATCGTTTCTGTCAACAGCTTTCTGTTGGTTGCTTAAGAGCGGGAGCGGCTGCGAGATGATGACCGCCTAAAAAAAAAATGAGGAATTTAATCGAAGTTTATTCGTTTCGGTGTTGAAACCATTTTAACAGCCAAAACCCTCACTTTTCACGACGACGTGGTGGCGAACGAGAGCGGGTGCGCGATCTAAAAATAATCATACTTTGGATTCATAAATTTCCTTCATCTCATCTAAATCAGAATGGTACCGTTTCACCATGTGATGGGATGTGTGTTTTTCATGGAGCCATAAACATTTAGAGCTGGGACACAAATCCTATCCTCTCCATCAAGACCATATCCATTTTACAAATTTTCGAGCATCCGCGCTTTTTCGATCGCCATCTTCACAACCCAGACAAAAAGAGAAAAAACCCGGGAAGCGACGAAATGAAGATTGAAGAAACACACTCAACTTGGGGCGGGCGCGAGAGGAAACAGGTGGAGGACACACCAACAACAACCATATTTCACATCCCATCTTTCATCCTTCAGCCATAACACACCATTTGCGCGCCATACGCCTCACACACTCATTTGGTGCCATTTTATCCAGCATTTCCATTAACCACTGCTAGAAAATACAAAACTAGGCAAGTAATAAGTGCTTAAAATGAGGTGTTTTCGCCTAAGACCCACCCGAAGCTTTAAATTTTGATCTATTTATACCTAAGCTGGGCTGTACTTTAAGCATTACACTCAAAAGAAATGTCTATTAACTTTGGGGCGCCCAACGAAAAACGTTTTAAAAGACGACAAGAGAAGAAACAAGAAATAAGTTTAGCTTCTTGTTGTTCAAAACCCAAAGCCCCAAAATGAAAATGATAACAACGAAGCGGTGAATACCTGCGACGATAGGAGTCCCGTCCACCACCGTAATCACGTCCACCACCGTAGTCGCGACGTCCTCCACCGCCGCCTCCAAAGCGTCCACCACCACCACCACCACCGCCGCCGCCACCGCCACCCGATCCGATGCGACGTGGGAGAGCGTGAGCGATACGAATACGGCTGCCACACAGAGTTCTGAAAATTAACATTGAAACCTTGTAAACTGTTGGTCTCTGACTTAAGATCAAGTACATAAGCTATTCATTTTCATTAAGCTTTAACATGTTCCAAACACTTACGTGTCATTCAGGGTCTTCATCGCATCATCCGCGTCACGGGCATCGCCGAAAGTGATGAAAGCATAGTGTGGTTGACGACTCGTCAACCAGATATCCGTCACTTCGCCGAATTCACTGAAAAAATAGAAGATCTAGAAGAAACAACGCAAATTACCCGAAAGCTTTGCTGAGATCACGTCTCGAAACGGCTCCATCGAAGCCACTGACATGAATACGGGTCACTGATCCACCCGATGATCGTCGATTTGGTGAATAAGTGCGCGAGCGAGAACGGCGACGATCCCGAGAGCCACTAAATGAACAATGAAATTAGAATGTTTAACGGTAAACTGTTCCCTTTGACAAGCTAAATGCAGAAAAAAAATAAAGTTTAATTTAAATTTGCGCTTTCTCTATTCAGTGAAATATCTAGCAGCTAATACCTGCGTCTACGCCGCGACTTCTTTTCCTGTGAATCCCGAGAGGATGAACGGCTAAAAAGCAAATTATGCACTAGAACTAGAACTAAAACTAAACGCTTTCCCCAAGAAATTTTAGCATCAACTCTTTTACCTTCGACGACGTTTCTTCTCGTCTCCACTCGCCGATGAGCTGCGGCTTCGGCGACGACGGTCTTTCTTCTTTTCCTAAACAAATTATTTGATGAATAGCCTTATTTAAAGTATTTAAATTAACACTAAGAATTTGGCTGTTTGTTTAACACTTTAGTGAAACTTTTCAATGTTTTTTCATAACAAAAAGATAGAACAATTCCTAATTTATTAGAAAAAATAGATACTTAACGACATTATCGATTCTTTAGCACTATTCTTGATAATAAAACATTTCCCCCACCTTTTCCATAGATGGTGACCGTGATCGCGAGTCTCTCTTCTTGCTGGCTTTCTTTTCGTCGTCCGAGTAATACTTGGCGACGCTGTCGAGGCCCGAAGAGGGTGGAGGAATCGGCGAATCCAATGCACTCATTTCACTCTGAAAAAACGGCCAATGTCTGTGCTCCGCCCGCAGAAATGTTCTTTTCAAAAAAGAAAACGAAAGAAAAAAGAAATGGGACTAAAGGCCGTGGGAAGAAAAAGCGGTTCTCATGACAACAAAATGAGAAATGAAAAAAATGGGAAGGAAAATAGTTTGAAATGACTCTTTCTGTTTCGAAAGTGAAAAGGAAACGATGCGAGCAGATGTAAATGGAATTGACCTTTTCGCCGGCGGTAATGCTAGCGGCAATTTTGTGATAAGGGCTGAGGCTTGCTCAGGGAATTTCTTTCGACAAGACCAAAATAATAACTTTTCGAAATTATAGAACAATTAAGAAGCTGGGTAAATCTAACGTAATTTCCCAGTCAACTTGTAATACGATAGGAAAATCGATCAAAAGAACAGATTTCAAGTTTTCTACTTTAAAAATCGCGTTCAATCGGTACTGTCAAGTCGAGTTTACCCTAAAATCAAGAATAGCTCACAACGAATAGCTTATTCGTATTTTTCCCAATTCGATTCGACAAAAATAATCCGAAAGAGATAGCAAAGGTTTCAAAAAAAAAATCGATGATCGAGAGAACAGCGTTGAAAGGAAAAGGGAAAAACGAGAAAAGAAAAAATTTATTCGACGCCCACAGCCGCCGGCGTTCATTGGTCGAAAACGTACACATTTTACAAGAGTAACACACAGAAAGAAAGAGTTCAAAATAGACAATTTGAGGAAAAACGCTCAAGTGAAAAGGAAACAATACCGTAAATGAGAATTTTCTCCAAGTGCAGACCTTTCTGTAAATATCACATAAAGCAATCGATAAAACGTATTGGATTTACACTTACGATAAAGGCAAATAAACGGTGGATTTGAGCTGGATTCGTGTGTTTTCAATGACCGGCAATAGGTAAATGCACAAAAAAAGTAGAATAAGCGGGAAAATCAGAAAGAGAAAAAAATTACTCGTAAGCCAGAAATCGTAAAAATGAAGCGAACACAGGGCAGATTTTAGAATTTTAGAGTTGGGTAATTAAACGATCTCCCAATAAACACGACTAGCTAAAGCTTAACATGGCGACAACGGTAAGAAAATATCGAGCACAACTTGAAAATTTCCAGCAAAAGCTCAAATAAATATGTTCCCTCAATGAACTTTGGGCTGCCTAAATAAGAAAATGTTTCAATGGGAAAAATATATGCACAAGTGAAGGAGGAAAGCAAAGGCAACAAAATTTAGAGAGTACAAACTAGACAAGCCCAATGAAAAGCACTCATCGATTGAAGAGACGAGCCATATCAGCGACACTTCGACGGTTGTTCGCATTCTCGTCGTCCTCCAATGGCGGTGGTGGCACGTGGGGTGCTGGAGCAGCTCCCGTACGGAGAATTGGAGCAATTGTTGAAGCTAAAAGAAAAGCTGTCCTTTATACCTACTTTTAAAGCTGGTGTGGAAAATAAAAATATGGTTTTTGTACAACAATCTGATGACATAGAAAAGTCTGTTAACTTTGTCTTAATGTTTATTAATTTCCCAAGCACTTACGCTCTCGAGGCTCCAATGCAGTCGAATCTCCTCGTCCGTTGGCGTTGCCGGAGAACTTCAATTGTCCAAATGTGAATCGACCTTCTGAGCTGGGCTTGGGTGGCAAAACGGGTGGAGTGGTCGGTGATGAAGAGCCATCTAGTGCTAAACAAACGTACAGTGGACCTGGACATAGTTTAACCAAACCTTTGTTTCTTCTTGGCAATGGCGGTGGGCTTTCTTCACGAGGAGAGTTCGGCGTACGGAGGGCCTCAAGTGAGCGATGTTCACTCTAAAGACATCACTTGAATTTGGTGTTTATTTTATTCAAACCTTTTGCATCAATTTCGGGCTGGCCAATGCTTTCTCGTGCGTGGGGCGAAGTTGTGAAGCGGCAGCGATGAGAGAAGCCTCGGGTAGCATTGCCGCGCGAAACATCGGACGCTCACTCAGTGGCTAAATTAGAATAAGCTAAATTTCACTCAAAAACTAACTTTTTTGGTTAATTCTTCGCCGTTCTCTTCTTTCTTTTCTTCTTCATCCATCTCGCAGACCACATCACAGACACTACGCGACATTTCATTTGATGGAGTTGAGCCCTGAAAAAATCCATTAAAACATGCAGCTTAATTTAAAGTTTAAAGGTATGCAAAATTCCTCACATTGTGTTCGTTGTTTACAGCAGGCGTGCGTCTTTGTGGCTTAGGACGTCCTTTCGCCAAATGAACGAGAGCCGATGGTCTGGGAGGGGCTTCGAGGGAAACCCCATGTTCTTCCAATGGAGATTGTAGCTCACCGACGATGCTTCTGTATGAAAAACTATTGCTACGAAGTAATGCCTCAAATTTTACCTAGGTCTGTGCCCATCTTGTCGATGAATGACCCGTGGTGAAGCGATAGCCGAGCCAGGAGATCCACCTCCATGTGATGAAGAGCCGGTAACTGATCCAGTTCCACTTGTTGCACATCCACCCGATCGGAGAATCCCTTCAGCGACCGTGCACGCCGCTCGCCATTTCCATTCACTAAATCATTCTAGTTTTAGCAACCTAAACAAAAACCCACGAATAAACAGCGTTTATGTCCTTCAAAAGCAGTTCGGTGAGTCGTTCCGTTGCCACATGTTCAATGTTAGACACGGCGCTCACGTTCTGGTCTTCTTCGTGCGTGATCGCATCTCGCAAGTGATTGTTCATCTGGGTTTTCAACTAAAAAGAAGATATTGGCTTCATGTTCCAAGCTTCATACCTGTTCTACAAAGTGCACTGTATCGGCTCGAATCTTCAAAGGTAGTTGCCCATCAGAGACGTCACGCAAGAGATTTTCAGCAGCGCACACCGAGTCGAATGACATTCCGTCAGATGACTAAAGTATTCAGGTTTGCTAACGGTCTTAAAACTCAAGACATTAAGTAGCCCGGCCGACAAACCCACATGATTAAGCGTGAAGAGTGCCCGCCGGAAATTTGCGTTGTTTGGAGCTTGGTACGAGTTGTTTCTCTCCAAACACGTCTCGATTTGCCCCAATGCTGTCAATGTCTTTGCTTTGTCCGATCGTACAACAGCCTCGCTTGCATCGAGAATTGGATAAGGCAACACGACGAGGGTGTAGTTCCTAAAAATTACAGTTTACGGTGTTTTTATAGTACAAAAGCCCTACATCAACATGGCTGAAGCAATATCAGCGAATCCATCAGCTGTAATGTGATTGCCATCAATGTGAAGAGTTCTCAGCGATACATTCAACTAAAGTTTCGAGGTTTAGCACTTTATTAATCAATTAACCTGCAAAGCTTTGCTCAAAATCCGAGCACCAAAGTTTCCCATCTCGTTTGCAGAAATATCCAAGCATCTAAACTATATTATTACTGCAAGTTCTTACTAAACTCACTTCAAGCATGACGTGGCACCAAGTGTATTCAGTAGCACGGACAAGTGAGCTCCAAGACGAGCCTCCGATAGAATGAGTTCTTCCAAGTGCTAAATAAAATTCGATTTAGTTAAAAAGTTAAACACTTACCCCGTCGTCGCCAATCAATTTCACAAGTTCAAGAAGAATTTTATTGATAGTGTGCACGTGGGTTTGCTTCCCGCTTCTTCTCAACGCTGTCACATTCGAGCCACCGATATCTAGTTTCTGCAGTTGAGTCATTCCAGCTAATGACGCGACAATTGGCTAAAAAGGTTCAATTATTTCAGCTGCGGATTGCGATCAGTACGCACGCTTTCCTATATTCTTACCAAGAGGTCGGCCTCAAGATTGTTGTCCCTGAGCGAGAGACTCTTTGCCGATATATTTTGTAGTCCCGTCTCGAGGATCGCCGCTCCTCCACGCTCAACCGATCCATTCAATAACAGGGAGAATGGTTTCAACTATAAGAACAATAGAAATTGCACAAGAAATGTTTAAAACCTGTTGGTTGCATGCTAATCCAAGTAGTAGAGCTTTCAGAATATCCGGTGGAAGCGACGTGTTTGAAAGGTTAATCTCTGTCAATCTGAAATTTATCTGTTAGTAAAAAAAATAAACAAACAACAATCTATCAATTAATAACCCTAACATACGCACAACTATTACCACTCAACATTTACAACACAAGCACAATTGTCACAAATAGTGTCATAAGCACGAAAATATGCACGACTAGAAATCACATGTTCAAATTCTTTTGGCATCTATAGCATCCCCGGACTTAAATTAAGAAATAAGGAAAAAACAAACCCAACTGCCATTGCGAAGAATTCTTTCACCGGTTGCGCGTGTTCACTAGTGATCTTTTTCGGTCCAACGACACAGCCTAAAATGTAACATAATGTTCTGCTAATTCTTTTACAACAAACCCGCCAAAATGAGTTTCTCCATTTGTAGGCCTCCATATTTCAGTGCTGGCCAGAGTTTCTCTAAGGGTAATTGTGAATCGGTGACATCGAGAACACGAAGTGAATTGCATAAAGACACCAGATTCACCAATGCAGATACCTAAATCTAGTTTAGACTGGATAGTCGATTAAACACTAACATCCCCTCCGAGAGCGTTCTTCGCAAGACACAAATGAGTTAGTTGCATTAAAGTTGAAGCTCTAAAATGTAAGAATGTTTGAAGTTCAAGGCTTTCAAAGCTATAACATACTTGTTTGTCAATGATACATAAAGAGCTGCTGAGAGAAGTCCGCAACATTTGTCGGTGAGTTGGCAATCGGCGAGGTTAACTTCTCGAAGAGAAACCAAGTGCTTCATACACGCGGACAGAGCATGAAATCCTAAAATACACGTTTCTTTATAATTCACTTGTCACACACCTTTCTTATCATCAAAGCTATTCTTCGACAAGTTCAGCACTTCTAATGGCAGGTTGTGATTCTGGTTGACTGCTGATGAGAATAATGTTATGAAATCCCTGAAAGGCGTTCAATAAAGTTTTTGTGCCAAAATTCTCACTTTGGCAGCGCACAATTGACCAAACGAAGATTGGTGAGCCATTGTGAGCGACGAACAACGCTGAGAATTACATCAACGAGATCTAAAGTTAAATCATTTTTGTCACAATTCATCAAATACCAGGTGGCAGCTTCAATCCCTCAGCGGTGAGTCCAGTGAAGTAGGACGAGTACTGCAGAACGCCAACAATTGGCAAAAGATCTCTGAAATTATCAAGCTATAAGCTAAAAAGCACTATAAGCATCAAGCTAAAAAGATCAACTTACTTTGGCAGCAAATGAGAGAAATCCTCAATCCTCAAATCGGTGACTTGGTTAATCGTGTAGATTTTTTCGACATCCTAAACATTACCAATGAGAATCAAGGATTTAAAATTTACCCAAGAAACTTCCTCCCGGTATGGCTGATCGAAGTAATCGCAGAGAGCTGCATATGTTCGTCGGAATGAATGGCACGGACGTGGAGTTACCTGCAAAAAGTGGTGAACGCTAGCTAAATAGCATCTAGTCCTTACATCAATTTTAATGTCATCAAATGTTTGCCAAAGCATTTTTGGCTCCAAGTCAACCAAAACTCGAAGCACGGGGCTAATATCGGGAAAGTAGTGCTAAAAGACCAAATTATACTTTATCATTTCAATATAACCTTAATAGCTGAAAGAAAATGCGTCGCAACGGTGATCGCCGAATTCCCCCGTAAAACGAGTCGCCGCCTGCTTCCGCCCTCATCAATCGAAAGTGCTAACTAAAAAAAAACCTTTGCAACATCTAACAAACAATTATCTATTTAAGAAAAGTTTACCTCTTCTTCCGAAATCACATGAATCATCCGAATCGTTAACACATGAAATGAGCGATCAACCTAAAACAAAAGTAATCCAGCAATTTTTGAAACACTTACTTTTAACGATCCAGGCGTTTTCCCTTGAAGCAAGAAGACTCGAAATTTCGATAGCGCCACCACTCGGGCTTCGAACTTGTCAGTTTTGTATGAAACCTGGGGACATAATTTTCAAAAGTAGAACGTTTAAACAAACATCAGCTTGGAAGACAGTGCGCAGGTCGAAGAACTTCTGGCCAAGAACGGTGCTTGGTTTAGCTAAAAGATTAGGAAATTTTAGAGGATTCATAGCATAAAAAGATTAATTTTGGTACTAATTCGTCGTCTCCGCGCTTCACATAAGTTACAAATTAAAATCTTTTATTCAAAAATCACCCGTTTGAACTAGAAATCTACATACAAGCACCGTTTTGCGCTCACTAACTCAAAAATTTTATAAAAGCGTAACGTATTAGCTTCAAATCGGGTACTTTGATGGTTGGGAGAGGTCACTTTTATCCTGGCTTATTTGGATGCAATGTTTTGAGTGGTTGTATTGATACATTTTATCTATTTTAAGGTAATCAAATATGCTTAATAGATTGGCGACTACTTTAGCAAATTTTTGGCAATTCTAGCCTAATCTCGTGTGCTTTAATCATCAAACGCTACCACAAAGCTGCTTACACCTGAAAATTAAATAAAAGCAGTAATATGGAAGTTGAAACATGTCGTAAATGTTCTAAAAGTATAAGGATATTTGATTACCCTAGAATAGGTAGATAAAAGAAATCAATGGAATCAATACAACCATTCAAAACATTAGATCTAACTAAGCCAGGATAAAAGTAGCTCCTCCCAATCACCAAAGTACCTCAAATCGATTTAAATCAACCCAAATCGATTTAAATCAACTCAAATCGATTCAAATCAGCCCAAATCTATTTAAATCAACTCAAATAGATTTAAATCAACCCAAATCTATTTAAATCAACTCAAATAGATTTAAAGCAACTCAATTCGATTTAAATCAACCGAAATTGATTCAAATTGATTCAAATCAACTCAAATCGATTCAAATCGATTTAAATCAACTCAATTCGATTTAAATCAGCTCAAATCGATTTAAATCAACCGAAATTGATTCAAATTGATTCAAATCAATTCAAATCGAATCTTCAAATCAAGTTTAGCTTCAAATCGTTTAACTTTCGCAAAATTTTAGCCAAAACTCACCCTGGATAAAGTCGCACAGCTCTTGACACACGGATCTTGTCAACGACATCGCTTTTATCAATCCGAAACAAAATAATTTGAAGGGAAACCCGTCGTTGACACCGTCTATCGCATCAAACGAGACAACTAAATGTCAAAATTAATTAACGACCGTGAAAACAAGGCAAAGAAACGTTAAAAACCAAAAAGGACACAAAAAACGGGTTCGGCAGAATTGAAAGAACGAAAAATGAAATAATTTTCGTTCGAAGAGCTTAAATAGAGAAAATAAAATAAAAGTAAAGATATTCAATCAACGCACTGAATATCAATCTTCACAAAAAGTCTATATAATGAATCTTGTTTGAAGCAAGAATGTCCTAAAATTAAAAATTAAACATAAAAATGCTTTCTATTCAAATCTCTTGGGGAAATATTGAAGCTGGAAGAAGTTTTGAAGTCAATGCTCAAAGCTAAATTGAATGAAATCAATGCTCAACGTTAAATTTCATCAAAATCCTATAAACTTAAGCAAGAAAAACAAAGAAACCTATGGAATCCATCAATTTTCTCTTGTTGTAAGGGGAAAAGAGACGAAAAACGGCCAATTCATCGTACAGTCATCGAGGCTAAAGTCCCCCTTCCACCCCTCTTTTCTGCATCTTTTTTTTTCGCCCTGTTCCTTCTCGTATTTCTTTTCTTTTCCCAAGCCATAGAGAAAGCGCCGTTTAGGATACTGTCAGGAGAGCGCTTTTTGGGGAAACGGGAAAGTTTGAACGGATTTTGTGTTCAAATTCAAAATCCATGTGTTTAATGGATAAATGATAGTAAAGGATAAAAGTTTATTAGTTTAAAGTTTATAAAAGTACCCGTAAAACATTTCAAAGTAAAGCAAATCTTTGAGCAAAAAGCAAAGGTTAGAAAGTTTTAAAGCTTGAAAGCTTAGAAAGTTTCAAACCTTCATAGCTTTAAAGCTTAGAAAGTTACAAAGTTTCATAGTTTCAAAGCTTTAAAGCTTAGAAAGTTACAAAGTTACAAAGTTTCATAGTTTCATAGCTTTAAAGCTTCAAAACTACAAACCTTCAAAGCTTTAAAGCTTAGAAAGTTACAAAGTTTCATAGCTTTAAAGCTTTAGAAAGTTTCAAAGCTTCAAAACTTCCAAACTTCAAAGCTTAGAAACTTATTGAATATGAACTTTTGAAGAAATCGGTAAAGAATCCGTTGAAAAGATTCGATATTTGAGAAATTGATAAAAAACAAGTACATAATAGAAACCAACAATAATACAAGAGAATAAATATAGGTAAATGACAAAATTCTCATTTGGGAGATAACAAGTGTTGACAAGGATCTGATTGGAGTTGAGAACAACCTGGAAAAGTTGATTCAATTTATAGATACTTTAGATAGGTACTGCGCCCCTTAACTGAATATCTTAATGCCTATGAGAAATCTCAAGATATTCACCTTTTTAGCTTTTAGTTCAAGATATTCAGCCAACTAACAACATTTTCATTCAATTCTTCTTTTTATTGGTTTTGTTTTCTAACATTTTGATTCAATTCTTCTTCTTTTTACTGCTTTTCTACCATTTCTTATTCGTTTTCTTTGATAATTTTATTTTTTTTAGGTTCAATGAGCGATCTGGGATGACTTTGAAGCATTTCGCGATCGACGTGAGCACGAACTAAACGAATTCTTTGAAGGAAGAGAACATCAACGTGAATTGAACAAAGAATTGCATGAGGAATCGGACAAAGAAGCAAACGAAGGAACGAACAAGCTGAAGCAAAAGAAAAAGCAATAGATGCGATAGCTGAACTCTGCAAAAATGGTGATGCTGCAAATGCTGCAGAAATGACTCGTGATGATGCGAGTTTGCAAAAAAGGCTCACGTCTCCGTTAATGCCACTGCCAGATTCTATCTCCGTTCATGCCACTGCCAAAATTGATCGAGCTTGTATCCAACGATCCGTCAAACAAACAAATGAGCTGAGCAAAATGCACGAAAAAGGAAGGGGTTCGTTGGTGGCGGATGACTTTGAAGCGTTTCGCGATCGACGTGAGCACGAACTAAACGAATTCTTCGAAGGGCGAGAACATCAACGTGAATTGAACGAAGAATTGTGGTAGACGCGGTGGTGGCTGACGCGTGAATGGTAGCAGACGCACAGACCTCAAAGGAGATTGAAGCTTTGGCAATATGGATTCTTAAAGGAGCGAAAAAAGGAGAGTGACCCGTCTAGTGATCTGGAATGAAGCGGCTAATCGATTTGCTGATGCAGAGATTCTTAAAAAGAAGACTGTTGAATGGAACCGTTTCTAAAGTGGCACCAATTCTCATTGAGAACGGCGTCTACAACATGTCAAAAGCTTCCTAGCGAATTTGAGAAAGTTCTTGTCAATCATTTCCGGAAGTTTTGCTTTGTCAACCATTTTCTATGTCAAGTTTTGTCAACCATTTCCTGTTCGTGAACAAGAAAATCGAAGAGAGCACTTTCAAGCACATATTCTTTGAAATAGATCTTTTAAAATAGATCTTTTAAAACAGAAAAAGCTATAGTATACCCAGAATCCAATAAGTTTACCATAAGAAATGAAGGATTTGGACCATTCCTCCAGGAGAATGAATTCACTGTGTACTCTGGGAAGACATCTTTGCCCATTGTAATCCTAAACAATCGATTTCTATCTATTTTCTAGAGTTATCCAACTTTCTCGTACATCCTCGATGCGTGTGTCCAGAAAAAACGGCTCGGGGATGTAACCACTGCAAAATTCTAGATGTTTTTAGGTAGCTCTAGAGATTTTTAGATAGTTTTAGATAGTTCTAGGTATTTTTAGATAGTTCTAGATATTCTTAGATAGTTCTAGATATTTCTAAAGTGCTTATAAGCCAGATATTTTAGATCTAAACCCTAGACCACGATTTGACTAATTTCCTTAGAAATTGTGATTTTAGATTTTCTTTATGTTACATGACATCCATAACGAAAAATCCATTGATTAGAACTATTGAGTTACGATAGTTTTTGTCGTAAAATAAAGCCGATCGCTTTTTTGTCGTCCCTTTCCCTAGTTTTAGTGCTATCCTTTACCTTTACATCCTTTACAAACCTTTACAAGTTTTTCTGTCGCATCTTCTGTGAGACAATCCCATCCAGGACGAAAGAGCTCATCTCGAGTTGGATCATTCCAATCAAAAGCTTCATCACGAATGCAAGTTGAGTCATCGGATCTGAAAGTCTGTTCATTTCTATTCTATTCTATTCTATTCTATTCTATTCTATTCTATTCTATTCTATTCTATTTCTAATCTATTCGATTTCTTGACTATCGTAATCTTGTACTGATAGAAGAGTTTATAGTAATCTAAGCTACAATAATCATCTTTAAGCACTCCATTCATAATATTATAGCAATTGTTGAGCTTCTTTTTTTACCTGTAAAGTGGAAAATGTTGCAGTAGTATTGGTTGTTGAAATGGTCGGAATTTCTCGACGCCTTCCAAAAAGCAAGTCGAATTTTGTGCACATTGAAAAAGCCGATCAAGGCGTTTCAAATCTCTTTCAGCTTCACCACATAATCTGAAAACGTAGAAAGCTATGGTTTGTTCCTGTAAACTGTCCAAATTGGGAAGAGAGCGTTTTATACTCGCACAAAATTGTCGTTTTCTAAAGAGCACCTTTTACGTCTGTCTAGGTTGTCACTAGGAACATCTCGTAGTCTCTGGCCATTTTATTTTCTTTTCACTCACTCCCATTGTTTTTATTTTTCATGTTTTACTACATTTTTCATGTTTTTCTCTTTTTTCATTTTTTTCTACATTTCTATATTTCTACATTTCTATATTTCTACTTTTTTCTTTTTTCTTTTTTCTCCTTTTCTCTCCTCCCCTTTTTCTTTTTTTCCCCTTTTCCTTTTTTCTCATTTTTTATTCTCTCTTTTTTTTCTACATTTCTACATTTCTACATTCTTCTTTTCTATACTTCTACTTTCTATTAGGTTGATGAGAAAGTCTTTGTCGATTTTTTGTACTACCCTAAAACTGCGTTTTAGGTGACTATGGAGTTTCAAGTCAATCTGACAGAACATCTGCGATGTTTATTTGTTTTTCTTCAAGCAAGGACTGAGTGCGACGGAGACGACAAGGAAAATCAACGACGTTTATCGACCAGGGACTGCCAAGAACGCACAACTTGTTATTGATTCGAAAAATTGCGTCAAGGGACCTTCAACCTGAAAGATGATGCCCGCTCTGGACGACCTAGCCTTTTCAATCAAGATCCCATTTGGTTCGCCTTGGTTCCTATTTGGTTTCTATTTGGTTATTTGGTTATTTGGTTCCCATTTGACCTAGCTTTTTCAATCAAGATAAACTTTGTGAGCATCTCGGATGGGCTCTCAATCGACCTAGCCTCAAGCACCCACCTTATTCCCCAAATTTGGCTTCATCGGATTATCATTGGTTCCAGTCTTCCAGTCGTCTAACTCTTTACAGAACACTTCTTTTGCTGATGTCACAAAGCTTTCTGGTTTCACACAAAGCAAAGAACAATTTCTGGAGAACTTCTTTGAAAGTCTTTCATCAGACTTTTATCTCAAAGGAATCGAGCTTTCGAATGAGCTGACAATGGCTGACACGTCCAGATCGAACAAGTTTCAGATCCTCTCTCAAGAGATCTACTACAGCATCTTTAAGATCTACTACAACATCTTCAAGATCTACTACAACATCTCGAAGATCTACTACAATATCTTTAAGATCTACTACAATATCTTTAAGATCTACAGTCTCATACACCAGAATCTCACCTGCATCCATCTCCTTCCAATGCCATTGATGTAATCAAAACAAAAGGCTGACCATTAATGACGAAACTGTCGATGGTTTTTGTTCCGAATCGATCCCCGAACCAGGTAACGCGTTGTGGATTGATTCTGAATGAGGATTGATGAAAGTTCTTCAATAACTCACGCATAATGAAAGCCGAGATCATGATTTCCGGGAAGAACAACGACTTTCGGCGGACCAATCAATGGTCCAAAAAGAGATTCAAATCGTGTGGCGTATGTATGAAAAAGTTCATTGTCTGTCCAATGACCCTCGTCCATTAAATCACCTAAAGATTTCTCTTAAGAGCCTTCAAAACATTCAAAAGCTATAGTACAGCTATAGTACTTTGGACTACAGTACTTTGGACTACAATAAGGCAGGATGTAGTCCAGCTACAATCCCCCGGGCTACATGAGTAAAGTATCCCGTTTCAACTTGCCCAAAAAGAACACCAGATCCGGTGAGAAGTGTCCAATCGCTGTTTGATAAGCTCTCCACATTTGCCATTCTCTTCTCAATTTGTCGAACCAATGTCCCCGATGAATCCCAAGTAGATGTGTGTCAGAGACGATGAAAAAGCGTAGAATATTCTAGAAATGGTTGGATTTCTATCTAACTACAGTCGACTCTCGATATTGGGATCTAGTGACCTATTCTATCCGAACCGCGTAATAGAATCGTTATAGTTTTTCGGTTTTCTCGCCGATGAGTGAATGAAATTGAATTTGCCTGGCACGTTGCCAAAAAAGCTCCTAGGGCTTTCGCGTACGCTGATTCGATTGGTGATATTTTCAGAGCCTTTTTGCGACTTATTTCTTCTTGTTTGCTGTTTTCTTGTTTTTCTGTTTTCTTGTTTTCTTGCTTGTCTACATTTTTAATTTTCTTTTTTAGATGGCGGGAATGGCTACAGTTAATAGGTTGGACATTAAGTTGTTGGACATTAAGTTGTTGGACATTAAGTTGTTGGACATTAAGTTGTTGGACATTAAGTTGTTGGACATTAAGTTGTTGGACATTAAGTTGTTGGACATTAAGTTGTTGGACATTAAGTTGTTGGACGTTAAGTTGTTGGACATTAAGTTGTTGGACGTTAAGTCGTTGGACGTTAAGTCGTTGGACGTTAAGTCGTTGGACGTTAAGTCGTTGGACGTTAAGTCGTTGGACGTTAAGTCGTTGGACGTTAAGTCGTTGGACGTTAAGTCGTTGGACGTTAAGTCGTTGGACGTTAAGTATTCTTTTAACTGAGTGGCCAAAGCTCAAAGCCAAGATGTCAAGCCCAGCCAACCGATGATGAGTTTAACGAGTGGTTATCAGAGCGGGGATTTTTATGGGCGAACCAGAAATTTCTTAATAGCCAAGAACCAATGCGTCATCGCTTGATTCAAGTCCAATGAATCAAGCACAAATTCTAGTGCTATAAGAGAAGTTGTCGAGTTCGGATTGTCTCAAGAGTCGACTTGAGGTATTTTTTAAGCGCTTGGCCGGCGGTTGTAATTATAAGTCGTTATATCAAGCAAATCGCTATATCGAGAGTCGCTATATCAAGCAAATCGTTATATCGAGAGTCTACTGTATGCAACAACCTCATTTCCCGTTGGCCAGCTACAATTTCTCAACAATGCCACATGATAAATGAGAAATTCGTTGAAGAAAAGCACAACGAATAGGGAAATGAGTGGGCTGAAATGACGAAAACGCATGCATTCACTGAAATCACGTTATGGCTATTTATGGCAATCATGGCAATCACACAGGTTATGGCTAACAGTAATGGCTAAGAGTAAAAGTTGAATTTGAAGTCTAAAACCTATTTTGACCATTCGACCATCGCTCGCTTCTTTTCTTTGGCTCTTTTTATTCCTTTCCCAACCACAAACTACATATTTTCATGAAACCGGGAAATTCTCGAATTTAAACTGAAAATACCGAAAATACCTCGATTTTTATGGATTCTCCTTTCATTTTCCAATTTCAATTCATTTTCCATGCGATTTTAAGAAATTTGCGTTTATTTCTAATTAACGAAAGGCGATGACGCAAAAACGTTTCATTTCTCTTTTCATTTCAACTTTTCCTCATCATGTGCTCGGTCAAGGTTTGGTTTTAAGCTTAAACTTTTCTTAAACTTTTCTTAAACTTGTCTTAAAACTTTTAACTTAAACTTCGCCGTATCGCCGTATCGCCGTAATTGTTCAATTGTTCAATTTACCCATTTTTTACTGCTTTTGTGTTTGATGTTATTGAAAAATTGGCTTAAATTTTTGAAAATGGGCATAGAAAGGCAATAAAAATTGGCTAAATTGAACTTTACGGTCGAAAAAGTCGAATTTTTTTGGTTTAAAAATGTTTCGCATCATTTTTTGTGTTTTTTGTGTTTTTTTGTGCATATCTGTGCATAATGAAGCGAAAAAATTGGTTTTGAATGTGTTTTTGCTTTGAACAGTTCAATTTGGCCTACAATTTAGCTTTTAATTTAGCTTTTAATTTAGCTCTTAATTTAGCTTTCAATTTAGGGGGTGGGACAAATGCGACCTTTTTTTTGCTGGAAAAGGCCTTAGGCAAGGCCGTAGAGCTTCGAAAATCTTTCCATACTAGGGAATCGTATGCGTAGATTCCGAATTTCGACAAATCAGATCTCGCTGACACGTCAAATTTGGGCTAAAAGGCAAAAACTGCGGAAAAGCGTTAAGTTGCGTAGTTTTTGCCTTTTAGCCCAAATTTGACGTGTCAGCGAGGTCTGATTTGTCGAAATTCGGAATCTACGCATACGATTCCCCTCTAAGAAAACATTTTTGAAGCTCTACGACCTTTCCTAAGGCCTTTTCCAGCAAAAAAAAGGGGCGCAAATGTCCAGGTGCGCAAAAAAAAGATCGCATTTGTTTGCGCAACTCGCCATAACTTTCTTCTAAGTGGGCTAATCTTTATGATTTTGATTTCATTTTGTTGCACTTATTGAGATCTACAAAATGAAATCCAAATCATAAAGATTAGCCCACTTAGAAGAAAGTTATGGCGAGTTGCGCAAATGACCCAGTTGCGCAAAAAAAGGTTGCGGAAACTAGCCTACCCCTCCAATTTAGCTTCCAACTAAGCTAAAACTTTCTAGAAAGCGCTTTCTAGCCAGCTTTGACTCAAATTTTCTTGTTAAAGCTACAAATTTGACACATTTCATGCGCAATTCTGATTTTAAACCTTTTAAACCGTTATAATTTTGTCGAATTTACCCATTTCTTACTGCTTTTGTGCTTGATTTTATTGAAAATCGGTTTAAATTTGTGAAAATGGGCAAAGAAAGGCAATAAAAACTTTCCAGAAATTTCTAGAAACTTTCTAGAAAGCGTTTTCTTTCAAATTTTCTTGTTAAAGCTAGAAATTTTACACATTTCACCCTCAATTTTTCTCTAATATGTCAATTTTTAATGTCAAAGCTCTAATTTTTAATGTCAAAGCTCTAATTTTTAATGTTAAAGCTCTAATTTTCAACATTTCAACCTTTTATTTAACTGTAAACAATCTAATTTTCATTTTATTTAGTCGTGGATTCGTGTCGTCAATGCCGTGCTCATCTTTCTTCAAATTCTCTCCGTCGCCATGCTTCTTTTCGGCATCTTCACGCTCTTTTACGTGAAGTTGGTTTTCTTTTCGATTAGTAGTGCAAACGTGATTGCTTGAAGCTAGAAACTGAGCCAATATTATTGTTTTGTGAGCTTTAGACGACCATTTTAGTCATTCTCGTCATTCTAATCATTCTAGCCATTCTCGTCATTCTAATCATTCTAGCCATTATAGTCATTCTAATCATTCTAGCCATTATAGTCATTCTAATCATTCTAGCCATTATAGTCATTCTAATCATTCTAATCTTTCTAGTCATTCTAATCATTCTAGTCATTCTTAGCGTTTCAAACTTCTTTTTTAACTAAGCTTAAGTCAGTGATTTTGCCAAGTTGCCAATAAAAGTCATTGATTTTGTCAAGTTCAGGTTTAAATCTTTCTCTTAAACACTATTTTATACTACTTTGTTAAGTTTTTGAGCTTTAATCAATCAAACCAATCTTAACCAACCAATGATACGTTTTTGAGCTTTAACTAATCGAGCTTTAGCCAATTTTTTTACGATTCTCTAATCATTTTCTTCTTTTAGAAAGCCATGTACGTGCATTCTAGCCGCAGGACCCGAATCCTTCATTGATAAACCCAAATATGTAAGTTTTTTTGCAACATTTGGCAGCTAAACAGTCTCGTTTGACCAATTTCAATAATCTTTCTATGTTTAGGATCTTGATTGCGCTAACTGGCGTGTGGAGAAGCACAAGGAGAGCAAGGGAATTCGCTTGATGTTCTTGAATCTGGTGATTTTTATTAAAATCGTAGTTAAATTCAGCTAGAGTGGTGTTTTATTGAGATTCAGTATCGATTAACTTTCCTGCTTTTAGTGGGTGTCCACCGAATTCAATCGTACAAGAGATCCATTCACGGAGCCGACGGTACTAGGATCTGCATCGGACGACGTCAAAAAGCAGCTCTACACGTGAGCTTTTTTTTATGACCTTGAATCAGTTATTAAGTTAGTGGATCAATCAGTTATTAGGTTAGTGGATCAATCTGTTATTAGATTAATGGATCAATCTATTATTGGATTAGTGCATCAATCAGCTATTAGTTTAGTGGATCAATCAGTTATTAGGTTAGTGGATCAATCTGTTATTAGGTTAGTGGATCAATCTGTTATTAGGTTAGTGCATCAATCAGTGATTAGGTTAGTGCATCAATCAGTTATTAGGTTAGTGGATCAATCAGTTATTAGGTTAGTGGATCAATCAGTTATTAGGTTAGTGCATCAATCAATTATTAGGTTAGTGGATCAATCAATTATTAGGTTAGTGGATCAATCAGCTATTAGATTAGTGCGTCAATCAGTGATTAGCTTAGTTCAATCAATTATTAGGTTAGTGGATCAATCAGTTATTAGGTTAGTCTTTACAACTTTTCTCCTGGTTGCATTTTACAATTACAACTTCTCCAATTTCATGGAAACCAATTTCATAGAAACCTTTACCAAATTTGTTGCAGTTCGGGCGCGGTTTCCCCGTTTGGGTGGCTTCTTTGGCTCGGGTTTAAGGGAAAACCCACCACAATACGGTTTCACCGCCGCAGACATCTCTACGGGCACACAGCCCTTTCTACCGTTCATTTCACAGCCCTTAGCTGGTTACAACACAAATCAATTAGTTTTCCCAAGAGTGTTATGATGTTCGCCGTTTAGAATTTGAGCTTTAAGTTAGAAGTTAAACCCATCAACTTTACGTTAAAGTTTTATTAAAAAACAAAAAAGAATAGTGAGTTAAAGGATCCGAGAAAGGGAGTTAAAGTCTCCAATCCCAATCTGGCGAAAAATAATTTTCTCTAGCCAAAAAGAGACAAAAGGGGGGCTACGGTAGCCTTGAGGCACGGTTTAACACCAACCGTTGCGTTCCAAACTATTAAAAAAGTATCATTTCTCTACAAAATGGCTTTTGAGAGAAAGCATAAAGCTCGCCTTAGCTCGGTAAAAACGCATTTTTATGTGAAATTTTTAATTGTTGTTTTAAAGAAAATGGCTGAACGGATCGTTTTCAAATTTTACAAATCTATGTGATCAAATAACCTCTATCTTTTTTACTTTAGCATCAAAATAGGTTTGTGTTGAAGAAAGTGTCCAAATTGCGACTTCAGCATCGAAGCAGTTTTAGGTGCTTGCCTTTGCGGCTTTGAAAATCCACAAAATCAACAACAAAACAAAAATCCACAAAAACAACTAACAAGAATTTTTCAAAAGCCATTTTACAGAGAAACAAGAAACTTTTTAATAGTTCAAATAGGAATTTTATTGGTGGCGGCATTTATTTCTAAAAAATGCTTGGAAAAAAATTGTAGAGACATTCCATCAATCTATATTATATTATATTTCTTTGTTTAGCATGTGCTTGGGTGCTCAAATCTGGTACTTCTGGTTCGTGCTGTTGTTGTGTGAGTTGACTTTTTGAAAGTAAACTTTTATCTTCTCATTTTAGTTCCCGCGATCATCTTCACCGTCATCATTTGCTCGTGTGTCGGCACCTGCACAAAGAGACATTGGTTCTGGCAACTGCCTGCGATTTTGTGCATTGTAAGTTTTGAAGTGTTAGAGTCTAGGCAGATATATGGTACCCTGGCTAGCTGAGAGCAACTAGCTAGCTGTACTGGCTCTGTGTCTAGGGATATTATAGCCAAGAATACTGCAGCTTGGCATACGGTAACCGATCATCACATAAAATACACTTTATTGCCAAATTTAGGGAGTTTTTGGAACACTGGGAATCGTCGGAACCATCTTTTCGCTCAACCTGTCGACGAATTGGTCGAATTGGTTCGTTTGGATGCATTCAGGTATATTTTCTGAAGTTTTTGCCAAAATGTTTCATTTTCCAGTGAACTCGATCTTCTTCATGTGTTACGCGGTGGCGCTGCTCGTTTTTACGGTGTTGATGTGCATGAAATCGCGTCAGGCACAGTATGAGGTGGTGAACAAGGATGCCGAGCGATCCGTGCAAGAGAGATACCCGTCAGTGCGACAAAAAAGTGATTGTAAGTGTTTTGGACATTTGAGAATGGTGTTGTACCTGTCAGCTACAATTTAACCTAATAAACATGGTCAAATTCTTTGACCAAAGTTGCACAAGGGTACTGTAGTTGGTTCAAGCATACCCCTGTTTACTGTAACTTATGATGTTTTGCCTAGAAGTACATCCTAGATGTCTAGATGACATCAATGAGCTGATAATAGCCATGAGCCGACTTCAAGTATAGGAAATAGCCATAGAAAGCTTAAGCTACTTCTAGATTTCATTACTTTATCGATCTTTTCTCTTTAGATTCCTCATCGGATGAGGAGTGACGAAGCAAAAGTTGTGTTTTTTCCCGTTTTTCTTCATCCCTCAATGGCAATTTGATCGATGGCATTTGAGCCAAAAACAAAACGATCAAATCTTTTCAATTCTCGGGGAATAAAGGGTTTTTTTGAACAAATTTTCGAGGAATTTATTATTCTACACCCGTAAAGAAAAAATGCGAAAAGAAATCGGTGAAATTTTTGGAGAATTTTTGCTATCAAGCGGTCACTTTGATAGCTTTCGGGTGCCGGTTTTCGCCACTCTGAAATGGTTAAGGATTAGATTTAGCTAGTACCTCCTTAGTTAATAGATAGCTAGATAATTAGTCAAAAAATCCACCTATTTCCCCGTTATACCTGCACGTCGCGAAGATTGGTTTTGTCGGAGAGATGCGACGAGTCACCCCATTTTAGTAGCTCGAATTTCCCATCACGCTCGAGGACCTGAAGTTTGGGAAATGAGCTTGTTATTTGATATTGGATAACAGTTAAGATAAGCTACAGTAGGGTTTTGTCTTAAGCACGCCTTTTAGAAAAAAGACAAAACACAGCTACAACACTACTGTAAGTAGTATTGTAGCTTTTTGTGAGTAAGTTTTAGAAACGAACTTCTCCAAGTGTACACTGTCCAACGTATCCCCAATCACCGAAAAGGGATTGATGAGCGCTTGCCGTCGGAGAACCGTGCGAGACGAAGAGGAGATTGCCTGCAAAGGGGAAAAGATCGACTTTACCAGAAGGGGTTCGTTTACGAGGAGCCAAAAAACCCCACCCTGTGGAAAGCGTTGAATGATTGAGTGAAGTGTTTGATGCACTCGTCCCGCACAACCCTCATCGCCACCGATTTCTGCGGGAAGCTCGGTGAGAACAGGAGAATAATCGGTGTTGATCGTGAATGGGCAAAGAGCGCTGAAAGTTTGGGAATTGTGGATGGGGAAAGCTGGCTTTTTAGGATTTACAGGTGGAAAAGCTAAACTCACAGAATTTCGTGTAAACTCGGTCGTCCAGGCGGCTTCGCGCATGCGTTCAACGATTCGCTTAAGCCTGGCTCCACGCAAATCTCGGGGATATCGGAAAGACCCGATAAAATGCCTAAAAGGATGAGAGAAAAAATGTTTTCGAAAAACCATTCATTGTTTGAATGCATCGGGTGAATGGAGAGGTGAAAATACGATCGACTCGTGTGCCACTTTTCTCCAGAAACGCGCCAACCTCACGCGCTTGTTGATGGCCACGATTGCTGAAAGTTGGGAGGGTAAATGGGTACTGGGGAATTGTTGTCTGTCTGTTTGTCTGTCCGTCTGTTTGTCTGTCCGTCTGTTTGTCTGTCTGTCTGTCTGTCTCTTTGTCTGTCGGTCTGTCTGTCTGTTTGTCTGTCCGTCTGTCTGTCATTCCACTCTCACTTGACACGCTTGCAGCGACGACTTGAACCCGATTGAGAGATTGAGATGTCTACAAGGGAAACAAGCAATATTCGAGCATGGATGAACTCAAGAAAGCCATTCAAGAAGCCTGGAACCGACTTCAGCTGACAGCGCTTCAAAATCTTGTCTCTTTGATGTCTTTTTGAAGTTGGACCAAAGCCAAAGCCAAAGCTGGACCAAGGACCATTTAGATGGCTCGACCAGCCATTGAGCGTCTATCAAAGTAGGATCGCTAGCAATCGCCGAACAACAACGAACAACTTCACCGTCAGCTTTACCATTTCAAAGAGCAGCGTTTACGATTGCCTGAAGAGGATTCGGCATTCGGTTCGGCAAACGATCGCCCACGTTCGGGACGGCCAAATAAAAGGCCCGAGTTGGTTTGTATCAAAGAAAAGAGGTATATTCGAAATCTACTGCCTACTACTGCTACTGCAAGAAGCTTGCCGGTGCTCCCGAGAAGCACGGCACGACAAAAAGCTACCGTACTCTGTCTGTCTGTCTGTCTTTTAGAAATTATCGTAAACCCCACCTCAAATACGGATCGTCCCATCTGCTGGCCGTTTCCCTCCACTCTGGCATGATGTTGTCGATTCGTTCGCCGTGTCGCACGAAGAACAACTTTCGGCCGGTTGTTTCATATGTTTTAATGCGCATTTGGGATTAAGGTGAGCTTGAATGAATCGATGATTGAACGATGAATCGATGAATGAACGAACGATATAATCGAGGTAAAATCAATTGATATTGAAGAATCAATTGATCAAAGATTGATTGAAATGAAATTGATTGATGAAATTGATTGAGAGATTGATTGAGAGATTGATTGAGATGAAATTGATTGATGAAATTGATTGAGAGATTGATTTTTCTATTCAAATTCAAATCCCAAATGAAAATTTGATTTAGAGTATTTTTAAAGAAAAATTTTTCGAAAATTCAAAAATTCAAAAAATTCAGTTATTTTTGAATAAAAAAGCTGAATTTTGGAAAAGTTGAGACCAAAAAATTGACAAGAAACTAGGAAAAAAAGGGGGAAAAGGCGAAAAAGGGTGAAAAAAACTCGTTTGCGTTCAAAAACGATCCATTTTACAGCGTCACCTGACGCTGGGCAGGAGAAATCGCGGGGAAATCGAGAAAGAAACACAAAAAAGGTTCATCGAATTTCGATAACAGTTTTGAACTTTTGAGGCGCGCAAAAACGATTCAAAAACAATACAAAACAAAAAAAAACAATCCGCAAAAGCGTTTTTCCCGTTTTCCCGGTTTGTTTATCGCAAAATCGTCGTTGTTGACGTGGAAAATGGTGACAAAACGTGTAATACAAAAAAGAAAAGAAAAGAAAAGAAAACAAACCAAAACAAAAAAAAACAAAACGAAAAACGAAAAACGAAAATATCCATGAAATTGTGCACGAAAATGTGTGATTCTCACAAAAATCTCTTTAAATTACGGAATTTCGGGCATCAATACAAGAAATCCGTTTTTTCCCTGAATATCACTTTTTTTTTTGATCGAAGAATGGGATGATTTTTTTAAAAAACTTAAAAACAAAGGAATCACTGTGGGAAAGGGAAGCTCGGGGGAAGGGAAGGGAAGCTGGGGGGGGGGAAGGGAAGCTGGGGGAGGGGAAGGGAAGCTGGGGGGAGGGGAAGGGAAGCTGGGGGAGGGGAAGGAAGCTGGGGGAGGGGAAGGGAAGCTCGGGGGAAGGGGAAGGGAAGCTGGGGAGGGGAAGGGAAGCTGGGGGGGGGAAGGGAAGCTGGGGGAGGGGAAGGGAAGCTCGGGGGAAGGGAAGGAAGCTGGGGGGGGGAAGGAAGCTGGGGGAGGGGAAGGAAGCTGGGGGAGGGGAAGGAAGCTGGGGGGAGGGGAAGGGAAGCTGGGGGGGGGGGAAGGAAGCTGGGGGGAGGGGAAGGGAAGCTCGGGGGAAGGGGAAGGAAGCTGGGGGGAGGGAAGGAAGCTGGGGGAGGGAAGGAAGCTGGGGAGGGAAGGGAAGCTGGGGGGAGGGGAAGGGAAGCTCGGGGGAAGGGAAGGAAGCTGGGGGAGGGGAAGGGAAGCTGGGGGAGGGAAGGAAGCTGGGGGAGGGGAAGGAAGCTGGGGGGGGGGGAAGGGAAGCTGGGGGGAGGGGAAGGGAAGCTGGGGGGAGGGGAAGGGAAGCTCGGGGGAAGGGAAGGGAAGCTGGGGGGGAAGGGGAAGGGAAGCTCGGGGGAAGGGGAAGGAAGCTGGGGGGAGGGGAAGGGAAGCTGGGGGGGAGGGGAAGGGAAGCTGGGGGGGAGGGGAAGGGAAGCTGGGGGGGAGGGGAAGGGAAGCTGGGGGGAGGGAAGGAAGCTGGGGGGGGGGAAGGGAAGCCTGGGGGAAGGGGAAGGGAAGCTGGGGGAGGGGAAGGGAAGCTGGGGGAGGGGAAGGAAGCTGGGGGGGGGGGAAGGGAAGCCTGGGGGAAGGGAAGGGAAGCTGGGGGAAGGGGAAGGGAAGCTCGGGGGAAGGGAAGGGAAGCTGGGGGGAGGGGAAGGAAGCTGGGGGGAGGGAAGGAAGCTGGGGGGGGGGAAGGGAAGCTGGGGGGGAGGGGAAGGGAAGCTCGGGGGAAGGGGAAGGGAAGCTGGGGGGAAGGGGAAGGGAAGCTCGGGGGAAGGGGAAGGGAAGCTGGGGGGGGGAAGGGAAGCTGGGGGGGGGGGAGGGAAGCTGGGGGGAGGGGAAGGGAAGCTCGGGGGAAGGGAAGGAAGCTGGGGGGAGGGGAAGGGAAGCTCGGGGAAGGGGAAGGGAAGCTGGGGGGAGGGGAAGGAAGCTCGGGGGAAGGGGAAGGGAAGCTGGGGGGAAGGGGAAGGGAAGCTCCGGGGAAGGGGGGAAGCTGGGGGGGGGGAAGGAAGCTCGGGGGAAGGGGAAGGAAGCTGGGGGGAAGGGGAAGGAAGCTCGGGGGAAGGGGAAGGGAAGCTGGGGGGGAGGGGAAGGGAAGCTCGGGGGAAGGGGAAGGGAAGCTCAGGAGAAGGGAAAGGTTTGGGGAGGCTCAGGGAAAGGGAAGCTCAGGAAAAAGTTCAGTGAAAGGGATACCGAGCCGTGACTCTGGAATCTGGGCTGGTTTACGCGGTTTATGGTTGGAAGCTGACTATGGCCTGCCATGGGCTCTTTAACGGGCTATTTTTGGGGTCCTGGCACCCTAACAAGATATGGGCTACGACATTGGCTGAGTTACGGGCTATTTTTGTGGCCCTGGGTCCCATGGTTGGAAGCTGACTATGGGCTATGTCATTCGCTGACTTACGGGCTAATCGGCGGACCCTGGCGACTATGGGCTTGTCATGGGCCCCTTGACGGCTCTTTCAAGGGCCCTGGGCCCTAATAAGATCATCTAGTTCATCACAAAGATCGTAAACACTGAAGATAAACGCTCGAGAGAAGAAAGTGCGATGTTCCCTTGAAATTCGCCGAGACTCATAGAGATAAGGAGTCGAGAAGGGAAGACCTATCTATTAGGACCGTGGGCCAGATCGAAAGCGATTACTTGGCTGCACAAAGAACATTTCGTCAGTCATTTATTCATTTCTTTTTTGGCCTTAGATGGCTTTAAATAAAGATGTTTGAGCTATAAATTTGTACTTAGGGTTTTCGGGGTCGGTGAATCGATTGGCGCTATTCATTTTATCGAATAGAGGAAAGGGGTAAAGGGAAAGGCGTTGAAATGGAAATGTGTTGAAAATAGTAAAGTATTAGAGAGTATAAGTTATGTAAGATTATCTAAACCAAGTATCTAAGCCAAGTACTTAAATCAAGTCTCTAAACCAAGCATCAATAAATCAATGATCTGCCAGACAGCACTGAGAAATGAGAACTCTAAACGAAATGAGAAATGAGAACCTTTTTTCGATCTTTCCCCCAAAAGACTGGGCGGAGTTCTGAGCAAATAAATGATCAGAGAGATTTTCGATAGTTTTTGAGCATTTAGAGATCAAATTCTTTTTGGATATCATTTTTGGATCAGTTTTCGAGTTTATAAAGGATTGTAGCTGGGCTAGGATAGCTGGGCGTCTTGTAGCTAGGTCTCTTGTAGCTGAGCCTGTTGTAGCTAGGCTTCTTGGGATGAATGGGAAATAATACTGCCCCACCCACCCGAAATAACGTTCCCGGCTGTAGCCTGTAGCCGGCATTTGCTTTTGCTGGTGCCAAATTTCCATTTTTAACCGTTTAACTGGAAATACAGGCTGATGGGGTACAGCCTGCAGGTATACAGGCTGAAGGGGTACAAGCTGATGGGGTAGGCTTAGGCTTAGGCTTAGCTCAGGCTTAGGCTTAGGCTTAGGCTGTAGGGGGACAGGCTGATGGGGACAGGCTGTAGGGGTACAGGCTGATGGGGACAGGCTGATGGGGACAGGCTGAAGGGGACAGGCTGTAGGGGTACAGGCTGATGGGGACAGGCTGATGGGGACAGGCTGAAGGGGTACAGGCTGTAGGGGTACAGGCTGATGGGGACAGGCTGATGGGGACAGGCTGAAGGGGTACAGGCTGTAGGGGTACAGGCTGATGGGGACAGGCTGTAGGGGTACAGGCTGTAGGGGTACAGGCTGATGGGGACAGGCTGAAGGAAATTAGTAATATTGTATCTAGGCTTGTTGTATCTAGCCTTATTCTACCCTGATAACCGTATTGAGTCCTATAGTCCGAGTGTAAAGAGCCAATTTAGGGCGCACGAGAAAGCCAGTGTTTACGAGTGCATAAAGTCCGCTTGAAGAGGAGATTCTTAGGTACAAATTGTGTTCATTTCTTCCTAAATGATAAGAGCTGTTGATAATAGACGAATCTAGAGAGTCCAGACATTCTAGTCTAGACATTCAGTTCAGACATTCAGTTCAGACATTCAGTTCAGACATTCTAGTCTAGACATTCTCTCGTTGATATCAAATTGTTTACAGAGTCTTTTAAAGAGTATTTCATTGAGTAAAAGTTTCATTGAGTGATTCTTTAGAGTTTAACAGATGGTTTTTATTAACAGAAACAGATGAGAGAAAGAGATGAAGGATTTCTTAAAGAAAGAAATGCATTTCTTAAAGAAACAAATGCATTTCTTTAAGAAAGAGATGCTTTGAAAATGTTTTTTGAATCATTTTTCTTAGGTAAAGCTAATCTTTCTTAGGTTTAAAGTAATTTTAAAGTATTTTAAAGTAATTTTACATTACCAGCTAACAAAAAGCTTACTATTTTGACATTATTTGAATTGATTTTTAATAGTAAACTCTAGTTTTAATCGTTTTTTGTTTTGCTTGCAGTTTTTGTTTGCTTAATTAAAAAAGATTTATTTAAAATTGTAAATTTAAAAGACTATTCTTGCGATCTGGAAGGCACGACGGTTAGCTAGCAGTAAAAAGACTAGATTTGAAGGAAATTGGTGAATGGTCATACGGTAATTGAGCTGTGAAGGGATTACTGTACTTTTCGACAATAGTTGACATATTCTAACTATTTAATCTTGTGATCTGGAACTCACGATGGTTAGCTAGCAGTAAAAATTCTCGATTTGAAGGAAATTGGTGAATGGTCATACGGTAATTGAGCTGTGAAGGGATTACTGTACTTTTCGACAATAGTTGACATATTCTAACTATTTAATCTTGTGATCTGGAACTCACGATGGTTAGCTAGCAGTAAAAATTCTCGATTTGAAGGAAATTGGTGAATGGTCATACGGTAATTGAGCTGTGAAGGGATTACTGTACTTTTCGACAATAGTTGACATATTCTAACTATTTAATCTTGTGATCTGGAACTCACGATGGTTAGCTAGCAGTAAAAATTCTCGATTTGAAGGAAATTGGTGAATGGTCATACGGTAATTGAGCTGTGAAGGGATTACTGTACTTTTCGACAATAGTTGACATATTCTAACTATTTAATCTTGTGATCTGGAACTCACGATGGTTAGCTAGCAGTAAAAATTCTCGATTTGAAGGAAATTGGTGAATGGTCATACGGTAATTGAGCTGTGAAGGGATTACTGTACTTTTCGACAATAGTTGACATATTCTAACTATTTAATCTTGTGATCTGGAACTCACGATGGTTAACTGGCAGTAAAATGATTAGATTTAGAGGAAATAGATGAATGGTGATACTATGAGTGAGGTTTGAAGGGATTACTGTACTTTTCGGCAATAGTTGACACATTTTAACTATTTAATCTTGTGATCTGGAAGGCACGGCGGTTAGCTAGCAGTAAAAAGACTGGATTTAGAGGAAATAGATGAATGGTGATACGGTAAACGAAGTTCGACAGGATTACTGTACTTTTCGACAATAGTCGACATATTCTAACTATTTATTCTTGTGATCTGGAACTCACGATGGTTAACTAGCAGTAAAAAGACTAGATTTGAAGGAAATTGGTGAATGGTGATACGGTAAATGAGGTTCGACAGGATTACTGTACTTTTCGACAATAGTTGACATATTCTAACTATTTAATCTTGTGATCTGGAACTCACGATGGTTAGCTATCAGTAAAATGATTAGATTTAGAGGAAATAGATGAATGGTGATACCATGAATGAGGTTTGAAGGGATTACTGTACTTTTCGACAATAACTTAGCTATTCTAACCATTTAATCTTTCTATCTGGAACTCACAACGGTTAGCTAGCAGTAAAATTTTTGACCTCTTCATATTTTGACATTATTTGAATTGATTTTTAATAGTAAACTCTAGTTTTAATCGTTTTTTGTTTTGTTTGCAGTTTTTGTTTGTTTAATTAAAAAGATTTATTTAAAATTGTAAATTTCTGAAAGAGAGAAAGAGGAATTGAGAAGAATTGGGTTGTTGTTTTTTGTCGAGATTGAGTTTAGAAATGGTTTAGAAATGGTTTAAAATATATATATATGTTGTGTCCGATTTAGATTTCCGTCCGATTTAGATTGAATCTAAATCGGACGTCCGATTTAGATTGAACTTATCGCGGACGTCCGATTTAGATTACAGTCTATATCGGACGACTCAATCTAAATCGGACGTCTTATATAGATTGAACAATAATATAAACATGTTTAGTATATGTTCTTAAGCGTTTTCTGTAGTTTTCTGCATTTTCAAAGGTCTTTTATTGATTATTTCATAGTTGGGTTTTCTTTTCAGAAAAAGACGTAACAGACCTTTGAAAAATGCAGAAAACTACAGAAAACGCTTAAGAACATATACTAAACATGTTTATATTATTGTTCAATCTATATAAGACGTCCGATTTAGATTGAGTCTAAATCGGACGTCCGATATAGACTGTAATCTAAATCGGACGTCCGCGATAAGTTCAATCTAAATCGGACGTCCGATTTAGATTCAATCTAAATCGGACGGAAATCTAAATCGGACACAACATATATATATGTAGATACTTTATTCAGGACCTGAGATAAAGTGCGCTAGATTTCAAGATTAAAAACACATGAATTCATACACATAAACACGAAAAGGGCCGATGAAAAGAAACACGATATAATATATGTAAAATGTGGGTAGCACAGATAGCGTCAAGGATCCACTAGAGCAAGGATCTACTAGGTAGGGTCGAGGATTCACTAGATAGCACAGATAACGTCAAGGATCCACTAGGTAGCGTCAAGGATCTACTGGGTAGGGTCAAGGATCTACTGGGTAGGGTCAAGGATCCACTAGGTAGCGTCAAGGATCTACTGGGTAGGGTCAAGGATCTACTGGGTAGGGTCAAGGATCCACTAGGTAGCGTCAAGGATCTACTGGGTAGGGTCAAGGATCTACTGGGTAGGGTCAAGGATCCACTAGGTAGCGTCAAGGATCTACTGGGTAGGGTCAAGGATCTACTGGGTAGGGTCAAGGATCCACTAGGTAGCGTCAAGGATCTACTGGGTAGGGTCAAGGATCTACTGGGTAGGGTCAAGGATCCACTAGGTAGCGTCAAGGATCTACTGGGTAGGGTCAAGGATCCACTAGGTAGCGTCAAGGATCCACTAGCTAGCGTCAAGGATCCACTAGGTAGCGTCAAGGATCCACTAGCTAGCGTCAAGGATCCACTAGGTAGCGTCAAGGATCCACTAGGTAGCTTCAAGGATCCACTAGGTAGCGTCGAGGATCCACTAGAGCTTCAAGGTCAAGAGCTGATCTTCAAGATCAAGATCATCTACAGATAATTTAAAGATTTCGAGACTATTGGACTCTCAAAACTCTGGGGAGTCGATTCCAAATTCTGGCAGAGTTGGAAAGTTGGCTCTTATTGGAAAAAAGTTAGACACAAACTTATTGGAGGTGACTGGAATTTCTAAAACGAAATTTCTAACGAAAGAACCTCTCCTTGAACTAACCGTGGGATTAACTTTGAATAAATCTCGAAAAAGAGGCATAGGTTGCCTGAAACATTCTATTAAATCCGTGACCAAGCGGCGGTGTCTAAGAGAAAAAATGTTTAAACTGGTTTAAGAATGGTTTAAACTGGTTTAAACTAGTTTAAGAATGGTTTAAACTGGTTTAAACTGGTCTAAACTGGTCTAAAATGGTCTAAACTGGTTTAAGAATGGTTTAAACTGGTTTAAACTGGTTTAGGAATGGTTTAAACTGGTTTAAAATGGTTTAAAATGGTTTAAAATGGTTTAAAATGGTTTAAGAATGGTTTAAACTGGTTTAAAACTGGTTTAAAATGGTTTAAGAATGGTTTAAAATGGTTTAAAATGGTTTAAACTAGTTTAAACTGGTTTAAAATGGTTTAAAATGGTTTAAAATCGTTTAAAATCATAAAATGGCAATTAAAATAAAAACCCGCAATGAAAATGGCGATCAAGATAAATTTAAAGCCGAAAAATAGGATAAGCTTCGTTTTTGACAAAAAGGATCTGACAAAAGATCTCAGCAATCGCTAAGAATTGAAGAGAATTCAGCCGCTTTCTGATGTCTTTGCTCGAGAAGAGCCACGAATGACTGACAATTGTGCGCGAGATCGTGCGCGATTCGGATCACGTCTCGGCGATGCGCGTTGTAGGTCTGAATTTGATGGAATTAGCTGTGCAGGAGGTCTTTTGGACTTTTCGACAATAATTTCAATATTTTAACTATTTATTCTTGTGATCTGGAAGGCACGATGGTTAGCTATCAGTGAAATAATTAGATTTAAAGGAAATAGAGGAATGGTCATACGGTAATTGAGCTGTGAAGGGATTACTGTACTTTTCGACAATAACTTAGCTATGCTAACCATTTAATCTTGCTATCTGGAACTCACGACAGTTAAATATCAGTAAAATGATTAGATTTGAAGGAAATTGGTGAATGGTGATACGGTAAATGAGCTGTGAAGGGATTACTGTACTCTTCGACAATAGTTTATATATTTTAACGATTGGATTTTCTTATCTGGCACACACCACGGCTAGATATTGGTTTGGTTAAATAGATATTATGAGTTGACTCGAAAATTGCCTCACCACTAGTGTTCCCTGTTCAGTCAATGATTGCATAGCTCGACTCATTTGCCGCATATCGTTTCCAATCAATCCCTCACATTTCTCGATCTAGAATTGAAGAAACGAGAGATTTGATGATTGAGGAGGAGGATTGATGAGGAGGATTGATGATTGGGGATTGAGCATTGCTCATTGCTCACTGATCGTTGCTCACTGATCATTGAGCATTGATCGTTGAGCGTTGATCGTTGCTCATCGATCATTGCTAACCGATCATTACTCACTGATCATTACTCACCGATCATTACTCATCAATCATTACTCACTGATCATTACTCATCGATCATCCTCCTATCCATCTACACCAGTCTACCTAACTTCTACAGCATCGACCACTGCTATTTCTATCGACTACCTCATGCTGTTTCTCTTGTGTACAATCGTTGATCATTGACGACGACTCGGAGAACATTTCGCGGAGTTTTGACGTGATTTCCTGAAATATATAGATAAAAGAGAAATTTAGATAAAAGAAACTAGATAAATCTGTAGATAAAGCTATAGATAAAGCTGTAGATATGTATTTGTAAACTGTAGATAAATCTCTAAATGAATCTAGCTTCATCTAGCTTCAGTTCTCTTCCTTTTTAGGTAAACTTTTAGGTAACTTAAACGTTTTAATCTTTAACAAATGATTTCTAAATGGCTTTCAAAGTATTAAAACTTTTATAGCAGTTCTGGTTGTGTCAGAAGTCCAAACTGACTTAGAGAGCTGCTAGAGAGCTGCTAGAGAGAGCTGCTAGAGATCGGCTAGAGAGCTGCTAGAGAGCTGCTAGAGAGCTGCTAGAGATCGGCTAGAGAGCTGCTAGATAGCTGCTAGAGAGAGCTGCTAGAGAGAGCTGCTAGAGATCGGCCAGAGAGCTGCTAGATAGCTCCTAGAGAGCTGCTAGACATTTTTGAGTACTTTATTAATCCATTAATCTTTTTCATCTTTATCTATCTATTTACCTTAATAGCTTGCACGAAATGCTCGTGTTTAACGTGTTGACTGTAAGTGTTCGCCAGTTTTGCAACACTTTCCACAATTGAGTCAGTGGCTTGACGCATGCATGAGATGGCGGATTGGTTGGGCATCTAGAAAAGGATCAAAAAGGCTCAGAGAAGGATCTAGTCATCCTACAGTCACCTAGAGATACCTAGAGACTCTCCGGATTGTCTACAGATTACTGTAAGCCTACAGGTTACTGTAAGCTTACAGGCTATTGTAGACCTACAGTCTACTGTATCACTGTAAGCCTGGGTTGCCTGGGTTACTGTAGAAGGCTGGCCTCTGAGTTCTGACCTTCTGACCCCAACTACAGTAGCCTTGGGCTTGGCCGGTAGCTGGGTTTGGCCAGTAGCTTGGCCAGTAGCCTTAGCCAGTAGCCTTGGCCAGTAGCTTGGCCACTAGCTTGGCCAGCCTTAGACTACTGTAGAATTCGTGTTTCATTCTAAAATTCGATACAAACCCCATTCGGTAAGCTCATCGTCGAGTGATGGATCAGCTTTGGCGTCAGCGCTGGCTTTGAGTCATCAATATTCCCATTGTTTCCCCTAGAAGATAAAATGAAGAGGGCAGTTTAGGCCAAGTGTTTGTCTAGAACAAGAGCAAGATCTTGATCTAGGCTAAATCTTAGGCTATATTGGTCTTATCATGGTTTAAAGAGAGCTATGGTCGCTCAGCTATGGTCGGCAAGTGATGGCAAGTGGTTTCTTTCTTTTCTTTACGCCCTGATAACTTGTTCATCTTGTTCTTGTCGATAGCCAGGCTTTAATTCTCTCCAGCAGTTGATTTATTTACTAGTAGCCTTGGCCACTAGCCTACCACTAGCTTGACCACTAGCTTGACCACTAGCTTAGCCAGTAGCTTGACCACTAGCTTAGCCAGTAGCTTGGCCCCTAGCCTTGGCCACTAGCTTGGCCACTAGCTTGACCACTAGCTTGGCCACTAGCTTGGCCAAAAGCATCTCATTACCCAATCTCATCGAGAATCAACGAGTTGAGCATCTCATTCAAATTCTCATTCGCATCGAAAGAATGACGCTGAAAAAGGAAATATTCTTAAAGTTTAAAGCATTTATTTCAAATCACTCAACAATTTCAGTGTCTATAAATGGAAGAAAGAAAGGGTTAGATGTTAGCTACAGTGCTTTGAGTGCATGAGAGAACCTCCCAACAACAGACACCTGTAAATAGGAATCTATTGTAGCTAGGAATCTATTGAGATAGGAATCTATTGAGATAGGAATCTATTGAGATAAGAATCTATTGTAGATAGGAACCTATTCTAGATAGGAATTTATTGTAGCTAGTAGTCTATTCTAGATAGGAACCTATTGTAGATAGTAACCTACAATGGTTAAAGTAATTGTAAATTAAAAAAAACATACCTTATTCTTGTTTCCCAAGCTTTCTCTTTCTTCTTCCTCTTGTTCTTTCAGCCATTTCTCATCTTCTTCCATTTGTCTTCGTTGATCTTCCAGCGTTCGCCATAAAGTCAAATTTGGAAGAGATTCGATGTTCGTACGGATAACGGGGATGTTCTGAAATTGAGTTACTTTCTAGTAATCCTAGAAAGACTACAGTAATCCTGGAAGGCCTACGGTAGTCCTAGAAAGGCTACAGTAACCCTTGGAGGACTACAGTAATCCTAGAAAGACTACAGTAATCCTAGAAAGACTACAGTAACCCTTGGAGGACTACAGTAATCCTAGAAAGTCTACAGTAATCCTAGAAAGACTACAGTAACCCTTGGAGGACTACAGTAATCCTAGAAAGACTACAGTAACTCTTGGAGAACTACAGTAATCCAAGAAAGACTACAGTAACCCTTAGAAGACTACAGTAATCCTAGAAAGACTACAGTAACCCTTGGAAGGCCTACGGTAATCCTAGAAAGACTACAGTAACCCTTGGAGGACTACAGTAACCCTAGAAAGACTACAGTAACCCTTGGAAGACTACAGTAATCCTAGAAAGACTACAGTAATCCTAGAACGTCTACAGTAATCCTAGAAAGACTACAGTAATCCTGGAAGGCCTACGGTAGTCCTAGAAAGACTACAGTAATCCTAGAAAGACTACAGTAACCCTTGGAGGACTACAGTAATCCTAGAAAGACTACAGTAATCCTAGAACGTCTACAGTAATCCTAGAAAGACTACAGTAATCCTAGAAGGCCTACAGTAATCCTACAGCTAAAGAATCCGACCTGTATCGGTCTGACAATCCGTATCTGATCAGGATGTACTCGGCGTTTCAATTGCTCGATGACGTCACGCAGGATTTGTGAGATCTAGATTCCGAATTGTTTTTTTCAAAAGGTTTCCTTGCTAAAAGCTAATGGTTAAGCAAAAATCTGAAACCTCGGCAATAAGCGGGCGTTTTGGCGGCTGAAATGCCCAGATGTGTTGCTCGAGATATGTAAAGAGTGAGATTGGACACGAATCCGGGCAACCTGGTCGATGGCCGGCCTCGATTTCGCCTAGAATTAATCCCTTAAAAAGTCTCTTTGATGAACTTTCTCACCAATCACATCCGCATTTGCCACTCCAGTCCATGGCTTTTGACCCCATGAGAGAACCTCCCAACAACAGACACCTGTAGATAGTTGTGGATAGGAATCTCTTGTAGATTGGAATCTATTGTAGATAGGAATCTATTTAGATAAGAATCTATTGTAGGTAGGAGTCTATTGTAGATAGTAATCTATTGTATTACTTGTATAGTAAACATTTAAAAACCCTTACCTGATCTAAACATTAAAATTCAAAAATACAAAATCCATTGTCACCACCCGGGCTCGAACCGGGGATGTGTGGGCGGTAACCACGAGCACTCCGCTTGCGCTATGGAGATCGATGACCTCCGACCAGAAAAATGGGTTTTATCTAAAACGAGTCGAAAACCCACTTGACTTTAAGCGAGTTTTTCGACTGGTTTTAGATAAAAGCCTTTTTTCTAGGCGGGTCTTTATGTCGCCGTGGCTCAGTCGGGAGCGCGCTTGTCTAGAAGCCAGACGATCCGGGTTCTACTCCCGGCCGAAGTTTTGCTTTTTAACAAAAACCGTTTTTTGGCTGATAGTGGGTTTTTCTGGGTGATAATGGATAGCCCTCGTGGCTCAGTCGGGAGTACGCTTGTCTAGCAGCCAGGCAATCCAGGTTCGACTCCCGGCTATGTATGACGGAAATGACGGAAATTGTTTGTAAATCTTTTAAATTACCAAACATCCAAACATCGCTTGCCATTGAGAACTCTCGGAAATTGATCGATTCCGGCGCCATCCATTTGATTGGTAATTTTCCGCGAGAAGCTAAAGAGAGAAATTATAAGATAGAATAAGATAGAATAAGATATCATAAGCTTTTCTGTCTCTAAAAACTCACCAGTATAAACAGCATCATGATCAAGTGCTCGACTTAAACCAAAATCCGTTAATTTAACGAGATTTGGCGAACAAACAAGCACATTTCTTGCGGCAATGTCTCGATGAACGAATTGAAGAGAATGGAGATATTCGAGAGCTGATGACACCTGGAAATCGAGTGATTTCGTGGGCTTTTGCATGGCTTAGATTTAGGCATGGCTTAGATTGAATGGGGCACTGGATCTTGTGCTATCTTGCACTCTACAAACCTGTGCACAAAAGAGAAGCAATGTTTGCACGTCGAGTGACCCTTTGTGACCGATGAGGTATTGGCGAAGCTGGAAATGAAGGGGAATGAATGGGAATGAATGGAGATGAATGGGAATGAATGGCATTAGAAGTGACACTTTTAAATTATAGTAAAATCTATAATCTATTCAGCTAATAGCAAAGGAATTACTGTACTATTCCTTTGCATTAGCAAAGGAATTACTAATAGTACAGTAATTCCTTTGCTATTAACACTAACAACTATTAGCTAGAATAGTGAAACGTTTTTTCTTTGTTTCTTTGCTTTTTTGTTTTTTTTGGTTTTTTTTTGTTTCTTTGCTTTTTTGCTTTTTTGTTTTTTTGCTTCTTTGCTTCTTTCTTTCTTTCTTTGCTTTGTGAGGGCTTAGACTTAGATAATTCTGTGTGTAGAATGCGTCCAAAGACACTCCGATCCACCAAACTTTACCCTTACACCAATAGCTTTAAAATAAACAATAGAAAACGACTGGAAAAAAAGGTGATGCTTTGTGTTTGGTGGAACAGTAAAGGCCTGGTGTACTTTGAGGTTCTGGATTCGGGTCAAACAGTTACGGCGAACCTCTACCAAGGCCAATTGGACCGCGTGGACCAGGGGCTGCGACGTCAAGGTGTGGATACGGTGTCGACAAAATTCCTCCACGACAACGCTCGGCCGCATGTCGCAAAAATCACCCAGCAGAAAATTGAAGAAATGGGCTGGGAAGTCCTGCCTCATCCGCCATACAGCCCAGTCTTGCCTCATCCGCCATACAGCCCAGTCTTGCCTCATCCGCCATACCCCTTCCGACTATCTGTTCTGATCAATGCACCACTCCTTGGCCGAGAAAAAGTTCAAGAACCGCGACGAGGTCCAAATTTGGGTGTCCAACTTCTTCGAGTCGCAGCCGGTCGAGTTCTTCAAGAAGGGCATCCATTCTCTGCGTGAACGTTGTCGACAAGTCATTGATGCAGATGGCGAATACCTTTTGGATTAATGTATTGTTATCTTGTTTTTATAATCAAATAAACTTTTAACAAAAACGCGCATTTCTTTTTTACCAACCTAATAGCTTTTTGACTTTTTTTTAGCTTAAAATCCAACCGTTACAAATTCTCAATAGGAAAATGCGATTGACAACAGGATTAACAACAGGATTAACAACAGGATTGACAAGAGTCAACTCAAAAAAATAACCCAATAGCTGTTCCCCATTAAACGATCATTTTTAGAGGTGTTCAAAGAGTTATGAAATGCATTGTATATTTGCAAATGACAAATTGACAATGACGAATTGATTTGAGTACTTAAACTTTAGTAAAAACCTTAGATAAATAGAGCAATTCTTCAACAAAGGTGTCAATTCAAGTTCTATAGAAAATTTGAACGTTTTTTTTTTGTTCTGTTTACCGTTTTCAATTTTCTCAATGACACTATTTGATTAGCATTTTTTCGCTTTTTTTTTTGTTCTCTTTGCTCAATTTGTTTGTCCTTTGTATTTCGAATGGGAATTAAGACTCTAAAAGAGCCCTAAGGTATCCCTTAAATAGCTTGTGTTTCCTTGTTTTCTCAAATTCTTTGAATTGGTGATTGGTGACGATTGGTCGAGTTTAGTAGATGGTGTTATTTCGATTCTAGATTTGTCAATTATCAATTTGATCATTTGCCAGTTATCAATGTGATTTGCCAGTTATCAATGTGATCATTTGCCAGCTATTATTGTGATCATTTGTCAGCTATCAATTTGATTTGCCAGCTATCATTGTGATCATTTGCCAGTTATCAATGTGATATCGATTTGATGATTTGCCAGCTATCAATGTGATTTGCCAGTTATCAATTTGATTTGCCAGCTCTCAATGTGATCATTTGCCAGTTATCAATATGATCATTTGTCAGTTACCAATATGATTTGCCAGCTATCATTGTGATCATTTCCCAGCTATCATTGTGATTTGCCAGCTATCATTGTGATCATTTGCCAGTTATCAATATCATTTCCCAGCTATCATTGTGATCATTTGCCCTCAAAGAGATCAAGGGGTAACTGTGAGATATCCGGTTCATTGATAGGATTGGGTTAGAGTACCCCTGCACCAGCCTATCCCAGCCTACCCACCCCAATCAAATAGTTGCAAAGGCTGGCACAAATTCTCTCTCTTCCCCTCTCTTCCCCTCTCTTCCCCTTTCTTCCCCTCTCTTCCCCTCTCTTTCCCTCTCTTCCCCTCTCTTCCCCTCTCTTTTTTCAATGTTTGTTTTCTATTTCTTTTCCTTTTTCTTTTCCTTTTCCTTTCCTTTCCTTTTCCCTTTCCTTTTCCTTTCTGAAATCTCTTCTAGAGAGACAAAAAGAGTCTAGAAACTCAGTTTTCAACTAAATTTATTACTTGTCACTTGGCTTTTGAAATCTAATGATATTCAACTAAGTCTACTGTCGTTTTTCTTGAGGATTTTATAATATTCAGCTTACTCTTATTGTTTTCTAGAGAATTTTATAGCACTTAAGTGCCTTTTGGTCTACCTTTTGGTCTACCTTTTCGTCTACCTTTTCGTCTACCTTTTGGTCTACCTTTTGGTCTACCTTTTCGTCTACCTTTTGGTCTACCTTTTCGTCTACCTTTTCGTCTACCTTTTCGTCTACCTTTTCGTCTACCTTTTGGTCTACCTTTTGGTCTACCTTTTCGTCTACCTTTTGGTCTACCTTTTCGTCTACCTTTTCGTCTACCTTTTCGTCTACCTTTTCGTCTACCTTTTCGTCTACCTTTTGGTCTACCTTTTCGTCTACCTTTTCGTCTACCTTTTGGTTTTTCACAGCATTCAGCTAAATTTTACTAAAGTTTTTTTAAAGTTACATTGATTTTGAGAATCTTATTGTTTTTTTTTTGATGTTCTAATGCTTTTCTTATTGTTCTTTTTAAGTTTTACTTCTTTTCTTTTTGTTTTTTAAGTTCTACTTCTTTTCTTATTGTAGTTTTTGATGTTCTATTTCTGTTCTTATTGTTTTTTTGAAGTTTTACTTCTTTTCTTATTGTTCTTTTTGAAATTCTATTCAAATTCTATTCAAATTCTATTCAAATTTTCGGTTACAAGCTGTATTTTGGATTTTATTTGGTTAAAAGATCGACTTTTTAGGGTAAAACAGTGTCTTCAGCACACAAATGGATTGGAGGAAAATGGAAATGAGTATGGAAATGAGAATGGAAGTGAGAATTTCGCCGATTTTCTACTCGATTCTTGCGATTTTTACGGTAAGGTGTTTTGATTGTAATTTGGAGAATTTTTGAGGAAACTGATTCGAGATTTCATTCAAAGAATCGCATTTGGGAGAGTTTTTGGATTAAAGGCTTAGATTAAAGGCTTAGATTAAATTCTTAGATTAAATTCTTAGATTAAAGGCTTAGATTAAACGTTTAGATTAAACGTTTAGATTAAAGGCTTAGATTAAAGGCTTAGATTAAAGGCTTAGATTAAACGTTTAGATTAAAGGCTTAGATTAAAGGCTTAGATTAAAGGCTTAGATTAAAAGTTTAGATTAAAAGTTTAGATTAAAGGTTTAGATTAAAGATTTAGATTAAAGATTTAGATTAAAGGTTTAGATTAAAGGTTTAGATTAAAAGCTTGAGCTAAAAGTTTAAGCTAAAGTTTAAGCTAAAGGACTAAGCTAAAGGTTTAGCTTGAAGGTTTAGCTTAAAGCTTAAGCTAAAAGTTTAAGCTAAAGGACTAAGCTAAACGTTTAAGCTAAAAGTTTAAGCTAAAAGTTTAAGCTAAAGGACTAAGCTAAAGGTTTAAGCTAAAAGTTTCACCGCTTTGAGCGTTATGCTCAAATGTTTGAGGACCAATTTTGCCTTGAATTTGGTCTTGAATTTGGTCTTGAATTTTGTCTTAAATCTTAAATTCTTAAATGTCTTAAATTCTACCTTAAATTTGCCTTAAGTTTGCCTTAAATTTGCCTTAAATTCTGCCATTTATTTGCTGCAATTTTGCTCTCTAATTCTGAATCTTGTCAAATCGAGATGCAAGGCTTAAATACAAGGCTTGCCATTTTATAGAGCTTAAACTGCTCTATAAAATCGCTCTGCTCTATAAAATGTAAGATTAGAATAGAGAGAAAAAGAGGATCATGGACAGATCGATGTCCAGGCTTTTTCTAAACAAAAAGATCCGAGTTTCGTCGAACACTTGAGAAAGCATAGAAAAGAAGAGGAAGAAGAAGAGGAAGAAGAGGAAGAAGAAGAAGAAGAAGAAGAAGAAGAAGAAGAAGAGGAAGAAGAAGGATTGTCTTTCACTTTTGAATAACATTCTCTCTAGTTTACGCTTTTTTTCTCTCTCTTTTTCCTTTTCATCTCAATTTCTTTTATGGTTTTAATGAATTTGTACGGTTTTGATTGATTTTCTAAGGTTCTTTGTGCAGCCGAGTAATCGCTCTCGATCTGGCACATGTTCCTAATAGATAGCTCTTCCCTTCTCGACTCCTTATCTCTATGGGTCTCGGCGAATTTCAAGGAAACATCGGACTTTCTTTCATCGGACTTTCTCGAGCCTTTATCTTCAGTGTTTACGATCGTTGTTATGAACTAGATAATCTTATTAGGGTCCCAGGGCCCCGTAGAAGAGCCCAGGATAAGCCCATGGTCGCCAGGGCCCGCCGATTAGCCCGTAAGTCAACCAATGACATAGTCAGCTTCAAACCATGAGACCCAGGGCCCAAAAACAACCCCGTAAGTCAGCCAATGACAAGCCTATAGTCTGCTTCCAACCATGCGACTCAGGGCCCAAGAAATAGCCCGTAAAGCCGGCCAATGACCTAGCCGATAGTCTGCTTCCAACCATGCGACTCAGGGCCCAAGAAATAGCCCGTAAAGCCGGCCAATGACCTAGCCGATAGTCTGCTTCCAAACATGGGAGCCAAGGCCCGTAAATCAGCTTGTAAATCAGCCAATGACATAGCCCATACTCAGCTTCAAACCATAGATTTTTCCAGAAGATTCAATCATCCAAATTTTCTTTTATTCTTTTATTTTCATGTTCCGAATGAAATTATAATCCTAAATGTAATTGGAGAATATCGGTAAACATTGTTTTTCTTTCTTTTTCTTTCTTTTTCGCCTTTTTTCACCTTTTTTCACCTTTTTTTCACCTTTTTTCAATCAAAATTCGATTGAGATAGTGAAAAAAAGGGGTTTTCGAATGAAATAAAATAAAAGAAATTGAAATAAAACAAAACAATCTCCTTATTGTACGCATTCTTTGCGTACAATACCGAGATTGTTAAACGTCGTTACGTCAAACGTCTAGTGCTCTAGAAGGGGAAGGGTTTCTTGAGAGGAAAGCTTTCCACGACTTTCGTTGTTCTAGAAAACTTTCAAGCACAAAAAGCTAGTCAATTCAACTCGTAAATATCGTTAAGAATGAAAGCTTTTTTTCTCGTCAATTCACACAAATATTAGCCTTACCAGTCTACAAATAAAGATTGTCCAATTCTTGTGAATTCTGGCTGAACTCTGGCCCAATTCTTGTCCAATTCTTGTCCAATTCTCCAATTCTCTTCAATTCACAATACTGGTTTTCTTTTCTTCTTAGGTAAATAGATTGATGGAAAGAGAAGGGGAGGAGAGAGAGGAAGAGAGAGAAGAGGAAGAGAGAGAGAGGAAGAGAGAGAAGAGAAAGGGAAGAGGGAGAGAGAGAAGAAAACGGCCAAAAATGGGACAATCACTTGAATACTTGATAGATCATTGTCACTTCTTATAGAGCTTCAAACCATGGGACCCAGGGACCCAAAATTCAAGACTCCAGGACTCCAGGACTCTAGAATCCTAGAACCCTAGAATCCTAGAATCCTAGAATCCTACAACCCTACAACCCTACAACCCTACAACCCTAGAACCCTAGAACCCTAGAACCCTAGGACCCTAGGACCCTAGAATCCTAGAATCCTAGAACTCTAGAACCCTAGAATCCTAGAATCCTAGAACTCTAGAATCCTAGAACTCTAGAATCCTAGAACTCTAGAACCCTAGAATCCTAGAACCCTAGAATCCTAGAACTCTAGAATCCTAGAACTCTAGAACCCTAGAATCCTAGAACCCTAGAATCCTAGAACATCGTTTCCTGGCCCATGCCTGAGGTAAATAGACTCAGGCTCATGTCAGAAGCCCATTTCAGAGCCCATTTCAGAGCCCATGCCAGAGCGTTACGGCCAAACTATGGACTAAATGAGTTCCAGAACATCCCAACCATAGCCAGCCCCAGCCCCAGCCCCAGCCCCAGCCCCAAGCCTATCCCCATTCTCTTTCACAAACAAATTCATATTCTCGATCTCTTTTTGCCTTTCCGACTACCTTTCCCCCCTCTCTCTTCAACAAACAAACACTTCTCTTTTCTTTTTAAATTCTCCGCCATTTCCGTGATCATTAATTTATTACTATTTTGTTTTCAATGTCAAAAAGTACTTTTCGAACTTTTTCTAGCTTTTGTATAGTCTAGGAATCTAGATTCCTAGATCTCTAGATGTCTAGATTTCTAGATTCCTAGATCTCTAGATATCTAGATTTCTAGATGTCTAGATCTCTAGATGTCTAGATCTCTAGATGTCTAGATCTCTAGATATCTAGATCTCTAGATCTCTAGATATCTAGATTTCTAGATGTCTAGATCTCTAGATGTCTAGATCTCTAGATGTCTAGATCTCTAGATATCTAGATCTCTAGATATCTAGATCTCTAGATATCTAGATCTCTAGATATCTAGATCTCTAGATATCTAGATTCCTAGATGTCTAGATCTCTCAAGTACTGTAAACAATGATTTCAACTATTCATTACTTACATTTAAATGCCATCTTTTTCAAAAAGCTTTCAAAGTTTTCAGAAATCAGCTTTAACCTTTGATTTTCTTTCAAAAAACATTTATTCATCGAATCTTTCTGCAGAGGATTCTGCTGAAGATTCTGCAGAGGATTCTGCTGAAGATTCTGCAGAGGATTCTGCTGAAGATTCTGCAGAGGATTCTGCTGAATATTCTGCTGAATATTCTGCTGAATATTCTGCAGAGGATTCTGCTGAGGATTCTGCAGAAGATTCTGCAGAGGATTCTACAGAAGATTCTGCTGAAGATTCTGCTGAATATTCTGCTGAATATTCTGCTGAATATTCTAGCTTATTTCTAGCTTTCTAGCTGATTAGATTTAAGCATTATTTGAGGGTTTCCAGGGAAATGCAAGGATTGCAAGGATTGCAAAGACTCCAAAATGCAAAGGTTGCAAAGATTCCCCAAGAAATGCCAAGTAATTTCAACCTTTCCCCAACCCTTTCCCCTCATTCAATTTCTTGAAAATCCCTTTCAAAATATGATCAATCTTTAAATGAATACAAAATTTCAGAAAAATAACTAGAAATCTATCTAGTATAGATCGATAGTTAACTTTCAACGCCCCCAGAACAATAGTTAACTTTCAACGCCCCAACACCAGACGCCCCAGCACTATTTACTCCAATTCTCATTCTCTAAAGCCTATTCGATCCTCTAGAGCCTGAATCCGACATTCCTAGAATTTTCCCTATTAGTAACTTTGACGTTTTGAACTTTGATTATTTATTGATCATTCATTGATCATTCATTGACCATAGCTCTCCAAATAAGCTTCTTGAAAGCTATTTGCTTCAAATATCTATTTGAAAGTGTTAAAAGTGTTAAAAGATTTAGATAAACATTCATTTAGATAAACTTTAGATAAACTTTAGAGAAACATTTCCTTCTAGCTACACTTTAATAGCTTTGAAGAAGTTTTTAGTTTTTAGTTTAATGAATGGTTAAAGTCTTAGTCTTAGTTTGTTGAAAGTTTTAGTTGAAAGAGAAGTCTTAGTTGAAAGGAGTCTTAAATGAATCAAAGAAGTTCTTAGTTTAATGAATGGCTGGAGATAGGTTGGGGATAGGCTGGAGATAGGTTGGGGATAGGTTGGGGATAGGTTGAAGATAGGTTGGAGATAGGTTGGGGATAGGTTGAAGATAGGTTGGGGATAGGCTGGAGATAGGTTGAAGATAGGTTGGGGATAGGTTGGGGATAGGCTAGAGATAGGCTGGAGACAGGGTGTGAAGTTCTGAAGATAGGGTGTGAAGTGATATCAGAGAAGCTTTGGGTTTCGCGTCACTTACCCAATCCTGCCCGCTTTTTCGATCTATTGGCCAAACACGATCATCGGATAGTGTCTGATTCAGGAAAGAGGGGAAGGGAAGAGGGGAGAAGAAGGAAGGAAGGAAGGGAGAAGAAGGGAGAAGAAGGAGGGGAGAAGAGAGAAGGAAAGGAGGGAGAAGAAGGAGAGAAGGAAGAAGAGAGAAAGAGAGAGAGAAAGCATTGATGACATGTGATTGATTCCCCAATCAGACCTGTCATCTATCATTCAATTTGTTTCCAAATGATACGTCGTCATTTTTTGATTATCTCAGCTATTGTTTTGAGTTGTTTATTGCTTCTATTGACTTCTATGTACTCCTATGTACTCCTATGTACTCCTATGTACTCCTATGTACTTCTATGTACTTCTATCTACTTCTATCTACTTCTATCTACTTCTATCTACTTCTATGTACTCCTATGTACTTCTATTTCCTTCTATTTCCTTCTATTTCCTTCTATTTCCCTCTATTCTTCTATCTACTTCTCCTAGAGTCTCTAACTACAATTCTTTAGCTAGTTTCAAAGCTAGTTTCAACAAAACTAGTTTCAAAGCTTTTAAACAATCATTTCCTTCTCTAGATCCATTGTATTCTCAATCGAAATCTTTCCTTTCCCTTTCCAAGTACCCATTGTTCTTTTCTCTATCAAATACTTCATCACGGGAATTTCCCACGATCACCTTCCGATCAACACATTGTCGATTTTAGAATCGTTTCCGGGAAAGCTTTTGATTCTCATTTTATTGTTAGATGAGCTTTTGGCTTTGTTTGAGGCTTTTGTTTGAGGCTTTGGTTTGAAGCTTTGAGTTAAAGCTTTGGTTCCAGCTTTTGCTTGAGGCTTTAGTTGGAGGCTTTTGCTTAAAGCTTTTGCTTTAAGCTTTTGCTTGAAGCCTTTCTTTGAAGCCTGCTTGAAGCCTTTCTTTGAAGCCTGCTTGAAGCTTTTGCTTGAAGCCTTTGCTTGAAGCCTTTGTTTCAGCTTTTGTTTCAGCTTTAGTTTAAAGCTTTTCTTTCAATTTCAACGATGAACAGATGAAAATTGGGTTTTCTGATTAAGCTTGACTGAACTTGAATCTGGGAACTAGAAACTAGGTTAAGTCTTCGCTTGTCTAAGCTAGAGAAGTCTTGACTTGATTTGGCCAGAGAGCCAGAGAAGTCTTGACTCTAATCAACTAGATCTGGTTTCTAGTCTGCTTGGCTTGGTTTTGGCTTAACTTTGGCTTGGTTTTGGCTCTGGTTCTAACTTTGGCTACAAGCCTAGCTTGGCTTAGAGGCTGGCTTAGAGGCTGGCTTAGAGGCTGGCTAAAAGACTGGCTTAGAGGCTTGCTTGGCTTAGAGACTAGCTCAGCTTACAGCCTGGCTTTGGCTACAAGCCTAGCTTGGCTTATAGGCTGGCTACAAGCCTATCTCAGCTTACAGCTTACAGCCATTTTCTACTTTTCTTATCTTATCCAAATCTGATAGCCAAATCTAATCTAGATCCAGTTTTTTTGTTTATCTTCAAATGGGAGTGTCCCGATAGAAAAATGCAAAACATGCCTTTCTTTGGGTTTCTTTTCAATGTCCCGTTTCTTATCTAATCCCCTTATCGTGCATTGGGTCTAGACTTTAGCATCGAATCGGTCCAATGGGTCCAATGGGTCCAATAGGTCCAATAGGTCCAATAGGTCCAATAGATCGACCGACCAATAGATCCAATAGATCTGATCAACCAATAGAAAGCTCATTCAGTCATTCAGTTCAACTTTTAGAACCTCAAACATAGCTTCATCTGTTCTTATGATCATGGTTATTCCAAAGCCAGTTCCAGGCAAAGCTAGGCAAAGCCAGGCAAGGCCAGGCAAAGCTAGGCAAAGCTGGGCAACGTCAGCCTTGCAGGATCCACCAGAAGTCAGTCATGTACTTGGACTAGGTTTTCAACCTGGTCAAGCCTTGCCCAGCTTTGACTTGAGATCAGATCTGACGCAGTGCCTGATTTAGAGCTAGCAGAAAGGCCTAGTTTCCTTTTCGGTTCTCATTTGGTTCCTATTCGGTTCCCATTAGCTTCCCATTCCATTCCCTTTCATTCTCATTTCATTCCGTTCCCTTCCATTCTATTCTCATTCCATTCCCTTCCATTCCCTTCCCCTCCCTTCCATTCTATTCTCATTCCATTCCATTCCCTTCCCTCCCCTTCCATTCTATTCTCATTCCATTCCCTTCCATTCCCTTCCCTCCCCTTCCATTCTATTCTCATTCCATTCCATTCCCTTCCCCCCTCCATTCTATCTCATTCCATCCCTTCCATCCCTTCCCTCCCCTTCCATTCTATTCTCATTCCATTCCATTCCCTTCCCTTCCCTTCCATTCTATTCTCATTCCATTCCATTCCCTTCCCTTCCCTTCCCTTCCATTCTATTCTCATTCCATTCCATTCCATTCCATTCCATTCCCTTCCCTTCCCCTCCATTCCATTCTCTTCATTCTCTTCATTCTCTTCCATTCTCTTCCTCTTCTCATCCTTTTCCACAATAGCCGATTTCAGATCAGAACCAACCTCTTTCTCAATCAATTTTCTCAAAATTTCTTCACAAAAAATGCGAATACGGAGGAGAGGCAGTTAAAAAAAGAAATATCAAATACCTGGAGATTAAACAATGGTCTCCGAGGTGGATTTGATCAATGTCTGCAATATTCTTGTCAATATAAAGGTATCAAAGACTGTAGAATGGATAAGATGATAGATATTGCATAAATATTGCATAGATCTTCATAGATCTTTCATAGATCGCTCAAAAATCTCTCAGATCTCTCAGATCTCTCAGATCTTTCAAAGATCTCTCAGATCTCTCAGATCTCTCAAACAATTCTCTATCTATCTTTCAGCTTCTGAACGGCGTGTGCCCGCAAACGTGCAACGGATGTCCTCAGTACATCGCACCGCCACAGGTTAGTAGTACAGTGCAGTACTATAGCTACAGTGAGTTTTCAGTCAGTGGTGTTAACTCTGCCGGTGCCACAGAATCGTTTGTCTGGTCCAGTCCTCACACAGGCGTCTGGGTGAGTTTCTTGGATTCGAGGTGTTTAGATTTAGATCGAGGTGATCTGGGTTTCTGATTTGGATCTAGATAAGGCTCAAATGAGCCAATACAACGATCGACAATCAACAAGCGACCAATTGTGACGCTTTGGAATGAATCCAGACGCCAGAAAGCCCAATTGGAGCTCACTAAGGCTCAAATGAGCCAACAGATCGATCGACAATCAACAAGCGACCAATTGTGACGCTTTGGAGTGAATCCAGACGGAAGAAAGCCCGTTTGCAGCTACCTAACGCTCATGAATATCAATCGATTGACAATTGTTTTAGAATTGATGGTTAGAAAGCAAATTATCAAAATAGAAATAGAAATCTAAATCTAAATCTAAAGAAAAGCTCCAAAGCAATCAATTTCCTTGCCTCTAGCTGCTTCAATTTCCTTGTCAAGTGCCAAACATGAGTTGCCAATTGATGCCAATGGATGTCAATGGATGACGTGCTTTGTTGCTGATTCTAAACAAGGAAGAACCCCTGCTGAATCTCGACATTCACTTGTCAAAGACAAAGACAAAGTCAAAGATAAAGTCAAAGATAAAGTCAAAGACAAAGTCGGAGATGATTGTCGGTGTCATCAATGATTTCAGTGTTTCGACGGCAATGAAAAGCTCAACGATTTGGCTGAGTTCGAAAAAGCTTCAAGCTTTTCGGAGTTCTCGAGCTTCTCGAGCTTCTCGAACTCAGAAGCTTCAAAAATCAGCCTCAAGCCCGATAGTCCTTTTCCTCAACCTCAGCTCAACTAATAATAAACCTAGAGATCAAATTTCAGTCCTTGTTGTCAACCGCCACAAGTGCAGAGTGTCACCTGGTTGAATCAGCCGGCATGGACGAATGGTGGGGGTTTAGAGTAGGATTATGTACCTAGTACATAGTACTGTTCATAGTACTGTCCATAGTACTGTCCATAGTACCAGTACTAACACATAGTACTGCCACGTTGTACTCTACAGTACATAATACGGTACTGAACAGTACATAGTACGTCTACAGTACATCGTACGTCTACAGTACATAGTACTGTTCATAGTACTGTCCAGTACCTAGCACAGGACAGGATGTACGGGATTTGATCCGTTTAACCTCCAAAACTCTTTAGGCGCCCCAGGTCCGATCCCGACGAGCTTCCAGAACCCGATGTACAATCCGGTAAGGCCTCTAGAGCTTAAAGTCTTACTGTAGAGCCAAAGCCTAAGCCAAGCCAAGCCTAGCCTAGCCAAGCCTAGCCAAACCTAGCCTAAGCCTAGCCTAGCCTAGCCTAGCCAAGCCAAGCCAAGGCAAGCCTAGCCAAGCCTAAGCCAAGCCTAGCCTAGCCAAGCCTAGCCAAACCTAGCCTAAGCCAAGCCAAGCCTAGCCTAGCCTAGCCAAGCCATGCCTAAGCCTAGTCAAGCCTAAGCCTAGCCTAGCCTAGCCTAGCCTAGCCTAGCCTAGCCTAGCCAAGCCAAGCCAAGGCAAGCCTAGCCAAGCCTAGCCAAGCCTAGCCTAGCCAAGCCTAGCCAAACCTAGCCTAAGCCAAGCCAAGCCATGCCTAAGCCTAGTCAAGCCAAGCCTAAGCCTAGCCTAAGCCTAGCCTAGCCTAAGCCTAGCCAAGCCTAGCTTAGCCTAGCCAAGCCCATTCCATAAACCTACAGCAATTCTCTTATTCTCTCAATTTTAGAACAACGCACCTTATCTCCAGCCGAGCACCGTGCGACCGGCTTCTCCGCAAAACGGGAATCAGGTACGAGAGTACAAAGCTTGTACAAAGCTTTGCACAAGCCTACTGTACTAGGCAGGTTTACTGTCTCTGTACCTCCTTAACACTATAGTGGGCAGATGACTGTATCACTACAGGATACTCTGAGACTTGGCTTGACGTCAGTATCCATTGATCCGATTTCCAGGCTCCTCCACTCACCCAGGGTCCACAGGCAGCCACTTATAACTACAATCAAGCGAATGCAGGGTATTCAACCCCAACAATCAACCCATCCACTCAACAACCCTTTCCAACAATCAACCAAGGGTCAATCCCAGTCAATGGTGGATACAGTACCCAAAACGGGAATCAGGTGTGGAGGCTGGACTAGGCTAGGCTTAGGGCCAAGCTGGACAGGATGAACAGGATGGACTAGGCTAGGTTCAGAGCCAGGATGAACAGAATGGACTAGGCTAGGTTCAGGAACAGTGTCAGGACTAGGCTCAGGCTCAGAACCAGGGTTAGAGCCAGGGTTAGAACCTGGCTTGGCTCTGGCTGGCCTGCTTGAAGTCTTGAGGTAATCTGGCCCTAGCTTAGCCTAGTCTGCTTGCAGACAGGGCTGCTTACAGACTATATTATCCTTTTCAGGGTTTCTCCACCCCGTCACCCTACAATGGTCTAAATGCTGGCTACAGTACTTCTGGACAGGTAAAGGTTTAGACAAGTAATCTAATTGTAAGCCTGGAGGGTTACGGTAGGCTAGAATCCAATGGATTCCAGGTTACGGTAGCTTTACAGCAAGTCTTTGGGTTACGGTAGCTTTGCTGTAACTCTCTGGGTTACGGTAGCTTTACAGCAAGTCTCTGGACTACAATATCTAACTTCTAGGCTCCATTCAACGGCCAAACAATCCCTCCATCCTACAACGCTGTCAATGATCAATATCTACAAGGGTTTTTGATTGAAAATTGAATTATAAACGAAGCTTTTAGACAAAACAGCAATGGAGCTGTGCCAACGGGCTACAATGGAGCGAATCAGTTCAATGGGCAATCGGTAAGCGTTTTGAACCAGCTTTTTGAACCAAAAAGAGCCAGCTGTTTCGAACCAGTGCTTTCCAAGGCTATGGCAAGGCTATAGCAAGGCTTAGGCTTGAGCTAAGGCTTTCTTGAAGGCTTAGGCTTGGGCTTAGGCTTCCTTGAAGGCTTAGGCTTGGGCTTAGGCTTCCTTGAAGGCTTAGGCTTGAGCTAAGGCTTCCTTGAAGGCTTAGGCTTGGGCTTAGGCTTCCTTGAAGGCTTAGGCTTGAGCTTAAGCTTGGCCCTGTGCCCCTTGGCCCTGTGCCCCTTGGCCCTGTGCCCCTTGGCCCTGTGCCCCTTGGCCCTGTGCCCCTTGGCCCTGTGCCCCTTGGCCCTGTGCCCCTTGGCCCTGTGCCCCTTGGCCCTGTGCCCCTTGGCCCTGTGCCCCTTGGCCCTGTGCCCCTTGGCCCTGTGCCCCTTGGCCCTGTGCCCCTTGACCTCCAACTCTCTCCAAATCCAAATCCCAGGTGAATCCAAACGACGGAGAGTACACAAACACTTTTGAAGGGACATTTGTCGGACCAGCGAATCCACAATTGAATGGACAAGGTAAAGGTTGAGAATTTATTTGAAAACGAAGCAAATCTCGAAGCAAAGCTCTCTAAAAGATTGTTTGTTCTCTAAAAGATCTAAAAGACATTTGTTTTTAAGGAAATTTCGATGAAACCCTTGGAAATGGAGGTCTCAATGGACAGGGGAATGCCGGGAACACGAATGGGAATGTAAGTTGTAGAACGGCAGTAAATCTGGGTCAGTGTCTTGTGACAAAGGTTGTAGAAAAGGAAAGATTAAAGGATTTCTGGTAAATCATCGAATTCCCCGTAGCGAAAAACCCTAATTCCCTAATTTTCAGCAAAATTGCTTCAATTTTGATGATTCTAGCGCAACTTTTTTTGGTTTTTTGGGTAATTAAACCGGATGGCCGGCTTAAAAGGCCGTGTGCCAGAAGACGCGCGTTTACCGAGACGCACAAAGAACATATCTGAACGGCGAAAGACTAACTAACCAGACGAACTAGTACAGTACAGATGAACTAGTACAGTACTACAAAACCAAGTCAAGGTACGTAAATTGGACTCTAATGTACGCTGTGACATCCAGAACGAGCAATACTATCAAAATTTTGATACTTTTGCCAACGGAGTACAAAGTACACCTCTGAACGGCTAACGACTAGCTAGTACAGTACTAAAAAACCAAGTCAATGTACCGTAAATTGGACTCTAACGTACGCTGTGACATCCAGAATGAGCAGCACCTTTGATGCTTTTTACTTGTGGGCCAATCCAGGGTCAGGATCGGCAAGGTCAGGATCGGGTAGAGCTAGACCAGGACCAGGACCAAGTCAATGTACCGTAAATTGGATTCTAATGTACGCTGTGACATCCAGATTGAGCAATACCGTCAAAATTTTGATACTTTTTACGGAGGAGTACAAAGAACACCTCTGAACGGCTAACGACTAGCTGGTACAGTACGAAAAACTAATTCAAGGACGGTAAATTGGACTCTAATGTACACTGTGACATCCAGATAGCGCAATACTGTCAAAATTTTGATACTTTTGCCAACGGAGTACAAAGAACACCTCTGAACGGCTAACGACTAGCTAGTACAGTACTAAAGAATCGAGTCAAGATACGGTAAATTGGACTCCAACGTAGGCTGTGACATCCAGATTGAGCAATATCGTTAAAATTTTGATACTTTTCCCTTGTACTTTCACTTGTAAACGGTCATTTAAAATCTTCGTCATGTATTCGGCGAAAAAGGCTTTTTGTTTGGCTCAAAAGTTGAACTCGTTTCTCGATTTTGTAAAAAAAACACTCCAAAATCGTTTAGCATTCGCTTAGCTTAGCTTAGCATTCAATTTTCGAAGCTGCCGATAATGGAAAATAAAATAAAATTACAGATCGGCGTCTTTCCAACGCAAAATGGGCAAAATGGCGAAAATGGCGAAAATTTCGCAAATTTCGCAAATCAACAGGTGAAAATCGTTGAATTTAGCTCTTTTTTGACAAAAGATTCGTTTAATTTACTTAAAATTCGTAAATTTTCTTTTATTTCAGCCGATCGCTCGCCACAAACTCTCAGTAAAAAAAAAGCTTTCAAAAATTCCCCCAAAAATTCCCGAAAATTTCCATTGTCATGTCCGCATAGCTGCTTTCTTTTTCAGTTTTACAGCTTTAGCAATTGAATTTCAAAGCAAAAACCGTATTTTTTAGATTTCCGACTCATTTCAAGGCCAACCAAACCAAAACGGAAACCCAAACGGAAATCCATCGAACGGAAATCCTCAATTTCTCCAAGATCCCACTCAAATCAGTCAAAATCAAGGACAGGTGGGAAATTTTGAAAAGAGATGATGGATTAGATGAAAAACTTGACTAGAATCGACGTTTTGGCAATCAAATTTCAAGAGATTCAGTAAAAAGTTGTTCGCTGAATGACTTGCGGTAATGTAGCGATTAAAAAGCTTTTTAGCATCAAACTATTTAGTTAAAGATACCGTGTGACATCCAGGATTAATGAAAATCGAGAAATAGACAGGACTTACAGTATCTTTGGCTGAGTATTTCAAAGGTAGACATTCGGCGCTACAGTACCCTTCGGCACCAATATCCATTATTCATTGATCTATTCAGCTAAAGTTACTGTGTGACATCCAGGATTAATGAAAATCGAGAAATAGACAGAATTTACAGTATCCTTAGCTGAATATCTTAAGGTAGCTATTCGGCGCTACAGTACCCCTCGGTACAGCTAAAGATATCCGTTAAGATATTCAGCTGGAAATACTGTGTGACATCCAGGATTAATGAAAATCGACAAATAGATAGGACTTACAGTATCTTTGGCTGAGTATTTCAAAGGTAGACATTCGGCTACAGTACCCCTCGGTACCAAAATCCATTATTCATTGATCTATTCAGCTGGAAATACTGTGTGACATCCAGAATTAATGAAAATCGAAAAATAGACAGGATTTACAGTATCCTTAGCTGAATACCTTTAAGAACCCATTCGGCGCTACAGTACCTCTCGGTACCAAAATCCATTATTCATCGATCTATTTAGTTAAAGATACTGTGTGACATCCAGAATGAATGGAAATCTAAAAATATCCAGAACTTACAATATCCTTAGCTGAATACCTTCAAGAACCCATTCTGCCCTACAGTACCCGGTCTACCGTGTCCCTGGTGCTATTGCTTACGATACGGCCTCTAGGATCTAGCGGTATCTTCAGGGTACTGGATCTAGAACGATAAAGCTAGAGGAGCGTAGTACAGTACACTGTGAAAACCCACAGTAATCCTCTACCGTACTGTAGCTATGTATCGTAGTGCCAGAACCGTTGCTTAACCCAACTGTACCGCCAGAACGGTTGCCTTTACGAGAAAGGCACAAAGCAAGCTTGAAAAGCGATCACAGGCTATCTTTTAGTTATCAAAATTTCCGAAAGCTTTGAGTTCCTGCATTCTTTTCATTTCCAGACCCAAGCACCCTTCATCTACAGTACGATTCATCCAAATGACGGCAATAATCCAGTGGAATACCCGGTGACAGCCACGGCAAACAATCAGCCATTCACCCAGCCGCCAAATCAATTTCAATACTCGACACAGTACAATCCGAATGCGCAACTCAATCAACAATTCCCGACAACGATTGGCCCGAATGGGATGAGCGTTTCGCAGTTTGATTCACAGGTAAACGCACTGGCATCTGGTTTACCAGCCATTGCACCAGAAAGGCTGAGTTTCTGAGCTCGCTAGCTCGCTTTACTGTACTTTGTACTTTGTACTTTGTGTACTTTGTGCTCTCACAAACGCACGGCCTTGAGAGAAGAGAAATTAGACAATTACAAAGCAGATACTTGAGATTTCATTGAAATCTTTCTCTTTTCAGTTTCAAACGACTGCCAGCACTAATTATGGACCGATTGCAGCTGCCGGAGCTGCTGGAGCGGCTGCTGGATCGCTTTTATATGGATCTACAACAACACAACGTCCAACGAATAGACCGACAACGGTAGAGGCTTAGATGATAATATTACTGGTACTAGTCCCGGAAAAGTACTGTACTCAGACTGACTCAGAACTGAAAAACAAAACCAAAAAACCGTGCCAGGGATCAAACCAGGACCCTGCGGGTGGTAGTTTCAAAGCTTAACCACTAGGCCATCCACCCATCTCTCTCCCAGTTAGAAAAAAGCCTTTTTAAACCAACCGTTTCTCTTCTTAACCTCAAGCATGGCTTTTTCTAGTAAGTCTAGACTTAACTCCTTTTGGACGGGGGCATCACAAGTGCTCTCTAGTGTAATGGTTAGCACAGTTGGTTGGTAAGCGAATGGTCGGGGGTTCGAATCCCGGGTTCGACGCAGAACTTTTTGCTCTGCCTTACTTTCAACTCTAGTCCTTGTATCAGGCTCTTTGGGTACCCTGGTGAGTCTGGCGAGTGTCTATGGTCTGACTACAATCACCACTATCATTTAGACGCAAGGCCGCACTACCGTAACCCCATTTGGACAGGATGGGAGTGGGCAATTCGTGCAAACATCCAATACACAGAATAATCGGTGAGCTAGAGCTAGAGCTAGCTAGAGCTAGACCTAGAGCTGAAAAATGAGCTGAAATATTCTTTCAGTGTCACCCAAACGACCACTTTCCCCCCAGCGACGTTTAGACCGACACAAACCCCGTTCATGGATTCGAATCAGTTTCCTGGGTCAACACAGGTCAGATCTGAGTCCAAGTCTTTGATAGGACTCGAACAACGAGATTTGAACAACGAGATTCAGGGCGAATTCTCTGACGGATCTCCGCTCAACGCTCAGCACTCGGATATGAACTTTCAATACTCAAAAGTTCGATTTTTAGAGAATAGCAATTATTCTAACATTATTAGGACTGCTTTTAGTAGTCTAACCTACGACCGATCTTCGATCTAACCTAACCTAAGTCTAATCTACGACCGATCTAACCTAGACGACCGATCTTCGATCTCTTCGATCTATTCGATCATTCTTTTCAGGGTGCTGATGGTGGCTCAACGCTATCCCCGCAAATGATCGGCTCCAGTCAGCCATTCTCCATGGATCAAGTAAGCTTGAAATCTTTGAAGGCTTCAAATCAAAGGCTTAAAAGCTAGACTTAAAAGCTAGACTTAAAGCTAGACTTAAAAGCTAGACTTAAAGCTAGACTTAAAAGCTAAAACAAATTCTAGGCTCAATCCAGCACCTTTTCACCGTTTTTTTCAACGGGTGGAACGAATACGGTGAGTTTTGAGATTTCAGAGCTTGATTCTCCCACTAACTGCTCAGGATTGTTCTAGAGAGCTTTAAGTCAATCCAGGCTAGGCCAAACCAAGCTAGGCAAGACTAGAGTCAAGTTTCGGCCTACAAGCCTACCCTAGTAGCTCTAATCTGATAACCTGTACCGGTGGTACTGTAGAATGGCTACCGTTGAAATATTCAGCTAACGATACGGTAAATCCTGTCTATTTTTCGATTTTCATTAATCCTGGATGTCACACAGTATCTTTAGCTAATCTAGTAGTGGATAAACATAGTCAGGACGAGGGGTGCTGTAGTGCAGAATGGGTTCTTGAAGATATTCAGCTAAGGATACGGTAAATTCTGTCTATTTTTTGATTTTCATTAGTCCTGGATGTCACACAGTATCTTTAGCTGAATATCGTAACGGATATCTTTAGCTGTGTCGAGGGGTACTGTAGCGTTTAGGCTACCGTTGCGATATTCAGCTAAGTATACTGTAAATCCTGTCTATTTTTATTTTCATTAGTCCTGGATGTCACACCGTAGCCTTAGCTGAATATCTCAACGAATATCTTTAGCTGTACCGAGGGGTACTGTAGCGCCGAATGGCTACCGTAGGTTATTTAGCTAAGGATACTGTAAGCCCTGTCTATTTGTCGATTTTCATTAGTCCTGGATGTCACCCAGTATCTTGAGTTAAATAGACTCAGGCCTGGATCTGGTTTAGCCTTGCTCAACTTAGGACCAGGTACTACAGTACTACAATAGCCAGAGTCCGATACGGTAACCCCTGCATATTCTTAGATTTTCATTAATCCTGGATGTCACACAGTATCTTTAACTGAATAGATCGATGAATAATGGATATTGGTGCCGAGGGGTACTGTAGCCGAATGTCTACCTTTGAAATACTCAGCCAAAGATACTGTAAGTCCTATCTATTTATCGATTTTCATTAATCCTGGATGTCACACAGTATCTTTAACTGAATATCTCAATGTTGCAGTACTTTTTAATAGTTACAGTACCTCAAGCTACAGTAATGTCATGTCCAAGCGCCGAAAAACCCCTGGCTCAGCAACAGAGCTAATCTGATCCTCCAATTTTTACAGGCCAATCGTCTCTACGATCACGGTGATATGAACACGCAATATGGACGATACGAGTCAACACAGAATGGAGGTAAATTGGGAATTGTCGTTTGATTTGATTTTCTTTCTAAACCTTTCTTCGCTTCTTCAACTTTTCAACGATTAAACTTCAACTTTTACTAATCAAAAATCGGCTGATTTGGTCTTTATGGAATTTTTATCGAATTTTAGTACTTTTTCTTACTCTTTACACCCCTGTAGAGACTCAAATTGATCCAAAAAAAACCCAAAAATCCCAAAAATCTATTTCCTCGGTTTCACAGGTGTTTTGGGTGGTGTTGGAGTGGGAAATGGGACAACGGTGGTGGTGAGTCGATCCACGGATGGAGGGAATGGGACGAGTGGGGTAACGAGTGCTGAAACGAGTACTGTGACGACCGTCAGGGGTACTGTACCCACTACAGTGTCCAGTACAGTGCCCAGTACAGTGCCCAGTACAGTAACCAGTCGGCCGACGATCACTCCTGCAGTGCAAAGGGATCAGCCAAGTGCCCAGACGAGAGCTGGGATCACAGGTTTGCTGTGAGAGACGTGTACTTTGTGCTTTCACGAACAAAACCCCATTGGCATCCTGATCCTGGAAACTGGCATCCTGGAGCGCTGAATGTCTACCGCTGAGATATTCAGCTAAGGATACTGTAAGCCCTGTCTATTTGTAGATTTTCTTTGATTCTGGATGTCACACAGTATCTTTAGCTGATCTAGTACTGAATAAATATAACCAGGACAAGGGGTGCTGTAGTGCAGAAAGGGTTCTTGAAAATATTCAGCTAACGATACGGTAAATTCTGTCTATTTTTAGATTTTCATTAATCCTGGATGTCACACAGTATCTTTGGCTGAATAGATCGATGAATAATGGATTTTGGTACCGAGGGGTACTGTAGCCGAATGTCTACCTTTGAAATACTCAGCTAAGGATACTGTAAGGCCTGTCTATTTTTAGATTTTCATTTATCCTGGATGTCACACAGTATCTTTAGCTGAATAGGCCTAGGCCTGGACCTGGTTAAGTCTCGTACACTCTAGGATACTACAGTACTACAGTAGTCAGCGCCCGATACTGTAAGCCCTGTCTATTTTTCGATTTTCATTAATCCTGGATGTCACACAGTATCTTTAGCTGATCTAGTACTGATTAAACATAGCCAGGACCAGGGGTACTGTAGCGCTGAATGTCTACCGCTGAGATATTCATCTCAGGATACTGTAAGGCCTGTCTATATTTAGATTTTCATTAATCCTGGATGTCACACAGTATCTTTTGCTGAATATCTCTCTGTTACAGTACTTTCTAATCGCTACAGTACCCCAAGCTACAGTAACAAAGTACAAGAGAGCACAAAGTACACGAAAATTGCATTTCGAGTTGATCTATCTTTGCATAATTTTCCAAAAACTCATTAAATTTGTGAATTCGTTCATTTCCAGATAGAAAATCTCTAAATATAAATAAAATTTTAGCCGAAACGACGTTCTCTATCGTTTGCGCGATGGTTTTGTTGATTTTTCGATTGTAAATTGGTCAAATCAAATACATTTTCTTTAGTTTAACCGTTAAAAAGTAAAAAGTAATTTTTTGAAAAAATGGGCTGCAAGGGGACTCGAACCAGAGAGGAGAAGAACGAGAGAGGAGAACGAGCTGGAGACTGGAGACTAGCCAGTTGTGCTGGCTTGGTAGCTGGCTGGCTTGGTTAGCGCGGCTAGCTGGTAGCGCGGCTGGCTAGTAGCGCGGCTGGCTGGTAGCGCGGCTGGCTAGTAGTGTGGCTGGCTAGCAGTGCGGCCGGCTAGTAGTGCGGCTGGCTAGTAGTGCGGCTGGTTGGTAATGCGGCTGGCTTGGTTAGCGCAACTGGCTTGGCTAGCGCGGTTGGCTCTAAAGCTGCTGGCTCTAAAGCTGCTGGCTCCAAAGCTGCTGGCTCCAAAGCTGGCTCTAAAGCTGCTGGCTCTAAAGCTGCTGGCTCTAAAGCTGCTGGCTCTAAAGCTGCTGGCTCTAAAGCTGCTGGCTCTAAAGCTGCTGGCTCTAAAGCTGCTGGCTCCAAAGCTGCTGGCTCCAAAGCTGGCTCCAAAGCTGCTGGCTCCAAAGCTGGCTCCAAAGCTGGCTCCAAAGCTGGCTCTAAAGCTGGCTCTAAAGCTGGCTCTAAAGCTGGCTCTAAAGCTGGCTCCAAAGCTGGCTCCAAAACTGGCTCCAAACCTGCTGGAGCTCACTGGTTCGATTCCTTGCTCGTTTTTGCTTGCTCGTTTTTTTTGGGATTGTTTTTAGCTTTTTAAAACTTCTGGGCATCATTTAGTTATGCTATTTTCTCGTAGAATTCCCCTGGTGCTCTTGGATCTCATTTTTCGCTTTCTACTACTTATTTTATGTAATTACATTTGAAAAAACAATATCCATCTATCGTTTTGTCTTTCTTTTTTTTCTTTTTAAGCTATTCAATAAGGTTTTCGTGAAAATTTCCGGTTTTTCTCTCATTTTTAGCTTTCTAGTCGAAATACGGTTGTGATTGAGCCGTTTTTGCTTGAAAATTGAACTCTTTTTTAGCTTTTCTCTTTCTGGCTCAAAAAATCTCGCTTTATTTGTACATTTGACAGTTATTTTTCTTTGGAATTTCTTTGGATATTGGTACCGAAGGGTACTGTGGCGCAGAATAGCTATCGTCGAAGATTTACAGCTAAGGATACTGTAGGCCCTGTCTATTTTTCGATTTTCATTGATTCTGGATGTCACACAGTATCTTTAGCTGAATAGATCGATGAATAATGGATTTTGGTACCGAGGGGTACTGTAGCCGAATGTCTGCCGTGAGATATTCAGCTAAGGATACTGTAAGCCCTGTCTATTTTTAGATTTTCATTAATCCTGGATGTCACACAGCATCTTTAGCTGAATAGATCGATGAATAATGGATTTTGGTACCGAGGGGTACTGTAGCTGAATGTCTACCTTTGAAATACTCAGCTAAAGATACTGTATGCCCTGTCTATTTTTCGATTTTCATTAATCCTGGATGTCACACCGTATCTTTAGCTGAATACCTCGATGTTAAAGTACTTTTTAGTAGCTACAGTACCCCGAGCTACAGTAACAACTGTTGATTGAATATCTTGAAATTTGGTTCTAAAATGCTCTCGCTTATCGCTATTTTCTCGCTATTTTCCCCGGTTTTCTATTGAAATAATAAAGTATTTTACAGACTATTAGCTGAATATCACATCAGAAATTGTACTTTGTACTAACAGAAATTGTACTTTCTGTTAGTACAAACGCCACTTAAACGCAACCTTTCCGGCTCAAAGGGCGCTAGAAAGGGCGCTAGAAAAGTTGTGTTTAGGCGAAAGAGCACAAAGTACACCTAATAAAGGAAAAGTTGAGCTTTTTCTACACAAAAAACATTTAGATTTGTAGAAAATAGAAAAAGCTCTCACCTCTCCCAACGGCGCCAACTCGATCACCAGCCACATCGGCGACTCAGCGCAAACGCCGATCAACGAAACGATGTTCTCGTGACGGAAATGACGCATTAGATCTGGAAATCTCTTCTTGAGCAAATAGTATTGTAGCGGAGGGTTCAGGAGGCTTGTAAGCCGCTAGCTGAAGATTTTTAGCTTAGCTTAGCTGAAGACTTCAACAATACCGTATCCCACTGAATTCTAGAGCTAAAACAACAAAGCAACAAGACAACACTCACGCGATTCCTGCAGTATAAGTTGCGTATCGGCTGGCTCGTTCTCCAGCTTGCACACCTTGATCGCGACTGCTTGCGGGAGATCACCCTGGAATGTTGATTTGATAAGATACCGTAAGCCAAGAGAGCCAAGACAGCCAAGACAACCAAGACAGCCAAGACAGACAGAGATTACGGAGCTAGTGACAGTTACCGTAATCCTCAGGGATAGCGGTAACTATCTCTATCTAGAACGGTAACTATCTCTTATCTAGAACGATCCAGAAGGATTCCTGTAGCTATTAACTACAGTACATCCCGTAATAGAAAATGCAAGGATCTGAATCCAGACTACTGTACTGTAAGGCTGTGTCTAGGATAAGATCTGTAAGGCCACTGTATTTAGGCTAGGATACCGTAAATCCTGTCTATTTTTTAATTTGCATTGATTCTGGATGTCACACAGAATTTTTAGCTGATCTAGTACTGGATGAACATAGCCAGACGGAGGAGTACTGTAGTGCAGAATGGGTTCTTGAAGATATTCAGCCAAGGATACTGTAAATCCTGTCTATTTTTCGATTTTCATTAATCCTGGCTGTCACACAGTATCTTTAGCTGAGTAGATCGATGAATAATGGATATTGATACCGAGGGGTACTGTAGCCGAATGTCTACCATGAGATATTCAGCTAAGGATACTGTAAATCCTGTCTATTTCTCGATTTTCATTAATCCTGGTTGTCACACAGTAGCTTTAGCTGAATAAGCTAAGCCTCGCTGCTATTCCTAGGATCCAGTACCATACAGTATGGCTACCGTTGAAATACTCAGCTAAGGATACTGTAAGCCCTGTCTATTTGTCGATTTTCATTAATCCTGGATGTCACACAATATCTTTAGCTGAATATCTTAATGGATATCTTTAGCTGTACCGAGGGGTACTGTAGCCCTGAATGGCTACCCATGGAATATTCAGCTAGGATACTGTAAATCCTATCAATTCTTCGTTTTTCATTAATCCTGGATGTCACACAGTATCTTTAGCTGAATACCTCGATGTTTAATGCAATTTATCGTACACCCACCGGTAAACTGTAAACACCCTTGTAAACGTTGCCGAATTGGCCACCGCCGATCAGCTCTTTCAGGGTGACGTGTTCGCGTTTGATTCGAAGATCGGTGTCTAGAAATCATCTAGATTAGAGATTTATATCTATTATCTAGATCTTTATCTAAAGATCTTTATCTAAACATCTTTTTCTAGATAATTTGTATTTAAAATAAACCTTCATTTCTCAGCGTTTTGCTCGTTTTCACCGTTTTCATATCAAGACTCTCGCATCGTTCAAGGCCTGGAAAAGGAAGCGAATCTTTTCCATGTTTCTTTTTCTAATCTAAACCTAGATGTCTAGCCTGAAGCATGTTTTAACGGCATTGTTTTAAACGGCATTATTTTTAACGCCGTCCAGCTACCGTAACCCATCTATCTTCTATACCTTTCATCTTGTAAACACTTGGTCCTTGATTGTACATCATTTGATATCCATCGATGAGATGCGCGAGTGATTCAGCGATTGGAAGAGATGGGGTGGTGATTAGCTGGAATTGGTTGGAATGGTTGGAATGGTTGGAATGGATGGAATGGATGGAATGGATGCTTCCTATTAGCTTCATTAGCTTCCTATTGTTGATTTTCGACGAAATTTCATACCAACCAACTCGATCTTTTGCACTATTCCCCTTTTGATTCATAAATCTTTTCATCTATAACATTTTCGTGTCCTTCACCCTCACTAATCCCCTTTATGGGATGATGGGATGGCAAGAGATGGCAAGAGATGGCAAGAGATGACAGGAGATGGCGAGAGACACAAGAGAGACAAGAGATAAGCCTCACCCTTCCAGATGTTTGATTCAACAAGAATTTGCATAGGACAAGGATATGGGAAGCTTAGGCTAGTCCGTTTTAGTCCGTTTTAGTCCGATTTAGTTACAAAATTGGTTCAGTTCATTTGCTAGATTGGTTCAGCTGCTTGGTTTAGCTGCTAGATTGGTTTAGCTGTTTCAGTTCCCTTTTGATTCAAACAAGCTTAGTTATCCCAACTGGGCTGGTTCAATTACCCAAATGGTTTACCTCAATTCTCTAGTTGACCCGAACCAGCTTAGCTATCAGCTTAGCTATCATCTCAGCTATCATCTCCCGAATCCCCCAACGAACCAATGGCTGTGCGGATCCACTCAATCTCAGTTGTACAATCGCTTTCTCAATCTGTGGCTCAATCATTCTAACAGCTATCTCGAGAACACATCGCAGTTCACCCAAACGAGAGATCTGAATTAATTTGGAGAAATGATTGATTTTGATTCGAAAAGAAACTTGATTAGATTACTGTATTCAAACTGACATCACATCGCTCATTTATCCGATAGGAGAGACCCATCTCTGGACCGACTAAGAGATCCACTGGTGATGTCCAGCCGGCCTGAAAAGGTTTTCTTTAGCAAAATGCCACAAAACAAACCCCCTCTACCAATTCATTGACCCCAAAAATCCCTGGGCACAAATTTTTAGCTTAAAATTCAATTGTAAACCGTTTACAGAGCAAGAGGATCTCCGTTTTGGAAAAAAGACTACTACAGTACTCATTACAGCTAAAGATACTGTGTGATATCCAGGATGAATGAAAATCGAAAAATAGACAGGACTTACAGTATCCTTAGCTGAATATCGCAACGACAGCCTACGGGCTACAGTACCCCTCGGTACAATTAGAGATAACTGTTACGATATTCAGCTAAAGATACTGTGTGATATCCAGGATGAATGAAAATCGAAAAATAGACAGGACTTACAGTATCCTTAGCTGAATATCTATAAGAACCCATTCGGCGCTACAGTACCCCTCGTCCTGGCTATGTTTATCCAGTGCTAGATTAGCTAAAGATACTGTGTGACATCCAGGATTCATGAAAATCGAAAAATAGATAGGACTTACAGTACCTTTAGCTGAGTATTTCAAAGGTAGACATTCGGTGCTACAGTACCCCTCGGTACAATTAGAGATATCCGTTACGATATTCAGCTAAAGATACTGTGTGACATCCAGGATTAATGAAAATCGAAAAATCGACAGGACCCACAGTAACCTTAGCTGAATATCTTGAAGGACCCATTCTGCACTACAGTACCCCTTGTCCCAGCTATGTTTATCCAGTACTAGATTAGCTAAAGGTACTGCGTGACATCCAGGATCAATGAAAATTAAAAATATAGCCCATCATCGTCAGAAGGCAGTTTACCAATGAGCACAAAGTACACCTGTTAACTGGAGGGGGGCATTTTAAGGGTTTTTCATAGATTTTTACGACTATAGCATAGCTAGAGTGGTCATCTAAAAGCTCACCCCGATGCTCGTCTTGAAAATCTCTACGTCAAAGCGCACAATCTCGAGTAGAAGTGATAAGGAACGGAGGACGGAGTCTAAAAGTACTAATATGGCTATTAGGCCAGGGTACTGTAGAAATATTCAGTCTATAGATGTTTCTAGAGTACTCTGGAGTGCTCTGGAGTGCTCTGGAGGGCTCTGGAGTAGTCTGGAGTACTCTGGAGGGCTCTGGAGTGCTCTGGAGGGCTCTGGAGTAGTCTGGAGTACTCTGGAGGGCTCTGGAGTACTCTGGAGTAGTCTGGAGTACTCTGGAGTACTCTGGAATACTCTGGAGTACTCTGGAGTACTCTGGAATACTCTGGAGTACTCTGGAGTGCTTTGCAGTACTCTGGAGTACTCTGGAGTCCCGTAGAAATATCTATGAGCTAGAAATCGTCACCTGTAGTACTTAAAGAGGCGAATCTTTTGACAAGTCCGAGGAATTGTTTCTTCAGATCTTTTGCCTAAAAATTTACAGATTTAAATGTTATTTGAAAATCTTTAACCTTAACATTCGCCTTTATCATTACAGTATCCGGCACAAATGTGTTGATCGTCGCCTCGGCGTCGATCGCATCCAAATCGATTTTCGGCTCGATGCAATTCTTGCTAAAGCCAGTAACATTGGATTACTGTAACTCTGACTCTGGCTTACAAGAGCTATACAAGCTTTAAAAGCTGAATAATACAATCTGGATAATTGAATGATAAACATAGCCAGGACGAGGGGTACTGTAGCGCGTAGCCTATCGCTGCGATATTCAGCTAAGAATACTGTAAATCCTGGCTATTTTTCGATTTTCATTAATCCTGGATGTCACACAGTATCTTTAGCGGAATAGATCGATGAATAATGGATATTGGTACCGAGGGGTACTGTAGCGCCGAATGTCTACCGTTGAAATACTCAGCTAAAGATACTGTAAGCCCTGTCTATTTTTTGATTTTCCTTAATCCTGGATGTCACACAGTATCTTTAGCTGAATAGATCAATGAATAATGGATTTTGGTACCGAGGGGTACTGTAGCCGAATGTCTACCTTTGAAATACTCAGCCAAAGGTACTGTAAGTCCTATCTATTTGTCGGTTTTCATTAATCCTGGATGTCACACAGTCTTTCCAGCTGAATATCTTAACGGATATCTTTAGCTGTACCGAGGGGTACTGTAGCGCCGAATAGCTACCTTAAGATATTCAGCTAAGGATACTGTAAGCCCTGTCTATTTGTCGATTTTCATTAATCCTGGATGTCACACAGTATCTTTAGCCGAATATCTCAATGCTACAGTACTTTTTAATAGCTACAGCACTCCAAGCCATTCAGCCTTACGGTAGGTCTAAACTGTGCATAACTAAAGCAGCTACAGTAACCCGGCTACCCTATTTCTAATACTAATCGATAGTATTTCGCATGTTACCTAAAATACTAAGCAATGTTTGTTGGAGCCTGAGGCGAAAGAATTCGAAATGAAATGAACTAACAGAACTCAAAATGAGCTTACAATAAAATCTGAAGAGTATGTATTGTAGCGAATTTCAAGGCTACTGTAGCCAGGGTGTAGGCTATATTGAGGCTACTGTAGCCAGGGTGTAGCTTCTCAAACGTACGCTTGTTTCTC